GTTGCAAATCAACTACATACAATTTTTTTCGAATGGATTTTCAGAACAGAATTATATTCTAATAGTGTAGATAATCCATTGCTGTATGTCCACTTGAATAAAAAACCACAAATGATCTCTTACAATTTTAAAGTAAATTAGGTAAGTGTAGAGGGGCGTCGCAATAACATTTCCCTGCGTCCATATTTAACAGGCATTATGTACCTAGCGAAAATTCAGTATTTCCAATGGTGCCTATTCAAGAACCGATGGAGATCTAAAACAAAAATGAATTCACCAAATAAAAGACGACAATACGTTTACTGTGTATTCAAACGGAGTTTTTTTTTTCTTGATATGTATTTGATCTATATTTATTTAACGAAAAGACTTGTATTAAAACCGCCAGAAAACTGAGATCGCAATGCGAAATAATCGCTATACGGAACCGTATGAAAAATAAATCGCCTCCGTTCGTTACGGCGCGTAGCTGCTGCGGATATCAAAAATGATTTCGTCCTTAAAAAACAAATCTCTAGCTCAGGGGTGTCCAACCTTTTGTGAAGACCGGACCACATTATGTAAGTGGAAGTTGTGGGCCGCATACGTTTTAATAATGATATATTTTATTTATACATTTACCATACCGCATAATGAGCAAATTTGACGAGCTATTATAATTTATTTATAATTACAAAGAAAAAATATATGTATTTATAGTTAAAAGAACACAATTTCATTGTTATTTGAGTTACATTAGTTTCTGTGCGGCTATCGGATCCTTATAAAGATAAAACCTGCATTTGATAGTATACACTAATAAATACCTAATATTTAAACTTTTTTTAATATTTTGTAGTTTTATGTCCATAAATTAAATTTTTTTCTCATAAAATTATATATGATCGATTGATGATTTGGAATTGAAGTGAGGGCCACATTAAAATCTACCGCGGTCCGCTGGACACCCCTGCTCTAGTAATTCTGTGCGAACGCGCGCACAAAAGTAGAAAATCCCCGGAAACGGAACAACACCGCTCAATATGGCCTTTTTCGAGCCTTTTTACAGCTCGCAGTCATTTGGGCGTGCTGTAAATGTTCGCGGTGCTTGACTTTCGCGTTCACGTGAATTACGGTAATCAACGTTCCGCCGAATGATTTCGGGGGGAGGAGAGGGGGGGGTGGGAAACCAAACAGGAAATCTTTCGCTAAACGCACCACCGAAAATTACACCCGAAAACTATACACGCGTTATGCTGCGGCGCGGCGGAACGTCGAAAAAAACAATCAAAAACCCTTCATCCTAATCCGAGCTCGTCCGTTGCCGAAACAGCGTCGTAATTTTTAATAAATCCGTACGGGGTCTGTTTTACTTATTTCACAACGCGAGAGATTATTATATTCGGGGGCCTCGCAGACGGTATTATATGCGCGGTAATAATATCATCCCGTAAATAATACTGCAGTGTTTATATAGAATCCAGAGGGGTTTCCGGACTTTTTTTTTTTTTCACGCGTATTTTTTCGTGAAAACGACGGCACTTATACGCGGGTTTTTGGCTCAATAACTCTCGCGGACTCTTATATTTACATCTCGTGCGCCCCCGATGACACGGACCCTTTCAATGGCGTATATGAAGTAAAGGGAGGGGGAATGATTCGAGGGAATGATCAATTGATTTGTGAAGTTATTTGCTACATACATTTCGCTATAATACGTGTACGAAAAATTAGAAAAACGTAATCGGACACAAAAATAATAATAATAAAAACACTTAATGGTAAGATAAATAGGGTAGAATGTAAGCTTGTGTACCATGTGTACATTTATATTTGAGTGTCGATTAGGGAATCGAAAACTTACGGGTCAGAATAGACCCCCGGGCGTCTGTACAGATCAACTTTTGGGAACTTCTGCTACAGACGACGATGTTTACAAAATTGAAATATAATAGCAGGTCCATACGAAGGTAAGCGTCTATTTCACAGTTTATTACGTTTTGTTTACAGACAAATGATTGTTTATCGCCCTATTATTCTCACAGCTAAACTTACTGCGGTTATTATCGTTTTTGGTTATCTCCTCGGAAAAAGTAATTCCAAATATAATCTACGGGTATTATATAGGTAAGTATAATAGATAATAAGTACGTTCGCTTTTATATAAATGAGGTTGCATACTATTAGACCGTTCAAAAAATACCATACCCATCACCAACGTCCTTGGATGAATTTCGTAACGGGCTCATCCCTTAGAAATTTAACGATCGTTTTCTCAATTAAATTTCGCTTCAAGGATGTTATTTGACTGGGTCATTATATTTGTGACTAGAGACCGGATTTATATGCTCTTGAAATCCACAAAAACGTACTTGCAGAAAACGTCAAAAAAGCCAAGGAAAAAAAATATTTAAAAAGCAAAAATTTGATGGGTTTAAAAAGGTCTCCCTTTAAACGGATTTAACTTATAAATTACATTTTATAACACCACAAAAATGTTGAATAAAAAGTAAATCTTTTTTATTACACATACCGGGAAAAAACGTAAGAAAACGAGAAAATGTACGAAATGTATTATTTTCAGTTTTGTTTTTGTTGCGACTCGGTAAAAAATATTCGTAGAGACTTGAAATATGGATAGAAAACCTATATTTGCCTATTTTAAACGTGATGAAATTTTCAAAACATTTTAGCAATTATTGAACTATTTATAGACGTTTTAATTTTGCGAGTTTTTACGTAATTTTTATTCGGTAGGTACTCTGTGTATGAAATCATTACACCAAACAGAAATGCTTGGAAATTTAACAGGAAGTCTATTATAGTTCGTACTTTGTGGTAAAAAAAAAAAAAAAAATCGAGTGTAATGTACAATTTTTTGTTTATAAAAATGTTAGCATTAAATTTTGACGAAAATCGTAAATATTACGGCGGTTTTGAAACGTGTAAAACCGAACTCCGCTCATAACCGTTATTCGTTGGCCAAGATCAATGATTGCGTACAAACATTCGTTCAATTTTCATCTGTATCCAAACTCCCTTTCGAATCTTTCAACTCCTCAGCTGCAACAGTGGCCACCGTCCAGCGCGCGAAGCGTGTCCGTATTTTTTCTCGACTCGTTAACAAATTCCGGGCGCATATGAATGTCGATATTCTTTATTACTGTATCGGTTTTTACTACGCGGGCGCGTTTTGCGTTTTTATCGCAGACGATAGACGACCATGAGCAGATTGTATTGTATTTACTGACGACACTGGCCACATATACTCGTACACTTTTGACCGTCTCGCGAACACTATCGCGGACGGCGACGTCATCTTTGTACGCGATACGCGAAAATTACACAAGACAATCAGAACGCGCGCGCGAAATAACGCAACGAAACACGCCAATGGCCGGAAAACCTTGAACCCGAAACGTCTGCGCTACCACACTCGGCAACATTTTCTCCGAGGCGTTGTCGGTCGATTAATTTCCCGATTATTTGACCGCGCATTGTTTTTTACACGCGCGTAATGCAATGTGGTTACGTTGGTACGCTCGTATTATTGGTCGCGTACCGTTGCTGAAACACGAAATACCGTGAAAATCGCGGTCGGTTTTTCGAACCGGGGATGGGGGATTTCATAGCGCTCAAAACTCGTTGAACGTGTGCGCCGAAAAAATAGCCAAAATATTAAATAAACATATTAAACGAATATTATCAAAGAGAATGTTAACAACGCGTGTTGTTAAGTAATTATTTCGCCTGTTTTCCCGTTTTACGTGCGTTTTTCATAAAAAAAAAACCGCGGAGTTCGTATGAACCGAATTTTACTTGATTTTTTTCACTGGCGGAGTTTACATTAAAAAAAAGTACTTGTGGCGCAGTTTACACGTGCCCAATTTTCACTACTACTGCGCACTGCAGTAGGTATTAATAGTACGGTACGAAATTTAAATATTAAATCGTATCGTAATTATTACTAATACCTATTCAATGTAGACGCAAATATGGTGCATAATGTTACAAAATTAATAATCTCACCGTTCTGAATTTTCGATGGCAGTTTATCGTTGTGGCGAAAAAATATCGTGGTACATTCGAGACGAGCACAACCACAACGCGAGTAGGTAGTCATTAGGGATATGTATAAAATTGATTGTCAATGAGAAATTCGATTCGACTGAAATTCGTCATCGTGCGGCTGAAAATGAACGGCGGCGGGGCGCAGGCCGTGCGAAACCCGTTTACGGAATGCTGGCGACGAGCAAACACAGTAATTGTCCCCGCGTCCACACACCGAAATGAAATCGGATTACATCGGAATTGGACATCTTGTCGCCATCTGTCGGACATTTTATTCCGCATTGACCGTGACGACGGAGGCGGACAGTGCGCGTCACCGGTCGTCGGCCTCCCGCCTTTAAATTGAGAACCTCCCACCCTACACTAGACGCCAATTCCGCGTGACAACCGGTCGGCCGTCCGGAAAACCGGCCGTGCCGCCGCCGGAGGAAAAAATCCAATCGCCAGCCGTGGCCGCTGCGGTACAAAATATTTGTCGTACCGTAGGTGCCCCGACGTCCGTACTGTATTAATAACATTTATTGCGCCGCACGTAATAAGCAGTGGCGACGCGGCGCGTCTTGCACAATATAAACACCGTACGCTCATGATGTACCTAATTATATCATTGTTACACATTCGGTTATAAAAACGTGATGGGAATATTTTAAAAGGAGACATAGCTGTAAATCGAATGAATGACATTTTACGGTGGAATAATTATTTGCAATTACCTTTAATCATTAGCTTTAGTTGACCATCCAGATCAGCAGCAGATTGATGTAAACCGAGACAATTTTTCGAAGTCAATAAATTGTCTTCATTATCTGTTTCTTCTGCAATTTTAATTCGCATCTGTAGTACGTCACATCCACGACATGCATCAACGGTTGGTTTTTTTAAAACAAAGTTTTAATTTGTGAAATTCTCCTTCGTATATTACTCTTGAAATAGGTTCATCAACAGTTTCTTTATAAAATTCGTACATTTTCTGTAAATTTAAATTACTAGGTAAATATTTCTTATCGTTTAATTTCATTGTATAATGACTTTCATAAGACGGGAATAAATTTAGATGCTCGATAACTTTAGTTAATCTACTATCTGAGATTTTGTTTTTGGGTGATTTTTTACCGCTTTTATCTAGATTTACAATTCCAGAAATATGAAAAGCTTTATTTTTAGTAACGGGCCTAATAAAACCCTCTATTTCGTCCAAAGTTTTTGAAAAGCAATCTTTACAGACTGAATGGCGTTATCCGTTTATTTCAAAAAAATAACTGAATGTTAAAGTCCTTTTTTTATTAATATCAAACCTTTTAATACAAAAATATTTTTTCTCTGGCGAGTTTATTAAGCCAGATAGAAAAAGACAGTCTTCTATTATGAGTAGCCAAAATCCAATACTAAATACTAAATCCAATACAAAACACTAAAAATTTGATTTCTAACATTATCTGTAAAAAATGTTTGACACATTTTTCTACATTTTTTCAGTAGCTGGATTTTTCTTCCAGCTATAGACTTACCACTAGAGCTAACAAATGTTAATCCTTTATGTAAATTTATTTTTTCTCTCTTTTCTTACAGTTCTAAACCACTTTGTTTTTCTCTTTTGATGCTGAATCTCATCTTCTATGTCCATATCTAATAAACAAATTTAAAAAAGAATATTTATTATTTATTTTATAATGTACTATTTAAATGAATTTCCTTTACTTTCTGATTTAGATCTTAAAGATTTATTGTCATTTTTCTTATCATATACTAAAAGCTCCCTGCAATCATCACCTGTCCTTGGTTCATAAACCTCATTGGACTCATCAGAGACTTCAATATCTTTTTCTTGATTAATTATTCTTTGTAATCCATACTCTTCTAAATCTATTTAAAAAAGGACTATATTATTTGTGTTCAACTATTTAAATATTTAGGATTTTCTCACTTTGATTGGAATCAATTGATTTGTTGATATTATTATCAATATAATAATATTCAATGCCTTCAAAATTGTTTTCTAACAATCTTTGAAATTCGGGTTCTAGATATTCACAAAACTCTATACTGCTAACATTTTCCACTAAAGAATTGCTTAAATGTGGCACTTTGTCACCACTAAAATTATTAGGAATTAATGGCAAATCTTTACTTGAAACAATATCTTTATTTAATTTGGTTGAGTTAATTGAGTCTATTATAATACAAATACAATAATTATTTACATAAGTAGGCATATTATAATTATAATTTTAATATAATTATGAATTATAGTGTTATAATAGTTTTATATTAATAAATAAAATATTATACTTACTAAAAACAGTTGAATAGTAGTTTTCAAATGTACTTTTTTATTTAGAATATTCAGTTGTATAACCTATATAAGTATTTAACAGTGAGTTTTTATTAAGGACATTAATGGTTAAAAATGATTTACCATTCAATAATATGTATTATGTTCATTTGTATTAAAATGTTTAAAATGTATTAATGTATAAAAAAAACACTTACTTGGAGGTTCAGAGTTTAGTTTTTTTTCATTGTAATTAATTGACACTAAGTTCAAGAGTTTTTGGCTCGGGTCATCATTTTTGTTTCGAACACAAGGTATGTGGCATGTGCAGTAAAAATTAAACTTCGGTAGTATGTAATGATTAAAATGTGTGTATTGTGGTAGGTAATAGTCATATCATGTTTTTAATTTTATTATGATACAATATTGCAATTCTAAAAGCAAGATAATATTACCTACCACATTTCACTTACATTGGCGGGTTACACCGAAACACGAGGTTTAATGATAAAGTAAAAAAGAAACGTTTATTTACGACGTAACAACATTAAACAAGTGCTCGGCAGCTGACTGCTTGTGGCGCGAGAACCGGCGAGCACGCATTTATTGGTAAAAATCAATTATACATAATGATGGGTCGGAGTCGGAAAACAATGTTTCGCGAGCGGCGTCGGTGCGAAGATAGCGAGCGGAGCGGTCGAGACGTCGAGTCGAGCGGAGCTGTGGCCGATGAATATTGGACGCCGACGGCGAGGGGAGAGGCCGACGTCCGCCGCGAGTGGCGCCGGCGGGAAGAAAGAAATGTGGCGCGAAACCCGCCACATCGCTCCCCCCCCGGGGAAAAAGAAACGAACCCGGTTTCGCGAGACGCGGTCGCGTCGGACGTCAGAATTCGCTGCGTAGATGTGGTCTTCCAGTGGGTCCTCTCGGAGAATGAAAGCCGGTTTGAGACGATCCACCGAAACCCATCCGGTTCGATTCGGGAACTGGAGCTTGAAGTCCTTGGGAGACGTCGATCCGGCACGGTATACGGGCCCTCGAAGAGCGGCTGAAGCGGAGCGCGGTGCGCGTCGATGCGCAGAAAAACGTGCGAGACGGTGTCGAGTTGTGACGGCACGAAAGAAAACCCGACGAGCAGCGCCGTGACCAGACCCCTTTGTTGGCCGCAGGAGGGCCACGGCGTGCGGAACGGGAAAACTGGCCGTGGAGCTCAGTTTTCCGACGGGGTGGACGAACACGAGGAGTGTCGCGCTGGGCGACGCGCGAGAGCAGGCTTCTCGCTACACGGCGGACGGCACTTTTTCGCAGTGCTACCGTAACGCGCGTGATAATAGCACGGAACAGGCGTGCGGGCTAGGCGGACGTGCCTGCGAGTGCTCGGACGGACGAGGCGACGAAAACGAGTTGCGACGAAGGAATCGGTCGAAATGACGCGTAAGTGTCTCGAGACCATCCTCCAGCCTATCCAAACGACTTCGGCGGTCGGGAGAGGAGGTAGTGGCGCGGATGCGGACGCGGTGTCGATCCGTGACGAACAGGCCTCCAAAACCCGGTCAGCTCGTAACGCGAGCATGTCGGGCGGACTATCGAGGCCCGCGATGACCGCGTGGACGTTCGCCGGAAGCTTCTGGAGCCGGAGATCAGTGAGCTGGCGAGTGTTTCCAGAACGCTGGAAGACGGACGTTCGCGATGGCGGATGCGATCGGATGATCACGTCGAGTTCACCAATTTGGCGGGTTACACCGAAACACGAGGTTTAATGATAAAGTAAAAAAGAAACGTTTATTTACGACGTAACAACATTAAACAGGTGCTCGGCAGCTGACTGCTTGTGGCGCGAGAACNTGCGAAGATAGCGAGCGGAGCGGTCGAGACGTCGAGTCGAGCGGAGCTGTGGCCGATGAATATTGGACGCCGACGGCGAGGGGAGCGACCGACGTCCGCCGCGAGTGGCGCCGGCGGGAAGAAAGAAATGTGGCGCGAAACCCGCCCCACATTACCAACTAATAGGTTAATGACGTTTTATTTTCAACATAAGTTTACTAAAGTTACTATAATTACCTACAATAATAATATTGTGTGTTCACTTGGTATGAATACCTGAAGTCGTATTAAATATTGATATTAACAACATACGTCGATATAGTTTTAAAATCGTAACTTGACTTATGTGATTTTTACTTTTCTAAAAATGTACGTTTAAAAATAGTATTATCAAAAGTAGATATGAGATAGTTGTACCAAAACGATAATTCAACTACTCGGAAATACTACTATAATACCATGCAAATTAAGAGATAACCATTATCAATACGACTTATGAGTATTGTACCAAAAAAATCTACATTTTTCAACGTATTAAGTCATTAATGACCATTTTTGACTTAAGTTGTTTGTACCAATCATGAAAAACATTAAATTCAAAGTTAGAGACTCCTAGCTACCTATTGAATATAGCCTAGTGGTAAGAAACTTGAAATGCGAATTTTAAATTTTTAAACGCTATTTACTGACGAAAAAATTCACCAACTTTTTTTTAAATATTTTTCAGTTTAATCTTAAACTTAGTTTTAACCAATTTTATGACTTAATAAAAAAAATCAAGGGATATTCCCCCTTAAGAAGTAATACAGAAATATAGATTCCTGCAACATCAAGTTACTGTGAGTCTCACAGTGTGAGAGTATTTTCCATAATGAACTTTAAATATAGAAATGAAAGAAATAAATGTAGGTGTAAACTTATTAAATATGAATCATTATTCTTAAAATGCTAATGAAACATGCCCTGAAATATATGATATTTTTGTTAGTTATGAGAAATTACTGAAAGCTGTTAAGAAAGCAATAAAAAGTATACATTTAAAAATAATGCAATGCCTGCTAAAATATTGTTAAAAAGTATAGTTCTTTAAAATAAATATATTTTATGAATACAAATTTTGTTTTCTGTATTATACTGATTATTAGTATTTGGTAATCTAACCTAACGAATGGTATGACACAATATATTCATAATTTATTTGTAAGCCAAAAAAAGCTCCACGAGTCAAAATGTACTTTATTTTGAAATTAAATAGGTGGCAACCATGTGACTGCACATACCTGGTGTCTTTGAATCAATTTACTACACTTTTTTTTTACTTGTAAAATTGCTACAAAATATCTAAATAAGGCTTAATATGAATTATATGGATTTAGTTTTGTAAATTGTATAAATATACCCCTTCCAGGATTATCAGATTCACTACTATTAGATTTATAGATACACCGAAAATATTATAAAATATGTTCATACTTTTAAAGTACTAACATTTTCTGACTGTGGTAATAAGATATCCTAGACCTGTAAATGGTCGCTGCAGACGAATCTGCACACAATGTTAAAAATTCCTGTAAATAAAGAACAATAGCAAATAAACACTTTATAGGTATCTTTTTTTTTTGCGGTTGTATTATGAACTGATAATTTAAGTAAAGTTAATTTTTTTAAGTTTGAGAGTTCTTAAGTATTAAAATCAATTAGAATCAATCAGAAATAAGTTTCACTGTAGCACACTTTAAAATATTTATACACTCACAGGCTGCGATATTTTCTTTTGAAATTTAATTTAATTCTTATAATTATCAAATAATAAAATAATTTATTAGATATTTTGATAAATAATTTAAGCATTTTTCAATTGCAAAACCAGGAATTCTTAACATTTATCAATAGGTTTAAAATAAAAGTGTCTAAGTGAAATATTAACATTGTTGATAAACTACAATTGAATATTGTACAAACTTATCTAATTTTAATCATTTTTGTCTTGAAAAGTCTATGAAAAAGTAGAGAATTTTAACCTTGAATTAACAAATTTTTTATGTTTAATAATAACTTTGGAATAATTTAAAAAACTAAAATTATCACATTTTAATATAAACGAATGAAAGCATATAATATGCGTCAACTATGGACCTTATGCCTTTGTATAAGATCAATGGTGTCAACAGTCTGTCAATGTAATTTGTCACTAACACATATATGCATCAATGGCAGTGAAAAAATTTTAGGATTTTAGATTTTAGAATCATTGAAATTTGTGGATTGTATTCAGTAAAAAAAACAATTTATTGCAAATTTAAATAGATTTTATTCCTTTAAGTCATAATGAATAATTATGTGGAATCATTTTTTTTTTTTTTAAGTACTTTTTAATCTAAAATATACTAGAAAATGTTTAATGTTTACTTATCAAATTCCTGTGGTGTTATGGTATTAACAATTGATTATAATTTAGATAGTAATTTTTCTTATAATAAAATTCTGGTATAAAATTAATTGCCTAAATAAGTGTTAAATGAATACAATTTACTACATAAATTATAATCAATTGTTAACACAACAGTAATTTAATAAGTAAACAAAAAATAATATTCTAGTAAATTTTAGATTAAAACAAATATTTTAATGACAACAGCTCTGCAAAGTTAGACCTTCTGATCATCTAGTGACATTCACTGTAGTAAATTCTTCAGATACTGTAGGATGAATACCAACCATATTTCTTAAATGTTTGAATGTTAATCGAGACCTAATTTTTTAACAATGATTAAAATACAAATAATATTTGTACATATTTTATTGTATATTTACTTCAATGCTGCTGTGTATCCTTGTATTACTTGTCCTGCTTGTGGCTCAACAAAATATGTACCCAAAACTTTTTGTGAGGCTTATAATAAAGTTATTACTTTTGAATATCAATTTGTATTATATTTTTTAGGTATACAAATTCAGTAGGTTTTGTATTATGCATGTTACACCTGAATAATCAAATTTTGATTAATAATTAAACCCTTAAACAATTATAACTGTAATATATAAATACACGACTTACTTCAATTTTACCGTCGTTAAATCTATTATAAATGCTCAGTCTTCTGTGAGACCCGCAGAACCATAATCGAGAGGAGTAAAAAGGCTATAGCTACATTATCATAATCCACATTTGTTCTTTACCACAAATCATATAACCTCGCAGCCAATAATTTACCAACTTGAAGTACTACAGGATATTATGTTTTCACATAATTGGCGTTACTCAAAAGTTATTTTAATAAGGAATGAAACAAAAAGCCAATTTAAGATTTCAACAAGACGGTACACAACCAGAGACGAGGCGAAAGGCATGACGACCACGCGAGAGTCACGGTAACGGCTACGGAGCCGTGGAGCTGACCTGCTGATTGCCGAAGGCGCGTTAGGCGACCGCCGGCCGGCGCCCGGAAGCGTGTGACCAACGTACGGACAGTGCAGAGGCGGACCACTTTCCATTGATACGTGCGACTTCCCGCGTCCACGGGGAAGAAAGAAATACTGTGGCGCGACATCCGCGTAAATGGATCGCGCCCATAGAGAATATTGTGTGCATCCGTCGTGTGATGGTATTACTGTAACCATATGTTTTATATTGGTTTGTTCGCGGTTAGTGGTGTCGTACCATAGAGTAATGTCAACTTACCTTTGTTTACATGCATCGATTTATCGAATTTTTCTGGATTCGTATTGAATCAATTCGAATTAGGGTACAAATGTACATGCACGTCCAAAACAGTATTACTTATTAGTATAATTATAATACACTTCCACCAAACCAATTTAACGTTGCAACGTTTGCATGCACAATTTAATCCTTGGAGTAAAAGAATTTGAAAAAATTCATAAACGTATTGAAGAAAAAACAATACACAACTCACCAAATTATGTTGTTAGTGTGAAATATTAAAATAATACATCCGACGAATTCGCTGAAATTCTGAACACTAATACAAATAATGTGTAAAAATCGCTTTTAAGACTAATAATAATTTAATTAAACGTATAAACAATAGAACTAAAAACTTCAGAAAAAACCCCCCTTATTTTGAAAATGCTGGTACATCTGTATGCATATAGGAGACCGCCCCTATGCACTCATCAACGCACAGACCAAACCGCTGGGTCTAGAGACTTGAAATTTTGTACAGACGTTCCTTCCAGCACTAAGAGAGGATTTTTCAAAATTCGATAAGGTAAAAGGAGGTTTTTTTTAAAGCAGTTTTTATATGGCTTTATATGCATTTTTTTTTTCCGACTGTTAATCGCTGTTTACCGGCGGTGTCGAATTATTATTATTAATAATATCGAATTATATAACTGTCAATTATACAACTACCCGCTGTCCCGACACGACGTTGCCCGCGTATCAATTACATTTTTGGCATTTTCGTAGGCTGCGTGTTGGTGTTTAATTTAATTGTATTGACAGTGTTAACATTACGCGGAATTCACAATTTATAATAATTACTATCAATTATATAACCGGTTATTAATAAAACCGGTCGCGGATAATCGGCGAGCCGCGATTGCAACACGCAATAGGTGCCGGCGGCGGACGGTCAAAGTCCAAAGACAATGTGAAATTGTGAAAACGCGCTGCGTCCATCTGCCGTCGATCGTCGGCCCTACTCACAGCCACTGACCGATCAGCCGCCGTCCGCCGCTGCCGTGCCGTTCTTCACTTCCAATTGCGTCTTGCGGCTGTTGAACACGTATTTATTCGAATACGCTTTGAAAACCGTTTGACCGAAGTGTGAGCATCACACGTTATTAACGCACCTTAACACATTGAGTTTGGTTAGTTCTTTTCGTGCCGTACACGAAATACAAATCAACGTCAGCTTTTTCAATTCTACACTGGTACAGCACTGTACTCCATTTGTTAGTTTTAATACTATAATAATTTTTTTATAAAAAAATTATGGATTTTTAAAGGTCCAGATTTCCAATTTCCAGATTTTTACGCGCTCTCGTTTAGTTCGAATATATTTGTAAAAAGTCTAATACAAATTGCCTATACAAAGCCCCGTAAATATTGTATTTTATAAAATGGTATATTTATGGCCTACCTTTACCCCTCAATCGGATCTCTATAATATGTAGTCCAGTTTTGTACCGGTCCATATTTATAGGGTCCAGATTTACAGTTTCCAGACTTGTACCGTCCAGATTTCCAATTTTCAGATTTGTATGGGTACCCATTCGTAGAAGTCTTTTATGGGCGTGGCAAAAATGTTCGGAACATGCTGGCAACTTTCGAGCTGGGAGATGGACAATCAATCGGTAACAAAAATATATATTGTTTTTATTATTAAGCGTCGATTTTAATCATATTTTAATAGTACCTATATTATTATTTTATCGATCCGTTATCACAGAACTAATTATAGGCGGCTACGCATTAAGCGCGTAGGTAACCTATTTTGCCGTTCGCCGTTCACGATTCGTACAAATTCGTTTTTTTTGTTATTCACGAACAAGACCCTACGCTCTAATTCGTATATATTCTTGATTCGCGGTTCGTGTTATTTTCTATTCGTGATGACGCCTGATGAATGACGAACGAACACGAATTTACTCATTCGCATCGATTCGCGCGTGCTCTTTGATCTTTTGGTTTTACCGCTTTCCGGAGCAGTGTTGACCGCGAATTATTCGTGGATAGTTCTCGGTAAATTTCGGGCCACGAATAACCCCTAACACACTATTCACAGACCCGTACGTATTAGCATTGATTAAATATACAGTATGTATACCTAATTGTGTTAGGCAGGTACGTGTTTCATACGCATTTACAAATTTAACGTTTTTGTCATCTTATCTCCGAGGTGTTATGCGTTATCATAGTATAATGCACGGTCTTGGATTATATTCCGTGGTATCATGCATAGGCACGGTGTTATATTCTTATAAAAACTCCACAAACTCTGGTTTATCGTTGCGTACATTTATAAATTAAATTGCCTCTCCGTATCCCTTCCCGCGTACAACAACGACACACCCGTCCGCGGTACTTTTTTTCCAGTAATGTTAAATATTTTCCTGCGAGTTTGAAAATTCGAACACGCGCGCCCGTTCTGTGTTTAGCGATACATAACGTAAACCTACAATCGGAACGCGCTAAATTCAGAGTTACGTATTGCGCACGCACGCGTGTGTTCGATCTCGTTGAGAAATCCAACAACAGACAATATGGTCGAAACACTGTCTATGTACGTTCATCTACGATAACGGAACGGTAACACATTCAAAACGATCAGGAAATCAGGGACGGCGCGAACGCAGTCCCAGCTAACAAAAATTATACGTCCGAGATATCCACATTAGGGATACTCGCAGGGGTCAACCCAATCTGTATGTGCAATGATCAGATCTCGCCTTGGAGGAACCGCCTAAATGATCACGGTTTACCTCCACGCCAGGTAAGTATGCCAGTTCGGAGTGTCGCGGCCTCTTATATGCTGCGGGCCGGCTACTCGATCCGGTCACCGAACCTGACCGGACGCAACCGATAAGTCGGTCGTAGAACCGGACCGGTGACCGGCCATCGACCGATCGGCGTCCCAGGGATTCTTGGACTTTTCGCGGACGTTTCTTCTACATTCCCGAGACGCCGAGCACGCCGTATGGTGCGTCGAACAACGATCTCAAGCCGCCGTAGATGGTTAGCGCTACCTGTGAGTGAAATAGTTTACGCGAGTGTTTTGTTCCGCGACGTTTCTCCACTCGATGCAAACCGCGTGCCGAGTTTTCATGTAATTTCTTTCACTAAACGTAGAATTATTATTATTATTTTCTATTTCGTTGCTATTTTTTTAATATCGGGATAAAAGTCGGAAAACCGGGAAACCTTACACAATCACAGTTTACGTTTTTATAGTGATCTAGAATTTTCTCTCTCTATTTATTGTAATAGATTATGAAGGTATTTCATTATTTAAATATTTTTACAAGAGGAGACTATAAAGTACAAACCTGAATTTATGACCTACTTGGTAGGTAGGTACTTGTTTTAGCGTTTTCTAGACGTAATAAAATGTTCAAAACAATTGAGCAATTTTGAGTTATTTATTTAAATTTCTGTTTTTCACGGTTTGAGTACGTTTAGTTAAATAGGATGAAAACCATGAGCCCCTTGATTTTAAGGTCTTACCGACATTCATTAAATTCAGAAAATAACTTTCTTACTATAATCTTCAGTTAATGTCTATATAATGTCTACTTGACTGCCAACTAAAATTTGTCAATTAAAAACGAATAATAAGGATAAGTACCCACCTAAAATTGTAACTACTTAATAGATGTCCGAAAAGTATGTACCCATGTTGCTTGTCAGCCATAGGAGGTCGTATGAATACATCTCGCAACACCAAAATGTTCAATTTAGATGCTTAATATACTATGTTTTATGAACACATCTTACTACTATTTTTACTCTAGTGGTTGCGCATACATGAAAAAAATAAATGATTTTACATAAAAATCCAGACTTTGTATGTACTGAAAATGTACCTAGGTACATACTTAATAAAATACAAATAAAATTAAACGTTTTAAACTCTTAGGTACTGTTGTGCAGTTATTAATTTTTTTTTCATATTTAGCAGCTGGTCCACTTTGTCACGAATGTGGTATGAGTATGATAATTGGTTTTCGAATTAAAGCAGCCAATGTTTTAACCATCCGAGTACATATTATTAAAATAGCGATATATGCCTATTATCAATAAGTTAACTCTTCATCAAATTAATAAATCCTGGTTATAAATAATAGATTGATTATCGTTTTGTTTTATTTTTACTTTTAATTTATTGTTTAGCTAACTTATTAATTATTAAATAATATCTTAGTAACACAGAACATATTATATTACTAAAATATTCACAAACTAGATAAAATTTGCTACTAAAAACCACCCCTGAAATTCATGATCAAAACAAATTTTCTAGCTAAATCCTTGTTAACAGACAAAAAAAAAAACAACTAAAACATGTATAAAACTGATATATTCCAAAATTCATTCCAAATTAAAAAAAAGTAATAATAAATACATTTCATTGCTTTACAGTATTTCTAAACAGTAATATATTATAATACATTTGGAATAACACAATAATTGTTCATAACTAGAAATAAAAAACAATGTTATCACTAAACTATACAGTTAATAAATTACAAATATTCAAAAAAAAAAGTATAATAATTTATTGTTTAGACTTAGTTTTTTTTTTAAAACACTGATTTTAAAAAACTAAGTTAGTCAAAACTCAATAAATAAAACATATAAATGGTATAAAAAAATCTTAGAAATTATTGTATAAAAAATAAAAATTTGAAGACTAAGTATAATTTATAAATATTTTCAAATACTTATTTTAAAAACTATCAAATAGGTAATAAATAATTATTATCAGTCAAATTCATCACATAAAAAATCTGATAATTACTTGAATAATTAAACCTGACTTTTTAATATAAAATTAACTTATACATATTTACAAATAGAAAAACAAAAATATACATTTCATAATCATTGTGAACAAATACTAACAAGAAATACACAAAGATGTATTAATAATATTTAATTCACATTTAATATGATTATTAAAATACGTATTTCCTATCTGGTTTCATCAAAATCTTGATCTTTGTCATCATCGTAAAATTCATTAGCTGCATCAACTCTTCGATCAAGTTCAATTTGTGGTTGCCTTACATCTGGGTCAGTTTCATCCAGAGCAATTGCGTTCATTTCTTCAGTAGGAAGTGCGTCACCAGGAACATTTTGAATTTGTACACTAGGAGAATGCTGAACCATTTTTAGATTATCATAAGTATGCTTAACTATGAGCTCTAAGTATTGTTTACTGTTGGCATTATCTTGTCGAGTTACAACTTCAGGATGTAATAAAAAATCAGGAGCAAAGTAGTCACGGTATTCATGTTCCGGAATTATATTGCTAATTTCTTCATCAATCAAAAGAGAAGTTTCATAAGTCCAACAACGAGCAACATTCCTTAAAGTATACCTGAATAACAAATGAATTAATACATAAATACTTAGATAATAGCAACAATAAATAATGCATGTTAAATAATGACATACACATATTACATATATTATTTAAAAAGGATTACCTTTTTAAAATACCTACTAAATTAATTTAGGTACTTGTTTGTTATCAGCTTATTGTCCTGCCAATATGCCGTAATAAATTTATTGCCCCACCAAACAATACGAAAAAAATGAAAGTAGGTATACATAATTAAAATGTATATTAATTTAGGGCAGAAGCCTGGTAGCATTTGCATATTTATTTTGCAAACTAATAAAAATAGCAAAGTATGAAACAAATATATTTTATGCATTCACAAAGCTAATTTTGAAATTTTATTTTGCATATAAATGCATACTTTCCCTTTTTTTTTTTATTTCAGAGCATATTTCTTTCATTTTGTAATTTTAGAAGCATATTTTAAATAATTTATCATTCAATCAATATTTTTCTGTCAACGTTTTAATTTCACTTATATACAACCAAAATATTGTTAAATTTAAAATTATTTAAATTTTTATCATATATATATTATGGTTGTTATATAATCATATAATATAAATTTTTATTGAAACACCTCTCGAGAGTTGCACAATCTTGAAATTGTATTTTTAAACAGTAAATACAAACTTTTTATTTTTTTTAAGATCAGAATAAAAATGTTTAAGAAATTAAAATTTGTTAACAATTTTGGAAAAAAACTATTTACATATTTTTAAATAGATTACTATAAAAAATATTAATGAGCATATTTTTAGTGCATATTGTAAGGTTTTTAAGTGCATAAGTGCTTGCATATTTAGCGTTTTTTTAGAGTTACAAGTCCTCTTCCCTATATATTATTATAGGAAAAATGTAAAAAGAAATTAAATTGTATTTAAAAATGTTATAGTTAATGTTAACAAAATATTATTATTAAGTTAATTAAATTGTATATTAAAATAGCAAATATTTCAAATTATGACGGAGGCCAGAACTCAGAAATATTTTTTAAGATAGTTTCAAACGTAATATTCTCCAAGTTGTGTTCTCTACACAAATTCTGCCAAGTACGATTCCAGAACATTTCTTTTGGTTCCACGACGCTTTTTATTTTCCCATTTGGCAAAATCCCGCAACATTTCAATGTTTTGAGTGTGAGCCTCTATATCTTGATCAACCAAATTATAGGTGTAGTTAACAGTTTTTCGCACTGTTTGGCAGGGTGATAAAAAACAAGTACATTTTTAATGTTATCAATTGGTTTTCTATGTTTTTTTTTAAACACATTTTAATACTATATTTTAGACAACTTTAGAACATGGAACACATTTTAACTCATGTAATTCAATCAAAAGGTTGTTTAAATTGAGTCTATAAGAGTGTTACCTTAGAATGCCATAGATTAGTAAATTTAAAAAAAAATGTTTACTTACCCTCCACCGCCGACGGTTAAAAGTGGTACATTCAAATCTTTGATGAATTTAACACATTCTCCGTGTCCTTTGGTACTGAGATTAAAACAGCCTAAACGATCGCCGTTTAATGAATCAGCACCGCATTGAAGGACTATTGCAGTAGGTTGGTAAAGATCCATCACGTGTTGAATTACAGGCTTAAATACCTGCAGAAAAAAATAATAATAACAATCTATAAAAAAAAAAAACTCAAACGGGTGGGAAATAATTTTTAAAAATCTTCTCGTACCTGTGAATAACTGAAATCGTCAATCCCTTCTTTCAACGGAACATTTACAGAATAATATCGTCCGAGATCGGCTCCGATTTCGTACATGTCGCCAGTACCGGGGAAAAACCAATTTCCGTACTTGTGAAACGACACGGTCATTACGCGGTCCGTCAAGTAGAAAGCTTCTTGAACACCGTCGCCGTGATGTACGTCGATGTCGATGTACAAAACCCTCGGGTGATATTTCAACAGTTCCAGAATAGCGATTACGATATCGTTCACATAACAGAATCCGGAGGCTTCGAACTTTTTGGCGTGATGGAGACCGCCCGACCAGTTGATGGCGATATCGCAACAGTTTTTGTTCAATTTCATTGCGCCGTCCAACGAGGCGCCCGTGTACATAGAACAAAAGTCGTACAGGCCCTCGAACACGGGACAATCCTCGCCCACGTTGAAATGGTTCAAGTACTTGCTGTACGTGGTGAGATTTTGCGGCGTTACCCTCTGGAGGAACTCTATGTACTCGTCGTGATGAAAACGGCACATGTCGTGAGCACTGGCGCGGTACGGCCGATAGATTTGCATTTTGTTATAAAGACCGTAGTTCAACACCAAACTGTGTATGACCGACAGACGGTGGGGCTTCATCGGATGCGCCGGTCCGTAGTGAAAATTGCCCACTTCCGGATTGTAAAAATAAAACACACGCTTGTTGGACATGCTGGACGGCGGTATCAGAAAATGTCGGAGAGATTCCGGATGTGCGTTTACAACGCGCTGGCCGACGTTATAACGAAGTCGTAGCGGTATTACGTGACGGGCACCCGATATAATACGATTAGAAAAAAAAAAATATATATTAAAACCGAAACGAGTGAAACGACCGAAACGTAATATTCGTTATTATCAATCGCGGTAAACAGCGGTAAAAAATAACAATAACAGTGTTATTGCCCCGGGATTCCAGGGTGGGAAGTTAGTGACGGCTATCAACGCTGATAACGACAGCGTTCATTCGTAAAACGTTTCTCGTTTTTCGCTACAGAATATTTCATAGTAATCCGCGGTATTAATATTGTAATATACGCCGGGATTTCTAATCCGACACGGTCATAAAACGTTTCTACAGAAATAATATCGTGCAATATTTTTGGTACGGTCACAATCACCGTTCCCCGATAACATTGCTCGTGACCAAGGTATACAGACAACGGTTCGTGATAACTGATAATGAGATATCACCGTTTATTATTTTTCCGGTTTTCCGTTCGGCGACCAGTGTATTATTCCGTCGTTATTGAAATTCGTGTACGCAAGACCTTGCTGACAAGTTGAGTATTAACATCATTGCGTTACGTTTTTAATAAATACGTATTTTATTGCCGACTTGTTTCAAAAGTGCAACAATCGAATTTTCGGTTCTTATAGCTTCGGTTTTAAAGAGTTGAACTGTTTAACCAACTTGTACTCGTTCGCGTGCGTTCCGTCTTCGTCTCCGTAATAGTACCGCCGACAATGTTGTGTAATCTCAGAAACACGGTTTGAAAAAAACCGGTCACTCCGTCCATATATATTTGTGCATACACGGCTGTTTTTAACCGCTCCAACGACGGATTTTCAAGGTTCCCTCGTTAAACGCAATTATATTTTCTCCGTTCTCCGGCCCCTTCCATATTTCTCATTATAGAAACGTGTTGGCCGTCGTACCGCGGAGTTTGTACACACAACGTACGTGGGTGGGTAGACGCCGTATGCCAGTTGTACAATACTGTCGTTGTGTCTGGTGGAAAACGTCGAAGTAAAACAGCCCGAGGTAAACCTATCTGATAAACCTACGATTTAATGACGGTACTGTTGAATTATTAATTTTTTCGAAGAGTCCGCGGACCGTTTTTATTTCCGTGCGTCAGACTGTAGTGGTATTTTCCGGTGGAACGTTTTGAAAACAATATTTCATAATAATACCGCGTTAAAAATAATATGTAAGTAATTTTCGTGTAAAGTTCAGTATTTATCGGTATCATTCGGTTCATGATTAGTGTGTGTATCCTTGAAATATTATCACTTACGGGCGTTGTTTTTTTTTTTTTTATTGTTATATTTTATAGATGCGCTGTAACTTGTTTATATTTTGTACGTTACTCGACCGAGCATTTCTTTTTGAACATTTACAATTATAGTTGTAATTGGTAAAATATTACGAATTCAATAGAAAAGAAACATAAGCAGGTAAGGGACGCGGGCTGGCAAAAAGGGCACACCTAATTGGGATGCTACACAATTTTTAAATTCGATTTTAATTTATATAAAAAAAATACTACAAGAAACTTAAATTTTTTTTTTTCAACTACCGAGCATGACTCATGAACTCTATCAAATGTTCAAGCTTTTCTGTTAAGTATAACAATTTGTCTACAGAGTGCCTACCAAATAATAATTGCGTAAAAAAATTCGCAAAATTAAAATATCTGTAAATAGCTCAAAAATTGCCACTATCCGAATTCTATGAGTTATTGGAAAAATATTGTCGTTACTATGAAAAAGCTGATTGGGTTTATTTGTGGGTGCTAATTTTAAACCATGCCACCCTTCCCCCATTGGCCGTATCAACGTATTTATGTAGTTTATTTTACGCGTCTGGAAAATTTGCTACGGTTAAGTGCTCTTAATTCATATCAATTTACTTAATATTAACATTTTTTTTTTTTGAATAGGTTTTTATCAAAACGGTCGATGGTTTATGATAACAGGAATATTTAAACCCGGTTTATGTTGTAGGTATCAACAACACGGTACATTCACTAGGTTGTAGACTACCGTAAGCGGTTAATGGCATAGATATTAAAGTTATGGTCCATAGTGATAACCACTGTGGTATATTATTAACATTGATAACCTTATCAATTTGATATGTTTATTGCTTAGAATCATTTTTCATTGTAACAATTGAATCCAATACACATACTTATCATTTTATCACCTCATCAAAACTCAAAACCTTTTTGTTAAGTAGAAGCATATTATTCGAATAAATATTAAAAAATATAGTAAAATTATTTTGTAGCAATACTCAAGTATTCGAATGATTCGGATGAATAAATTATTCGAATAAAATCGGTATTTTCTTGCGCGTTCTGAAAATGAGTGACAATAATTTCAAATTAACAGTATACTATTCGATTTTGCTTCAGACCTGGACACAATGCGACAACGTTTTGAAGAAACTTCAGCAGGCGTATGAAAACAGTGTTTTTTTTTTTTTTTTTTTTAAGGACTCGAGTTTTTAGAGGGTTTAAAGACGTTTTCAGAATTCTAGATTTTGTCGATGTTCTCATCGATTCTTGCAATTCCGCTATTATCTTTATTTTCAATGGACCTATCTATACGTTCTACAAATGTCTTAAACCCTCCTAAAAATCCTAGGACGTTGAAAAAACACAATCTCCCAACGCCCGCTAAAGTGTTTGAAAAATGTCTGTTGTACTGTGTCCAAATCTAAAGCAAAATCGAGATAGCCACATCGTTGGTACGCACAAAATAAAAAAAAAAAAAAAAAACCAGTTTACGAAAACAATTGTTACGGACTAACATATGACTTTTAAGAAATTTAAATTCATACTGAAGGCGCATTAAATGTTGGCCTGCTACCCTACCAAATGGATAGTCACTAATGTTTTCAGATATGCAATGCCGTGCAACCAGCGTCATTACTTTATTTACTCACCTCGTATAGCGGTAATATTATCATTTTTTTTTTAGAGCTACTTGTTTCTTAAGTTGTCCATAAACAATTGTTCGAAAAATATTAATAATGTCTGTGATAATAACAACGAGTGCATTACGTTACGTTGATCACTCTGTATGGGCGGTATGTGTTTCCGATAATACTGTCGCCATTATTACGTAGCGATAACCGGACGAATTATTGATTTTATCGCTTGAACGCTCTTATTGATGTATGCATTGAGAAATCCCGTCTTCAGATAGCCACACTTCACGTAAATAATATGCTCACTTTAATGCAATATAACGGTGTTAAATTAATCAACATATACGAATTTGAACAGTTGCAAAATAATGCTTAACGTTGTGCTATATTGTCATCGTATAAAAACGTACCGTTCGATGTTACACGCGATTAGTTCAAGAGCCTCGTCATACGGTTTTATTATTCGTTTTTGATAATTGCCTAAATTATAAATTCGATATTTTTTAAACACTATTATTATATAATCAACATATTCTGTATTAACGTATAATATCCATTATAGAAAGTGCCTACTTAAAGTAAACCGAAAGATATACGCGCATGGTTAGGTTTTTTTTTTTTTTTTTTTTTTTTAATTAACGATTCATCTTTTAAACATTAAACTTAATCGGTATTAAATTCATTAACGAATGCCATTTTTTTTTGTTTCAGATCGCGAGCAATTTGACTTCCACCGATACCGATTAAAAATTCGATAACATTATGGCCGTATTGTTTTTTTTATAATAACGATTGCCGTTACGATTCACGATCGATCGTTACGGAATCGCGTGCCAAATGAAAATGACGGGCGACACCCTGTTGAAATTAACATGTTTTATCGGATGTATATTGACGTGTCTATCGTCCCGCGCACCGAGGGCGCGTGTCGACTCCGGCGAAATTGCAGGCGGTCGTCAATATACGTATAATAACGGCCGACAGTTTTACTCGTACCTGGGCATACCGTATGCGAGTCCTCCGGTCGGCAATTACCGATTCAAGGTATACAGAGAACTGTCATATATACCCGTATTTTAGAATAAACAATTTAAATACTCGGGTCACTCTTTTCGAAGGAACCGCAACCCTTGAGACCTTGGTTGGGCGTATGGAATGCGACCGTTCCCAGCAGCGCCTGCTTAGGGACCGATTACCAATCCGTCGATTACGGTATTATCGGCCAGGAAGACTGTCTGTATCTCAACGTGTATACGCCAAAGGTAAACCGCACTGATACCCACCACTTATATTTTATTAACGCGATTTGTTCGTTGGTGTATACGTTGAAGTAACTTATTAGATACCGTCCTGATATGAATCGGACAAAAAGCCGCGGTGTGACGATTTCGCGCGACACCCCCCGTGTATAGATGGCAGCATACATACACGTACAATTTACATTCTTACGATGATACAAGCGTACCACGTTTACGATAACCAAACTATAAAATGTGTTTTAAAGCTATTGTATGTATACAGTTATGTACTAATAATTGTAGATTACAATAATTTTCGAAACAATCGCGATTTTAAAATTTATTATGACAAATTGTGAGAGGATCAATAAATTTACAAATTTGAGATCATATTTGTTCTTTATATAGATACTGATAAAAATTATTTAAAAATTCCGACGCAATCGTCACCTTAACGTTGTTTTTGTCTTTGTATCAATTTCACGGCAGGCGGTTTTAAATTTGTTTTTGTCCATCCGCAAAAAGATAACTTTTCGGTGCCATTCGGGCTCTGGATAAATCTAGATTTTTTTTAAATTTTTTTAAGTTAGAAAACCAATATACAGGTTATAAATTATAAATTTAAATTAACGACCTTTTATAAACAGAAGGATGTGGTGAAGACAGAGAGTCACAGTTAAATATTTAAAAGAAACAAAACAAATTGGCTCTGGTTTATGTTGTTATTATTTTGTTTTACAAAATGTGAAGTGAAAAAAACCCATTGAATTTTACCCAATACTAAATGAATCGTTTTAAAGATTTAATAAACTGCTGAACAACAATTGTATAACGATTAGGAAATCTCCTATCCGATATTAAGTCTGTAAAGCCCGTCGAAAAAATTATAACGCGCAAAAACAGGTCGGACAAACTAATCTCCTTTCTCGCAAAATTTGGTTCTAGCCGACTAACAGTGTTGGTCACGTACCTGGACGTAGTTCCAAACGATTTTTCCGAGGAGAACGCTTAAAATGAATTTCGGCGCCGGGCGCCGATTTTACGCGCTCGGCACCGTGTCTTCGCGTAACTTGTAAAAACCGCACTTTAAACACCAAACAAGATAACGTCGATCGCCGATATTATGTTGTCCGACAACGGGACTAGTTTTCCAAACGGGGCCGGCACGTAAAAATCACACGTTATTATTGATTCGATACAGTCGCCCCGAGAGGACAGGCCGGGCAGTTTAATGGACGTGGTGGTGCACATACACGGCGGGGCGTTTATGGGCGGCCAAGGCGTTAATTACAGTCCGGAATACCTGTTGGACGACAACGATTTTGTGTTCGTGACGATAAACTACCGCCTGGGCGTGCTGGGGTTCGCCACTACCGGCGACGGCGTATTGCCGGCCAATAACGGCATGAGAGACCAAGTGGCGGCGTTGCAGTGGATCCGACGGAACATCGCCGCGTTCGGAGGCGATCCCGACAGAGTCACGATTACTGGCTTGTCGGCCGGCGCGTCCTCCGTCCATTATCACATGATCTCGCCCATGTCGCGCGGTAAGCATATCGCGGGGCGATCAATCTGTCGTAAGACGTCCATTGTCCCGGAGAGTATTTATGTTTGTTCGGAATTCGTTTTGCGGAAAATCTAATAAACGCACTGCTCCGCAGTTTTATTTTTATGTTATTTTTCGTCGCCCTTATTTTCGGAGGCAAAACTACCATATACTTATGATTTTCAAACGGCAACCTGTTTTTTGAAAATTCCATAAACAGACGGGATATTAGTTGAAATACATTTTGGTGGTGACATTTTTGATTTCCGTCAATCCGTTGACACGGCATTCCGCTTTCAGTTTGGGTCAGGGGAGAGCAGTGGAGCATCATTTGTGAGCGATGAGACGCGCGGTGTTTTAATAAACTACTTGTTTCTTAAATGTTCTACGAACCAAATTTCGAAAAAAGTTAATACTTTCCGAGATAATGTGTCTTACGACGGATCGATCGCCATGCATGTCGGAATCGTCTGGTCACATTTTGTAATATGGATCAAGTTCAAAGTGAAATCGGTGTTGAATAGAAATATTTACTTTATAATATTACTCGTACGCGTAATTTGCAATTCCCGGGACATTTTTTAATTTGACCCATATTTAGGTTTATTTAATAGGGCGATCCTTCAGAGTGGGAGTGCTTACTGCCATTGGTCGTATGCCGAAAATGTTACTCAAAAGACTAGCCGTGTTGCCGAAATATTGGGATGCCCAACAAGTAGTTCAGAGAAAATAGTCGAATGCCTTCGTTCTAGACCGGCGAGAAAAATAGCCGAATCTGCCATCGAATTTATGGTAATTGTTAATTTTAATCATACTTTTTTTACATTAAATTTTATTGATTTTTTTTTTTTTTTTTGTATAAGCGATGGTTAAACAATCCTTTTTCGCCGTTTGGACCAACCGTCGAACCAGTTGGAGTGGAACCGCGGTTCTTGCCGGATATCCCGGAAAAACTAATCGCTTATGACGTTCCAGTGCTGATGAGCGTAACGCAAGACGAAGGTTATTGTTTAACCGCAGATATTATTTCCAAGAACGCTATGGATGATTTGAATACTAATTGGAATGAATATTTACCACACTTACTCGATTATAATTACACAATATCGAACGAATTTCTGAAATCTGAAATTGCAAAAGATATAAAGAAGTTTTATTTTGGTGATAAACCGTTATCAATAGTAACCATTACCAAAGTAAGTTTTAATGTATATTTCAAGGAGATTCAGATATCAAGAGCCTCTGTATACAAATCTGAAACAAGTTAATAGGTTTAATCTAAATGATTTATTTTCTCTTCATATTAATTTACAAAATATCTTGAATTAAAATCAAATTTGTAATTAGAGTTGACGGTTTCACAGATGGTGTCGGATAGAATGTTTGGATATTCTGTGAGTAAAGCAGCTCAAAATATTGCGTCAACAAATACAGCGCCCGTGTATTTTCATCAATTTGGGTATGGTGGTAAATATTCCTACTTCGTAGACCCAACATACCATTCTCGAGGATCGTGTAATTATCAAAAAAAAAAAAACTATTTTTTATTATTGTGTGTAAAATATTGTTAATATCGTTTAACCACTTAGATGTATCTCACGGTGACGAAACCATGTATGTATTAAAAATTAACGGCATAACTCCCCATGACAATGAAGAAGATACAAAGATGATTAAAACGATGGTTAATATTTGGGCATCCTTTATTAAAACCGGGTAACTATACAATCTTAAATTAATTCAAAACTACTCTTTCATGTAAGGGGCCCATTATTTGTATTGAATTTGTACGATTCATAAAATGTATAACGTATATTTTATATTAATCATGTCATTATTTCAGAGTGCCAGATATAGGAAACTCGACAACTTGGTTACCCGTATCGAAGAACTCGGCAGATCCATTTAAATATATTGAGATCACTCAAGACCAAACTTTCGAATTCAAAGAAGAGTCAAATTATGGAAATTATGAATTTTGGAGCAGTTTACCATTAACCGAATTTAATGAAATTAGAATATCAAATGACATAAATCACACTGAGCTATAAAGTGTAGATATGAACTAGCACAACGATTTTTGAATAGTAATGAATCGTTTTCAATAACATTTAAATAAATTATTAAGTACATTTAATATTAGATACGAGTGTACAAATATGGACGGATATTATAATGTAAAATCATATATATTTTTCTTAAATGTTTATATTGAATATTTTATTGTTATAATGTTTTATTTAAAAGCGTATTATTATTTTAAAGTTTAAAGTACCATCCAAAAAATGATAATGTTATTACTTACCTAATTACTCTTTTAAAATATATTAATGCATACATTGGTGAAATGTGAAATTAAGCCAAATACTTTAAGTGTATAACATATAACATATATGAGAATATAACCATTCTATTATATTATGAGTTTTTTCAATTATATTTTGAAAAAAGACGGACATACTGCGCATGCGTGTGGGCCATTATTATAGGTGAGAAGTTGAGAAGGTAGTGGGGAAAATAATGTATATCTGTATGCAACGATTAACCATTGCTAACAAAAAACGATTTTTAGCGGAATTCGGTTGATAGTGTTGCTTTTTCAACAATATATGCGTCATATTATAGTAAAATAATTACATACTCGTATTAAGCATTAAATATTTTCTTTAATAATATTTGTTTTAATATTGTACCTATTTTCCCGTTTTTCCTAGTGTTCCCATTTATTGGGAAAACTCTTGGGAAAATCAAAAAATGACCCCCTTAAAGTACCACTCTAGTCAGATTTCCTTTCAGAAAAAGTGCTAACATTGTAAATCTGAGCAAAATTGCATATCCGTTAAATTAGCACCGGCACATTATGCTAGGACTATACAAATAGCATCAATAATTTGCTTGGAATTTTCGTATCAAATTTTGACGAAAATCGTTTAGGTAAAAAATAATGACAAACAAATCCAGTGTCTGGTCCATACAAATTGTTTAAATAAATAATTATTTTATTATTATATGACAGATATATTTTTAAAAAAAGCAATACTCCTCTCAGAGTCGTTAAACTCTCGTTTTCTAACAGAATTTTTGCTCTGACGTACAAAGTGTAGCATTAAATGTAAAAAATTGAACATATAATACATCGTAACCACTATTAAACAAATTTCGTTTTGATCAATATAATAAAGATAACTTTATCACTATGTCGTTATTATTATTATTATTTTTAATACCTAGATACTGACAATACTAATCATCATAATATATTTACTTTTAATAATAGTATTTAATCTTTTTGTCATTATCAATACCTATTACCAAGTTAAATTTTATTTGTTTTACAATAGGTTTAAAATATTCAACCTCCCTCAGAGACTATAGGGGTCCTAGCAAAATCCAAAAATGTTCTAGCAAAATCTAGCAAATTTGGCTGAATATATTGGCATCATTTTTTTTTGGAATCGGACAATGTGTCGGTGCCATCACAAAGATAGCACCGGTATTTTTGTTTGTGGATTTTCAAAGTTTGTGAACCCTAACAAAATCCGAAAATGCCCTAGCAAATTCTTAGAAAAATATTGATACTAGTTGTAGAGTCCTAACATAATGTGTCGGTGTCAACTTAACGGACATCAAAATTGCTGTTAGAAAAGTTGTCCACGAAAGAAAACAAAATGAACATCATTGTAAAACCAAAATACATTCCTCGCTTCGCTCAGAATCAAAAACTTCGTATTACTCTATGTGTTATAATATAAACCTAGTACATGGAGGGCTTTGCAAACAATAAATAGTTAAATAAATATTTTAACAACAAAAAATTATACTTGCAGTTGTTGATTTGGCTGTCAAGCAGATGTTTATTATTCGTAAAATTATTATTAATTTAAATATGAGTATTTAAAAATGTGCTATCAAATTAAGATTTCTAATTTATTTAGGTTTTTACACCTAAGTATATTAATATACTAGGTTACCAAATTCTTTCGAAATTGTTTATGGAATTAAAAATTATTATTTAAAATACGTTTGGAAACCAAGGACTTCGCATTCTTGCAGAGTGAAAAATAGTACGCATTCCTTAGGTTTTTGTTTTTTATTTGTCAATATCTATTTCCACAATATACATTTCAATGTTAAATCATATTAATATTTTAATTGTTTTTGATACATCCGCGTTGGTGACACATAAGCCGTGTTGAGTACTATAAATGGGCGTTTTATTTGAGGATTTGTTTTTTAGATTTTTAGAGAGAGTACTCTACGCGTTTTAAAGTGTTTGAGTATACACAATGTGGTTTAAGTTGTACACCCGTTATCGGAAATAATCATTGAGCGTTTGAGTGTTTCAATTAGCGTGACAAAAGTAAGTGCACCCGGTTTAATGTTTACTTTGCGAAGTTAGGCCGTACCAGCATTTTAGACGTGCAAGAAAATTTTGTATATAATACTATATATACTTAGGTAAGAGTGGTGCGAGTGTGATTTTACGAGACGTTTTGAGTAGTAATCCCATAAAAACCGAGAATATAAATCGTGCACAGCGCGTGATCATCGGGTTAATATAAATTTATACATTAATGTATAAAATATATTATATCAATTATTCATAAGTGTAATGCAATGTAACAATATAATTACCAGGTGATTCATTTAAGTGGGTGCACTCATTATTTTAAAAAGTATTAACTTTTTCCGGAATTTATTTTCTAGAAAATGTTCCCAGCTTAGTACTCCTAGCTGTAAATCATTGTCTATTTATAATTCAGAAAAATATATTGAATTTTGAAATTTTTTTCTTATTGTGGCCACAGTAGTCGACTTTTTTGTTATGAAATGATTATTGAACTACAATTAATTAATTTAATATTCACGGTTTTTAAGGCAGGAGCAATTTAATGTTTATTGTAAAATAAACGTCAATTATATTATGTAGAATATTCAATTTTTCAACCTAATTTTAACAAAAAATTTGTAAATTTTATACTTGATTAATGAATTGTAAAACTATAGAATTAATTATTTTTCAAAGTCAAAGTTTAATAAAATAAATATAGGGTTTTATTTAACTTTGGTTTTGAATGTTTAATAGTTCTATAATTTTATAGTATATTAAAATATTTAATAGAGTATTTCTTAAAATGTTAACTTATTCTATCATTTTCTAAACTTAGTTTAGCGATTAATACGATAATAGATTTCATGTGTGTTCATGATATTTATTATATTGCTGACATTTACCCAGTGGCGTACCCAGGAATTATCTATTGGAGGGGATGTAGCAAATAAAAATCGTGCTGAATAAACCGTAATTATGTATTCTCCAACCAACTTACTTGTGGGAATTGGTAATTTAAAAGCCGATCATTTCTAAAAAAAAAGGTCAATTTCTAATCTATACGATAAGATTTTTTTCGTAACTTGACTGAAATATAAGCATTTTGACATTAGATTATTCTCATTTTTTTTGTATTGTTAAGGGGATTATATCTCCTCCCGCGCACGCTATTGCATTCATCAACAGACCAGAAGCCAAATATTACATCGATCGTTAACCCGTGTTGAAAGAAGCTTCAGCCAATATAAATCCGTAATATAATTCCATCTCACTAATCATTGTTTTCAAAAAAATTGTGATCGTTTCATGTAATACATGTATTTCCATTGTTGAATATAAAACATAAATGTATTATTGTTTTAATAAATATGAATGAAAAATAAATAAATAATTTAAATTATATAACATTTTAACAATTAGTCAATCACTAATTTATATAAATTTATAAATAATTGTTTTCATACCTTTATTTGTGTGTGTCTTTAAAAAATTTAAATGCATATTTTTGTATATTTAATGAAAAACGCATATTTTCTTATTTTTATTAGCATACAAATCCTGGTCCTGTTAAAAATTATATATAAAGGTACCCCGCAGATAACTATTACTTACCTAATCTATTCAATACATTTTTTTTTCAGGGTTCGTCGACAATTACTTATTTATATTTTTATTTAATAATTTAGATCATGATTGTGTTCGGAATTCGAATTGCCGCCAGATCGTACGATTAAAGAATATTAAATACTTACGTACCTATACTAGTCGATTACAACGGAATGAAAACATAATTTCTACCTATCTATAATTTCGAAGTAGAGTTTAATCGATGAATATAAGAAAAAAAAAGGAGGATAGAGAATACAAATTTTCTAGTGGCTATCACGTGGTTGTGTTAGTAATCGAATTCCGACGTTATTTATTCTTAACGAAAAGTGGTTAGTTTATATATCGAATATCCCACAAAAGTAAACCCATTGCAATATCTCCTGAGTTTATAAAGATAAATAAATTCTGTTTTTCTATACTACTCGCAAGGTCGCAGGGATAATAACCATAAATATTTATATTTGAGTTAAATTTATATGTTTTAGTAAGCAAAACTAAAAAAATAACGTTTCATTTTATTATTTCCGAAAAATTTGAGGATGATCATTTATAGAGTTTATTCATCTGAAAATGTGATCTTTTCAGCTTTTTTTTTTCATTAAATTCTTTAATAATATTTTAAAGTTCAGAGAAGTGTACCTATAATTATGTAGTAGGCTGTAATCGTATTCGTTAATTGAATATTATTAATATAGCTAATTGACTGTACACATTTTTTCTTTGAACTTTAAATTTTCTGAAGAATAAATACGAGATTTCTAGAAGAAAAGTTACCTACAAACAGAAAAAAGGTGTATTTTATACGTATACACATATGTTTACCAGAAAAATATGAAGATTTATTTAATTAATTTAATAACAGCATACGGGCGGTGACTTTTGAATACGAAATAAATTAATAATTTTAATTAATATAAACAACAGTAAAAAGTAACAATAATAATAATACTAAATAAAATACAAAATTACAGTTAAATTATTTAACTTAAACCAAGAATAGCGTTATAATTAAAGATGTGCTTATTTAATTATAAATTAGTTGTCATTTGAAAACCTATGGCGATGGAGACAATTGCACAAATCAAATGTGTTACTGATCAAAGTTTCACAATTGAATTCGTTAATACATGATCCAAAATGTATGTTTAAAATCAAATAAAATAAATACAATTTCCTCATATTCACAGCCTTAGTATTAGTTATCATAATGTAGTTATTCTTCTATGCTTTTACACTTCAGAACGAAAATCAACAAGCTAAACACGCGCGCAATTAGATCTTGTAAAGCTCATTGATTTCGCTTCACGTGGTGTGTCGATCTGCAGATAAACAACTATATTTCTCTGTAGGTATTTTTTACGAATTGTCACGTAGGTAGGTATATGATTGTCACCTTTCCTCGTTCTAAAATAAATTTAATTAATTTATAGACGCCTAGTTTAGATACAATAATTTATCTAATACTCGTCTGTTAATCACTTATAAACATATCATGCACTTTAAAAAAAAGGGAGACTTTTTTATCATGAACCAGCAATTATTTCCAAGTTTTTTTAAGTGAATTTGATTTCTGTTTTTCTAATCATTATGGAATCGTTTAGGCTTTACTTTTAAAACCATTTTAAATTTGTTTACCTCTACTCTATATACCTTAAATAAGTACATACTTTTATTTTTGACAAACAGGAACATTCTTTTTGAACACAGATTTAAATAGAGAATATTTTTCTATACACTTTGAAATGCATAACACTAATATCAGATTTACCATTTATGATCCATAACAGTTGAAAGTTTAGATCGGAGGAGTAGAGAAGGGTTATAAATTCCCTTTGATATAAGTGTTATGCATACCAAAATATATAAAAAAATATTCAAATCTATGTTCAAAAGGGAGTGGGTTCCTATTTGAAAATCGAAAGTATGTACTTATTCATGGTATATGGAGTAGGGGTAAATAATTAAAAATGGTTTTAAAATAAAACTTAAATGATCTCATGATTAGAAAAAACAGAAATCAAATTAACTTAAAAAACTCCGAGATAATTGCTGGTTCATGATAAAACAGTTTGCCTGTATATAGAAAAAAGTGTTCCAGGGGGAAGTGACTGGCCGGCGTCATTTGAAAGTATTCCAAAAATTAAGAAGAAACTTCTTTTAAAGTAAAGGTCTAACATTTTTTTTTTAAGTTACGGGCAAATTAAGTTGTTTTTAATGAAACCGTATCTACCAAGCATTTTTCTTGAGTATCTTCAAAACTTTTCAACTTGTGAACGTAATTTTGTTTTTATTTTATTGTGCATCTAACATACACAATTAAACCAGACATTCACAAATTAGTTTTATTAAATTAAAAGAAGTAAACATTTTTATTCTTAAAAATAAATCACGTATAACTCCAAATAATTTTCTATTTACATACAAATGTCAGGGCCAATTTGAGCCATTTTTGAGTTATTTATAGACATTTAAATTTTCCGAGTTTTCTTACGTGATTTTTATTTGGCAGATACCCTATGATTAAACGGTTAGAACTGAATAGAAATTGTTGAAAATTTGACCGGAAATTCATTATAACTTGATAAGTCGTACTTAGTGGTGAAAACAAAAATTGAGAGTAATGTTTAATATTTTTTTTTTTTTTTTTTTTTTTTCTGTATAAGAGTTTTAAAATCAAATTTTGACGAAAATCGTAAATACTACGACCTTTCAAAACATATAAAACCGAACTTCGCTCCGAATGGTTTTCCGTTAACATTGGTTTGTCGTTGGCTACACGTATATTATATTAAATTATTTTATGTATCCATCTTTCCAACTACCCACCTGCAATAGCGGCCGCACCCGTCCCTAGTATCAGCTCATTTGAAAGTTTCGTTTCTAACCGAGAAAAATACACGCCCGATCTATCATAATTTCCCGGTGAATTTACCAAGAATACCAAGAATAAATCGTCGTTCGAAATTCCACACTTCCAGTGTTTTGTAATCGGTTTCGTATAACCGCTGAAACGGCGTTTACCGCTAAACATTTATATCCACAAATATATATTCACGTACCGGGTGTTCTACGGAGACGACACACCTATTATTGGCGCACCCGTGATTTACGGAACAACAAGTCCCAAAAACATTACCGTTAATTTTTCGGCCGCACACGAATTGCGTTCAAAAACGAAAAAAAACAGCCCGATAAGTGACTACGCGAATCGCGTCCGTTTTACCCGCGAAAATTACATTTCGCGGTCGAATCGCCCCGGTTTTGTACGGACTATCGTTTTTGTTCGGATCTCGTACATTTAGTGCGCGCGCCGTTTGTTCGGCCGTAGTCGCTTCGTATTGTTCTATACAACGCGCGCACGTGTGCAATTCGTATTTTGGCATTCGGGACCATCGGGGATTGAACACGTTTTGCCGGTACTTTGATTTCCGTTCGCGCGGTCGGGTCGGCGCGCGGCGTTCGAACAGCGCCTCGGCCGAACATTGAAAACGGAACGTCCCGCCGAAACGGGTCGGCGAAAGTCAATCGACGTCAACGCGTGTCTATGCGTGCGGGTTCGAACCCGCACGCGCCCCAGCCGCCCCGCGACGTCCGTTCGGCGAGTTTTTTTTTTTTTTTAAAATATAAGTCGGGCCGCCGGTCGAAAATCTTTATTCGCAGTCGGACGTTTCGTCCGGGGTAAAGGGACGCCGACAACACGTTCCGAGACGTCGCGGCGAACGTGTTTTCGGGGGACAACACGCTGTACGCTGCCACGCGCATCGGAATCGGTTGGGCTTTCGTTCGAGTACGATCAATATTTCCGTACGGGCGCGCAATATGCAAACGCGACATCGTAAACAATAATACGTCGGGTTTATTATTTAATTTTTTTTTTCCTATCGAATCACGTGCGTAAATCCCGTCTGTCGTCGGTGACGTGCGTGTTGTTTGTTTGTTTGGTTTTTTTTTTTTTTACGCGGCCGTTTCGAAATCGCGTCGATATGATCATTAACGTGTTCGTTATTGTATTAAGCGGAATAAACCGGCACATTAACGTCGCGAAAACGAAAGCGCTCTCGTCGGTTCGTTTTACGCGTGCATTCCGGTTAACGAGCGAATAATGTGTCCCGCGGCGTTTAATATCGTATTTTTTTTATTTATTATTTTTTTTTCTCAGAACGCACCGCGTAACGATATAATCGTCAAACGAAATACAGAAGATCTCGACGACCGAGATTAGATTAAAAATTGTGCCCACCTGCGATGTTAACAGTATCCGTGGCCTACTCGTGATATAATCGTCGTGTTCGCCGCGCACAAGCACACTACGCGGTGACACGGGCGGTCACGAATCGCGCTGCGCGTCATTGTCAATCGCGGCCTAACTCACGGGTGACACCGTTGCGACACTACTCCGGCAGCCGCGTCGATCCAGCCGGTCCCAGAGCCTATTTCGCCGGTTTTCGTCCGCGCGACCGTACCGTTCCGGATAACACACCGCCGCCAGCCCGTCATGCGAATGTTCCCGGCGGTTTTCGCGGCGTTTCTGGCCGCGGCCTGGGCGACGACCGCGGCGGCGGCCGACCTGAGCCTGGTGTTGCTGCACACCAACGACATGCACAGCCGTTTCGACGAGACGGACGTGTACTGCAACGAGTGTCGCGAGGACGACGCGGCCCTGGGCAAGTGTTACGGCGGTTTCGCCCGGATCGCCGAAACGGTGCGCCAGGAGAAGCAAAACGCCACGGACCGGGGATTGCCGTCGCTGTTCATGGTGGCCGGCGACACTTTCCAGGGCACGGCGTATTTCTCGTTTTTCAAATGGAAACCGTGCGTGGACTTTATCAGGGAACTGAAACCCGACATAATGGTAAAAATACAACTACGGTGTAGACCGCGCCTATACGCGTATCGCGATCAATTTAAACGACCTTTCCGCGGCCCCACGCTCGTCCGTGAATTCGGCGGAAAAATGTTTCGATGTTTTCAGTATAACGACATTCGTATTCGGCCATGTTCCATAACGGAAAGGTTTCGGACAAATTTTTTTTTTTTTAAATCCGTGAAAAATTGATAAACTGCAAAGGTCTAACAAATGCCGTGTTATAGGCGTTGAAATAAACCGACGTCTCGGTTATTAAATGGTTTCAGTAAACTAAGCATGGATTAATTTAAAAAAAAAAACAAATTATTTATTAGTTATCTAAAGTAGGTACTTAAATCTGCTGGTTTTCAACAAAATAAATCGTTATTATTTTCATTGAGACAGTGAGTACCATAAAAATATTGACATCCTCCATAGACATAATAAAAATACATAATATTTTTTAAATTACGATATCACTCAACCATTGTTGGCGAGTGCCGTGAAGTGTATAAAATATTTTAAGTAAACAAGCTGATGAAAATAATTAATTCGCCGGAATTACTAAAAAATAATGATAGAAAAAAGGGGTTTTCAAGCAATAGTTAAAACGCAAAACATTTTTCACCTAACTCAGCTAAACAAAATGTATTTATTAGAGCTATACAACTATAAAATATAAAACATACAACTGGGAGATATTTTCGCGTTTAATAAACAGCAATTAGAAAATCGTATTCTAGTTGGGTAAATTTGTTTGCAAAATAAACTTTTAACTCGACTAATATGTTAACTTGCACAGTATATAGTGGGTCGCAGATGGACGAAGTGTGGGGAATGACTGGAATTCGGAAAATTAGACTGCTGAGTGAGCAATGAAACGATAATTTAATTTTAAATTTTATAAAACCCATCGTTTTCTAATTTTTTGTTTGATATTTTGTTATCTTTGTATATTATTAGGTATCGTTAATGTTATCAATATATTCCCAGTACTTACTTACATATAAATTAAAACATTTGTGAAAATACCATATCTTATATTTACCATGGAAATACATACATAAAAAAATTTAATTTATTGTATACTGTATTGCGTATTTCAGACTTTGGGAAATCACGAGTTCGACGACGGCGTAACCAATCTCGTGTCGTATTTAAAGGGAATTAACACGACTATAATTCCAACTGTAGTATCGAATTTGAATATGACGGCAGAACCCGAATTAAATGAACTCGTGTCAACGTCACATGTGTTTACAATCAACAACACGAAAGTCGGTGTCGTTGGATACTTAACAACGGATACTCCGGTAATTGAATTATATCGCGTTAAATTGCATTAAATTGCTTGTCAGTTAATTTTTATTTTTTTGTATCCTGAGGGTAACGAAGAACTGTGTTTTTTTCTCTCGGATAACACATTTTCGGTTAGCAAAAATATTCTTATTTGTTCGAGTCATTTGAATATGCAGTTTGTTTTATCTGGTGTGGTTATTTATCTGAAAAGATTGCCTATGAAATACCAACAATTTTTCTGAAAAAATTCCTGACAACAAACAACGATACCTCGATATATTGTATTTGTTGAATTTTGGATTACTTTCTATGGCTGTAAGGGTAAAAAAAAAACATTTTTAAGAATAATAATTCACTGAACTCTGCTCAGAATCTTTTTTTAATTGCGATAATTATTTGCAAAGCTGGCCGTTAACGAGTTACAAAGTTAATTTGATTTTTAACATTTTAACTTAATTAGTTACTTTTGGGTTTCCGTTAACCTAACTACTAACTTAACTTAATTCTTTATTAATCAACGTGAAATCAACAAATTAAATTTAAATTTTAAGAATTTAAGTTAATTTTGATTTGATAAGCGAAGAATGTATTGGTTTTACTATTAGATTTTTTTTCATCAATCGATTTCGTTTTCATGTCGACAAATATTTCGGTCAATGTTATAATACAGTACCTAGTACAGCCATAGTCGATTAACTATCGTCTTTTACACACACATGCATACTAATAGTATCTGTATGGTGTATAAAAGGTTTGAATAATTAATACAACTCGTTAGATAGGCATAACGAACCATTGTTATTTACTTTAAGTAGAAAAAACCTTCATTACTATATCAAAGTAATGTACAAAAATATACTGTATAATTATAAACACTATGTAGTTTTAATTTTTAAGTTGGTAAATATAGAAGACTAGTGTTATAAGAAGTTAAAACAAATTCTGTGTTAATTTTTAACTACTCATCTAATCTAATTGCAGAGTTTAAAAAAAAAAAAAAATCATTAACTTGCTCAGCCTTGGTTATTTGTTACGTACTCATAATTTCATTTCATTCCATTTTAATGACATTAACATAAATTAATTTTAAGTTCTAAATACTATGGAATCTTAATCTATAATATTAAAACTCATTACTACGATATATTTTTATTATTATAAAGACTATATCGAACACCGGGGCCGTTGAGTTTTACGATGAAATTGAGTGTTTAAAAAAGGAAACAAAAAAATTACGCGATGCCGGTGTTAACATAATTATTGGCCTTGGTCACAGCGGCATTGAAAAAGATAAAATAATTGCGAAAGAAGTGGAAGAAATTGATTTAATCGTCGGAGGACATTCGCATACGTTTTTGTACTCCGGTAAGCGTTACTTTATAATTATTCTAAATTGATATTAATATATTATCATTTATTATACAATTTTATGGTGAATGTTGTTTTTCAGGAATAAAATTATTACTCAAAATTATTGTCCCTTATAATATGTGTAGTTAGAATCAAATTTTCGGTAGTGTTTTAGACCTCTAAACAGTGCAAATTAAATAAAATCATGAGGGATGACAAACTTTTAGTTTTGCATTGGATAAATAATGATTTATCCCCCATTTCCTTCCCACAGAAAAATGTGTATCGCCCCCTGAAAATGTATAATATTACATTGTAAACTCAGTGGCAGCTCGCGGCTTGGACGATAGGACGATCGCACTTTCTGTGTAGAATTAAAGGAAAGGACAACTCACAATTTTATTGCTCTTTCAACAATGTGCGTTTTCACAACACCAATTATTTAAAACAATTAAAAGGTTAAAATAATAAAAATTTAATAAAACAATTTTGCCCATGACAATCTTATTTTTAATATTTTTATCGTTTTTAACAAAAAGAACCAGTTTTTCTTCGAATATTAATGAGAATTTCAAAAAATGATTGTTCTAAAGTCCAACAAGAGTCAAAATGCAACAAAAAATTTCTCGTGTCATGTACTGATTCGAACAAGTTTTGTAGAAGAAAAGTTGTTTACAGATAGAATATTGTTAGAATTTATGAGTAGATATTATTAACAACTGTTAATATAAATATATTATATATTGTTTTTTGGAAATTCCAAATTAAAATATTTAAAATGTATTCAAATTTGACGTACAAAATTATTCATTAAAATGCAAATTAATGAATTAATTGATTTTTCTCAAAACAAATTTTGGGCTATTTTAATTTTGACCCATCATTTAATAAATTAGAAAATTACGTGTGTTATTAACACGGCACCCCGATAAATTAAATTAATACATTTTGAACTCAAGTCGTCCACGTTCCTGGCTTTTTATTCAGTAATGTATTGATACCTTGTATCGATGATAAAATACATTTATTATTTATTCAGGCAAACAACCTAGCATCGAAAAACCCTATGGACCGTATCCGTTTTACGTGACAAACGTGAAAAATAAGCCTATACCTATCCTACAGGCTTACGCGAATACCAAATACTTCGGAAAAGTCGAGTTACGATTTGATTCTAACGGCGTCTTGGTCAACATCAATGGCGAGCCAATGATAATGGATCACAACGTAAAAGAAGGCGAGTGTATTTACCTTAAATTCCGACGTGACGTTTAAATAATAATAATTTAATTTTTCGGATAAATTGTTACAATTTAATAAAAAAAAAGTCTAATACTATTGTGTATAATGATACTATTATAGATCCGTCGATGTTGAAAGTGCTCGACCAATGGAAACCGTCGGTGACGAAAATCACAAATGTCACTGTGGGGCGTACGGTCGTAGAATTGTTGAACATCTGTCACCAAAAGGAGTGCAATATCGGAAATCTTATCACCGATTCGTTTGTTTACTACGTAAGTATAATAATACAGTGATTTTGATGTGTACACATATTTAGTATTAATTTTATAATATAATCATCTGTTTGTTTTTAAGAACATCTTGACGAAAGTCAATTACAGTGAACAATTTTGGACCGATGCTCCGATCTCACTTATTCAATCTGGCGGTATTAGGACTTCGATTAGCGAAGTGGACCATGATGGTAATCAATAATATATTCTACTTTTTCGTGTAAAAAATATTAACTAAAACTAAAATATCCGATAATGTATTTGAAATTTAAACGTGTATTCGGTTTTATTGAAAAGCAAAATGCGAATATATAATAGCTAGGAAATTCAAATTAACGAACTCACTCTATAGTCTCTAGAGATTCTAGACTCTCACAAAGTCCCTATTGTGCACTAGTTAGCATTCGAGTAATTAGACAAATATTTGAAAACGAAATAATATTAACAATAATGGTAATAAAATAAAATAAAAATATTTAAAGTTTTATCCTGGGTCTCGAAAATCTTAAAGACGGTCTTAAAGACTGCTCCCGAAAATGAATTTTTCTTAAAGACCTCACTATCTCTAAAATTGATTTCCTGTCATTTTTCTCACTCGTCTACTTTAAAGTAATTTCTTGTCAAATCACGCAATGCTAGTGAGAGAAGAAAAATCCCCATTCTCTCAAAAATGTAACACTATCTCATAAGATATTTAACATTATATAATAATCATAGGAACTATAAAAAAAAACGTACTTATTAATTGACCCAAGCCTGACAAAAATTAAAATAAATAAATAATCGTACATTTTAAAATGCTTTAAGCCTTTACCTGTAACCTTATAGGTATACCACTATATTAGGATAATCGATTGCAGGAGTTGAATTTTTCGATATTTTAATTTTCTCCTTATCCGTGAAATTACTGACCCAGTACAAAATCGTATTAGACTGTTAATATTGTAATTTTTCTTTAAAGCACGTCATTAATAATTAAGTCATTCAAAATAGTCGAACACTACAATATCTTTTATTCATGAATGTATACTACGTAATTGCAATCATTGCAATATTGTAACAAATGTTCTATATAATTCTGTTCGTGCTAAAAATTTACTATTCCCGTTTCTTGTGTGATCAATATTCTCGAATGTCAATAAATTTTTGTTTTTTTAATATATGCGTATACTCTTGTGTTTACTCGTTTATATCCCGCAGATTAACTTCTAGTAGTTTTTTAAAATTCTCTTTCGCAATCACTGCAAAATAATTATTGATTACAAAATTAAAACTAAACTTTACGCATCTAATATTAAACATAGTGTTATTATTTTGTGTGAACCGTAGGTTACATAACTTTGGGGCAATTGTTAAACGTTATACCATTTATGAATAAACTTGTCAAAGTTACGGTATCCGGTCAAACCTTACTAGAGGCGTTCGAACATAGTGTTTTCGACTATATGCATGGCCGTGGCAGTGGCAAATTTCTACAAGTTTCCGGTGAGTATAAAGTAAAATTGTTTAATTTAATTATTTAACTGGTAATTTTGATTTTCCGAAAAATATTCAGAATACAGTTCTGTATATTATGCATCTAATTATAACTCCTTGGAAGCAATAATTTTCACATATTTGTAAAATTAAACAATTGTAACTTTCATTTAAAATGCCACGGTGAATTAGGAAATAGGTAAAGGAATACTAATAAACGCAGCAATAATTTTTGATAAACATCATTGAAGTCAAAAACAGTTTATGAGTATAGTTCAGAAAAATCTACAATTTCAATAGGTACCTACTTATATTTTTCACTATTTTTACAATACCTCGCTTCGAAAAACGTTACTCTTGTTTACATTTCGTGTTTATAATATATATAAAATAAAAAGTATTTTCAATAAAGTGTTATCAAATAAAAAATTCGCATCATTTGTACACTAATATTGTTTTTATATTTTGTCACGATGAATCCAACGTGATCATAATAAAAAATCTTCACAATTATTAAAAAAATGTATTATTTTCTACTAGCCCGTTTTTTTTTTCAACTATTATTATTATGTATTACAAAAGTTAGAAAATCTGTATGTTTATTATTGTATTTATACATTTCTGATTGTTTTTCAGGGGTCAAAGTCGATTACGATTTAACTCAAAGTCCGGGAAATCGAATTCTTTCAATGTGGATCCGATGTGGTAATTGTGCCATTCCTAAATATGAACCGTTAGCGTTGACTGCCAACTATACGATTATAATGAATGATTATTTGGCTGGAGGTGGTGATGATTATAAGTCATTTCAAAACATAGTGAAAAAGACTCAAATATTAGGTTAGTACTTTTATTTACAAACAAGTAATATGTATTTACGTAACTATATGGAAAATGCAAACGTTAAAATTATTTGCAAAATTTGTATTATTTTTTTTTCTTTTTGTCAACAGTCTTAAAGACAAAATGAATTTCAACTTACCGTTCACTATTTAAGAATAATAATATTATCTAATATCCCTCTATCATTGGAATTGTTTTTATTTATTTTTCATACTATAACAGGCCTTTGATTCAGTTTTAATAAATTTGTTCTCGATTTTTTTGTTCCCTTCACTGTTCAGTGTGTACTATCAAATACGGATTAAAAATTCTTGCATTAAAATTATTATGGTTTTAAAAATGAAGATTATCTCAAATTTGTTCAGATTCATGTGGTAACATAAATGCGGTCAACCAAATAGTTCATTTTTTTATTTTAAATGAAAAATTTGAATGTAGTAAATATTATAATTATTATATAATTAATATATTATCGCAAAATGGTTTTTGAATTATTTGGTGTGATACTTTATAACTTATGTGAAAACTGCGGTCTTCTAAATATCCAAAACACCATGACGAATTTTTAAACAACAGATTAAAAACTCGGAGATGATTTATAGTTATGTCCGTAATATTGATGTTATATTCGTTAAGAAACCACAACGGTTATTGCATATAAGTCCATCCCATTTATCTAAATTTAAAATATGTAATTACATTATTATTTATTCGTTATTCACATTATAGGTATCGAAGATTACAATGCAACAGCGACGTATATGACAGCCATTAGTCCTATTATGACCGGTGTAGACGGCAGAATAAACTTTAAAATCAAAGACAACGTTACCCCATCCAGTGCATCCACGGCGAATTATTCTCAATTTTTATTGACCGTTTTCACGATTTTATTATTATCTTTTAACTTTTGATTGACTCTGTTAGAATATTGTATACGTATTATTTATTGACTTGAAGATGTAATGTAATGGTAGGGGAGGTAGGAGGCTGGCTCTCTAACCAAATCCAAACATAAATGTTGCATTATATTTTTACGGACCTTAACCGAACGAAACGTAACGATGTTATAACGTGTAATATAAAATGTATGTAAATAATATAATTATATGTACTATGTGTAAAATGTAATAATTTTTTGGAACCTATAATGTCAAAATCTTTAATTATTATATAAACCAATGTGACCTACACTATGTATTTTTGCTGATTTTATTTATATGCTTGAGTTTTTGGAAAAGTATAAATATTTTCCGTTATATCATTTATTCTAATTTTACCAGGTTTTGTTCGTCAGTTTTTGTGATAGACTCGTAGCCCATGCTTCATATGCGTACAGTACAGTACAGTACAGCACGGTTGGGTGTATTACAAGGTCTGACCAATAAGTAATGAGACTATTTTTTTTTCACGCTTGTGGTAACACTGCGAATCTGAAACTTCGTTCGGTTAATCTCTCATCTGTCCTCTATTGATACATGTGCTCGCGATTTTCGTACAATAATTAGTTTTCCAGTTGTGTTATGTTTTCGACAACGTGTTTGTAAGGCGTGTCACAAATATGGAACAACGTAATATAAATTTTGCGTTAAACTCGGCGATTCCGTTATGGAAACGTACGATAAATTGGTGAAAGTGTTCGGTGATGAAGCCCTGAGTCGTGCTCAGGTGTTTCGATGGCATAAAAATTTTAAAAATGGTCGTGAAAGCGTCGGGGATGAACCGCGAAGTGGGAGACCGGTTGAAGCTCGAACTGACAACAATGTTCAGCGTGTGCGCATTCTCGTGCATCAGGATCGGCGTTTAACCGTTTGAATGTTGGCTGATGAACTTAATTTGAAACGAGAAACCATCAGAAAAATTTTAACTGATGATTTGTCCATGAAAAAGCTGTGTGCAAAGATGGTACTTTCATCATGACAATGCTCCATGCCATCGTGCCTTCAGTGTGTCGCGATTTTTGACCTCTAAGAACATCGCAGTGTTGCCACAAGCGCCCTATTCGCCGGATATGTCACCCTGCGACTTTTTTTTGTTCCTTCAAATAAAATTGGCCGTGAAAGGAACGCATTTTGAGTCCATAACTGACATCCAGAACGCCGTGACAAGGGTACTTCAGGACATTCCAGTCAAAGCCTTCCAGAAATGTTATGAGAGCTGGAAAAAACGTTGAAACCAGTGTATAGTGATGGGAGGGGAGTACTTTGAAGGGGATCACATCGATGTATCTTAATATTTAAATATACGTATTTTATTGAATTAGTCTCATTACTTATTGGTTAGACCTCGTATTAGTTTATATTATTGAAGCAGCTTGGTTTCGACTAACACAAGTTTGAAATTAAAGATTCCCTTTAAGGCGAAAAAGCTCTAATCAGCTGAGTTCATTATTTCTTACCCTAATTTATTATAATGAGATTAATTAATTGATTTTTTGTTTTTTGCTGACTTATGGATTACTCCGAAGTAATCTTTGATTGGCTACACGGATGAAACAAAAAACAGTTATTATTCGTTAATTCGGTTGTTGCAGGCAAAGAAGTACCCTTTGAAAAAAAATTGATTATTAGTCATTAACGATCAACTGTAATTACGGAAACTGAGAAAAACGGAGTAACATGCACTCGGAGTAGTATGCACTGTTAATGCCGAGCGTATAATAGCTATAGTAAAATATAAATGAAGATACAATTTCATTTTTATCAGTCTTGTCTTTATTAGACGAGTTCAATAAAGATATCATTATTTTTCATAATATTTTATTATTGCCAAGGTTAAGGTGGTTTAGGGACAGATCAAATTCTTTTAAAGTTCATGATGAATTGAAACATTGAAACATTGAAACATCGCATAAAAAAATAAATGAAAAACCATATGCTTCTTCGATCCACTCAGATTCTTAAAATTCTAAATTTAAAAAGGAAATAAATGATATGTACACATGGATATTATATATGAAGTGTAAAAAAATAAAAATATATAGGTACCTATAAAAAATACATTTATTTTAAACGTATATGATATGCCACAGCGGTTAAGAAATTTGCATTCAATTTCGTTTATGGACTACAGATTTCGATAACTTGATCCGATAATTTTTTTTGTGTTAACGATTAAAATTTTAGCATTGAATTATATTACAATAATATAGTCAATAGTATTAAAATATGATATAGGTGCCATAGGACCCTATGGTACCATATAGAAGATATATTGTGGTAAAATAATTACTTAGGCATTATACATATTCATTAATAATATATTTTGTTCAATATTGTAACTCTATTTCCGTTTTTCCTACGTTTTTCTCGGTTAATTTTTGGTCGAAATTCAAACAATATACTCTATAGTTTGTTCCTATTAATGAAATCATAAGTAGCTTTGAAATCTACAAAGAGGAGGTGAATATCCTATTCAAATTCTTGACATTTTTCGATTATTTGTTTAATGACGTGTATTTGATCCAAAATTTTCTTATCATAAATCTTGCCTGGTAATCTCCAATTATATCGTGTGTGTATAAAATTCTAATAAGTAAAATATTAGACAGTTTTTTTATACGAAAAATTGAATAATGAGATTCCCCCATAATTTGTACAATAGGTACTGATGTACGTCATCATGGGACTAATGGATTTCATACATATACCGTTGTTGAATTGTAATCTTCGATATCTATAAAGCGAATAACAAAAAAAAAAATTATAATATATTAATACTTATTATATAATTTATATTTAGAAAAATTGGGTGGACCTAATCGTCATAATTATTCGACGAACATAATATTATTAATACGAACGAAACAATACACTTTCTCCGAGTTTTTATTCTGTAATTCAAAAATTGGTCATCATGTTCTCGAATTTAGAATACCGCAGTTTTTACGTAGGTTTAAAGGTACAAAATAACTAACCGGGGTTGACGGCAGAGAAAACTTTAAAATCAAAGACAGCAAACCCCATGGAGTGCATCTACGAGGAATAAATTATTCTCAATCTTTATTGACTGTTTTCACGATTTTATAATAATTTTCTAATCTCCGACTCGGTTAAAATATTGCATATTTATTATGTATTGACTTGAGATATATTATAATTTTTAGTAGTGTAGAGTTGTATGAGGGTGAGACTGGTCCTAACCATACTTAAAAACAGAAATGTGTTATTTTTACGAATCGTAACCGACCGAAACTGAACGATATTGTGTAACGAGTAATATACGATAATATAATATTTATGTGTATAATATAATATGTACTATGTATATAATATAATAATTAGAGCCCGGAATTCTATGCATTTTGCTTTATTTTTTTTTTTTTTAGTGATATTAGACAATGCTTTCCAAATACATTATTTGATTTATGTAACAGAGTAAAAGTGATACTTTTATTTAGTTTTTTTTTGGATTTTTCAATGTTTTTTCATTTTTAGACCATTTTTTTTCGTTTTATTGCATAATACAAAATACGAGTATAATATATAATACAGTATTTGTACTTACTTGATACGACCATCGATTAAATATAGGTTCTAAGTACTATGATACAACTTAATAATTTAAATTTAGCTAATTCAAAATATTACTCATGTTTATATGGTTTTCCAGTCATCCAATCAAATACAGTCCCCTAGTCACAAGTATAATTTTTCAATTTTTTTGTTTTTTTTTTTTTTTCAATAAAATAAAAATATTATAAATTACTCAATAATAAAATAGATTTAAAAAAAAATTACGCAATTTTAAAAGGGCATTTTCACGAAAAAATATATTTTATAAAGCTATGCTTTTAGCTTTTTTTTTAACGCATTTTTCGATAATCAGGCTCTAATAATATATTGGAACCTCAAATGCCGAAATATTTAATAAGTATATAAATTTGACGCTATTCTTGAAAATATATAATGCTGATTTTAATTGTATACTTTCTTTACGAAAAGTATAAATATTTTTCGTAGTATATATCTTTCGAATTTTACTAGGGTTTATTTATCAATTTTTTGATATAGACTCGCAGCCCATGTTGAATATTATGCGTACAGTGGCGAACGGGTGTATCATTAGTTTATATTATAAAATCAAGCTCAGTTCTGATATGTGTTCGAATTTAAAGATTGTCTTTAAGGTAAAGAAGCACTTATTAGCCAAATTAATTATTTTTTTGATGAGCGCACTTAAATATTTCAGCGTTTTTAATGGCAATTATTCAAATTAATTATTAAGCCATTTAACCATTAGATTGTTTCATTAACATTTTGTCCTTATCAAAAATCGATAATTCGTGTAATTATATTACCCCGGTTGTTTGGCATATTAACAACATATTCACTGGCTAATTCGCTATTATAACCTTATTATATTATTCAACAAATGGTCTGACGATGTTTCGATCGTTTAACGCGTTGTCCAAACAATCAACATTATGAGATTCACACCCGTCGATTATGAAAAAAGGAAAACTGCTAATAGTAACCGCAAAAATTCAACCAAACTCTATACATTTACATTTAAAATTATGTAGAATACCTAAAAGTTATTACCTATGCGAGATATTCTTAATGACGGTTTAAACGTGCATGACTTATGGTATTATTTAATGAGTGTCACCAACAAACACGACATCAATGTCATTAAGATGTTAACTTTATCAGCTGATCTGTTATTATATTATTACCTACTTAGTATACATTTGTACATGTATTATACATTTTATACATTACCTACCTATACGTTTTAGTTATTCTATAAAGTATTTTATAAAAAATTTTCATACATTTAGTGATTCAACACTTTATCTGTAACATAATTGTATAATACATCGATGCACGATAATAACCAGTGTATACTAATTCAATTAAATTAATAGGTATTTAAATAATACTTTGTTCAGGAATTGCTTAACTCATTACATATTAATTACACTTTGAATATTGTATAATCAGTATGAATCATATTCTCTTTATTAAAAATATTAATAATTTGCTATACGTTTATTTCAAACATGCTAAAAACTGCGGGTGTAATTTTAGCTCTAAAATAGCATTGACATTATAACAGTACACAAAGAGATAAAGTCTAACAAATTCTAACAAATTTCAAACAAGTCTGAATTAAGGTCGTCAGAAATATAATCTTTCATTATTATGTTATGCATGTAACGCCAACTTCACGTACTCCTCACTATAACTTACAATTATTTCTTAGCTTCTCAGAACCTAATATGAAAATAACTTGATATGAAGAAAAAAGCTGGGAAAGTCAAAAACATAAAGTAATTTATTTTATTTCTACATCTACTCGTGATGATAAACAATTATGAGAGAAGTTTAGTTTTACATGCCTTAAAATGCTGAAATTTTTACTTCTTTTTAAAAAATTCAAATTTTAAATACTTATTAAAAAAAAACTACTATTTAACGCTCAATTTTTTTTTATTTTTATCACTAAGTACAATACATTAATGATAACCCTGGATTAACTTTTCGATCACTTTCGTTAAGTCAAAATTATTTTATCCATATAAAACCAGATAAAAACTAACGAAACTAGTATATTTCAAATGGCTGTTAATATTTCAAAAACCACCTAATCGTTTTTAAATGAATTACGTTGAGAAAAAACAAATTAAAACAAATTCAAAAAAATCGGTAAAAATGTTACTGTTTCTCGGAGATATTTTCCCGTTCTTAAATTATAAGGGAAATTTAAAACCGAACTTCTCCACGCTTCAACTAAGAAAACATTTGTTATAAAAACATCTTTCTTGTCGTTTAATAAAAATATTTTTAAAAAAAATCGCTTTGCACGCAACAGCATACAGTGAAAATTCGGATGGACTATTCGACTTATCATCATACTAATACCGTTATAATAATAAATAATAAAACGATTTGACGAGTTGTCGTCGACCGTGTGTCAATTATAATTTCATATCACAGTGTAAGTGAGTTATTATCAGCTAGCAATGGCGATTATAATTGGTCAATTAAAATGGGAGAACGCACACGCTAAGATTATCCGACGTGGTAATAATATCAGTTACGTGTGTCGCTGCAGTGACGGTATATAAACCGATGGGAATATTATACCGTTCGTAATACTTGGAGCAAAATAATATATTAATATTATTATAACACGGGCGCAGTTCAGTTCGGTTAGTTTTGGTTTTCGTTCAACGTGTCGTGTCCGCCATGAGATGGATTCTGGCGCTGGCGGCCGCGGCGATGGTCGCGGTGACGGCCACGGCCGACTTGGATCTGTTGCTGTTGCACGTCAATGACGTGCACAGCCGTTTCGAAGAGACGGACGTGAAGTCCTCGGACCACTGTCCGGCGGCGGACTTTGCCCGTGGAGAATGTTACGGTGGCGTGGCCCGGATAGCCGAAGTGGTGCGCACGGAGAGGCAGCTGGCCGCCGACAAAGGGTTGCCGTCGCTGTTTGTGGTGGCCGGCGACATTTTCCAAGGGACGCCGTACTTTACGTTTTTCAAGTGGCAGGTCTGCGCCGAAGTGGTCAAAAAACTGAGACCCGATATAATGGTAACGGCCGAATCCGTTGTTCTAGATATATAGGCTCAGATTAGGACGCGTTAGGTTAGGTCTGGTCGGCGTGTACAGCGGTTTTGCTTGGAGATTTTAAAATCGGGAATATTTCACGTTGTACAGTCGCTGAATCGCTTTTCGACATTTTTTAGTAAATGTCCACTGCTCGTACACTCACTTATTTTTTAAAACAATCTCCACGAGATCCAACCAAACCTTTCCCTTAACTTTTGGGCAATCCCCGAATTTTCTTTCATTCAAGAGTATTTTTAATATGTAATAAATTCGTTAAGGATTTATTTTCACACTGTAAGTAAAATATTACTCTACCGAGTGTCTATTGAACTTGACTATACGTCCATTTGCAGACAGAAAACCTCCTTGAAAAATGCCCTGAGACTCAAACAGCTCCCGGTTGAATGAAAATATCCGATACGAAGTATTTTGTCAGAATCATGCGTATTTGAGTTGGACTCATCGACCTAATCTAACCTAACAGCGACGTAGAGGTTAAACCGTCGATTGTCTATTGTAAAATAAATGGTTAAAAATAATAATACTACGTATACATATATATATATATATATATATATATATAAACGACGGACATATATATATATATATTATATATTATACATAATACATGGGCATTCTTCACACGATGGGCGTGTCATTATTGTAAATAAGAAGTTGGGAAGGTAGGATATAGAGGGGAATTTAATTTAAATCTATACGAAACGAAAAACCATTTCTAATGAAAAACACGATTCGGACCGAAGTTTTTTTATACGTCAATTTCCCCGTTTTTCTCAATCATTATGAAAACCACTTGGAAAATCGAAAAATGACCTCTTTATAATACCAACTAGATACAATTTCTTTTCAGAAAAGGTGTTAGTGTATTTGATACTAAGAGATGTCTGCATGGAAAAAATAAAATGTATAAACATCATTGTCAAACCAATAAATTCCTCGCTACGCTCCGAATCTAAAATAAATTAACGATAATAGGTACAGCTTCAATGTTTTACTGAAACATGCTTCCGTGTTCCGTGTCCTTCGTTCGTTCAACAAATCTCGACCCCTCGTTCTCTTTTTGTAATATCAAAAACTATTATTATACATTATTGTTACTTTTCTTAACAATTTACACCCACTACTTATACATATACAGTATACAATTTTAATTTTCTAATAGTGACATTGCCATCTCCCTTTTAAATATAAATTTGATTATATAAAATGTACCTAACATTCTAAAATTTTAATATGAATAACACTTATAGCGGATTTGAAGTGTAAGCCCATCATCCTTCTGTACGTCTTTGTTAAATATCAATAATTCCGTAATAAACAAAAGTAAAATAAAAATATAAATCGAATTCACTTAATAATTAATATCTAACGAGAAAATCGCTTGATCGAGATAAATGGACATATATGTATTAGTATTTAAAATATATTAATGCAATTTCCGTATCGTTTCAGACATTGGGAAATCATGAATTCGACGATAGTATAAAAACGCTCGTTTCGTATTTGACAGATATCAAAATACCCACGGTGTTAACGAACTTGAACATGACGGAGTACCCGACTCTAAGTGCACTCGTATTACCGTCGCGCGTGTTCACGATAAACGGCACGAAAGTGGGCTTCGTTGGATACTTGTCGACTGACTGCCCGGTAATTAAAAACAGTTAGTCATTAAATTGCACGTTGAAAATATAATACAATAATATTAAAAATATAAGAAAGTTTAAAAATTGAAGTTGCTATTGACAATTTTTTGAAATTAAAATATAAATAAAGTTTAGCATTTTATTTAACAATATGAGGTAAAGATATTTTATTACACAGTAAAAATTATTTATTTTAGATTTTAAGTATACCGAAAAGTTATACAAAGATTTGTTTCTTTTTCTGATTATAAAACATGGTATGATTTTTTTCATCCAATATCTATAAATGTCCACCACTTAATTTTAAATATTTTTATACTTGTTATAAAAAATTGTTTTTTCTCTTTTCTTTGAAATCACTTTTTTGATTAGACAAACTCTTTGATTTTTGAACACAGTACCTAAATAAATTCGGAATTTCTGTAAAGTGGTAGTTACTTATTTTATAACAATAATTGTAGACATTTTCAACAATTCATCTTGGTCACCTATTTTTGTTTTTTCTTGGAAAATCAATTTTTGTTTAGAATACTTATAAGAGAGATAAAAACTTAATAGAACGTTTCTGGTATCATTTTAGCTCCTTGTTGATTCATAAGACGGGTAATTTTTTGAAATATATAGTACGATATTGATTAATTTTTGGTCTTAAAAATGTATATGTTCTATCGATAATGTTTCGTTTTGTTTTTGTTTTTTTAAAAATTGTATTAATAAAAATTATATTAAATCAATTAATAATATTACAATTTTTCCAAATTTATATAAATTTCTGTAAGTAAAAGTGCTTACAATTTCGATAAGTTCAGAAATCTCATGAAATTCATTTTCAGTGATATGCCGGATAAAAACGTAGCCTAGAAGTGTTATGGCCAATAAGAAGTTTTCAAATGTATTATTGATTCATATTTCAAAATAATAATATTCTATATAAACAATAATCCTAAATATTAAATACTTTTGCCAAATAAAATGTATGGTTAAACTTAATTTTATAATTTATTTGTAATTCTTTGTAGTTCTTAATATCTTATTTTTTGTACCATTAAAATCTATTTATTCTTAAAAATATAAAATCATTATCGAAGTGTTTATTTTTATTTGCATTGAATTATATTTAATTTAAATATTTATCTATATTATGATATGTATAATAATAATATTACCCACATACCTACATAATATTGTTCTTTATTATAATATGCAAGTTAAAACGTTAGTTTTTTATTTTACGAAATATTTTTAGTAAATACATAGATTATAATTAAATAAAAAATTAATAAGTAGTCAAAAGTTTGTGAGATGGTTGGATTCTCGAAATTCCCTTCTGCATATGTGCCTCTGAACATTTAACTTTATACTTTTAAAGGAGGGGCAATGCCACAACGGCATCCACAAGTAGGTATATATATATATATATATATATATTCCTTATGTATGCATGTATCCATGTAATTAATTTTGTTTAGTTCCCCCCACACACAAAACCATCACGCTACGCTTATAACTATTACAGTAGTTTAAAATTTGGATTCGACGAATAACCCTTAATCATCCGGATAAAATTATGTTCTCAAGTCCATAGCCAACACTGGACGCATTAAGTTCATGAAAGAGTCGCAACCTATAAGGAATGAAATCAAAAAATTACGCGACAGCGGCGTGAACATAGTTATCGCTCTCGGTCACAGCGGCATCGATGTGGACAGAATAGTCGCCAGAGAGGTGGAAGACATCGATCTAATTATCAGTAGCCACTCTCATACGTTTTTATGTTCCGGTAAGCGTATTATGCGTTCGATATTGATTATTTGTATATCTAGTTTTTATAATATTAACTATAATTTCGTGTGATTACCATCATCATAACCTGTATACGACAAGGCAGGTGACGATAATTTTTGAAAAAAAATGTTCTCCGCATAAAAACTACCAAAACTCGGAAATTTCAAATGTCTATAAATAACCCTGCCATTATCACGTAGTCTATAAAGGACAAAATATATGCCTCGTATATTATTTTCATCCGAATTGCAACAAGAATACACAATCGTAAATGATTGTAAATTTCCCAGTTTTCCGTTATGTTTTCTCCAAATTCCCACACAACATTTACAAACAGATATCACGTTCATGGAGTTGATATACGACCTGAGCAAGAGTTAATAAAGGTTTTGAATAGACAAAAAAACCGTTTTGACATTTTGAACGACTTAAATGTTAAATAACTAAAACTTCAGACCGAACGAATAATTTTTAATGATTTTTTTAGGTCCACCGCCCAGCATTGAAATCCCGTATGGACCGTATCCGTTTTACGAGACCAACGTGAAAAATAACAAACCCGTACCAATTATAACGGCGTACGCGTTTTCAAAGTACATTGGCAAAGTTCACTTGAGGTTCGATTCCAAAGGTGACTTGACTAGTATCGACGGTTCGCCAATATTACTGGACCGTAAAATAAAACAAGGTATGCATATTTAATTATAATGCTGAGCTAGGAGAAGTTCGATCAACCAGCAATACCGAATAGAAAATAAATTGAACGGATTAGAAATAATCGATAACATTTATATAACAATAACTAATCCGGATTAATCGGAATTTTTTACCATTTCGGTCTTTCCGAATGGTAATGCGTTTTATGGTTTGAATTACGGATTATATTATGCTCAGTATTAGTATCTAGTTCTACTATCTACGTATAGTAAGTGACACAATCTTTTGCACCGATTTCAGATCCGTCAATGTTGACGTTGGTCAATAAATGGAAACCATTGGTAACGGAAATTACAAACGTGACCGTCGGGCGTACGTTTGTAGATTTATCGTCTCAATGTGGTTTAGAGGAATGCAATTTCGGAAATCTCATTGCGGATTCGTACGTATACTATGTAAGGAATTCTTATCTTAATATTACTTGTTGACGTAAAAAAAAGAGAGCTGATACTACTGATGAATACGCCCAGTGGCAGATTTTCAACATTTTTCTGGAAGGGGTCCTGAAAAATCATATGTATTTCAAGCAAAGTTCAGCTATACACATTTTGAAACGCTATAATTTTTAGGATTTTCGTAAATATTTAATCTAAAACTCTTATCTTAAAAAATATCTTGGTGGTAATGTAGAAGTTTTGTTTTGTCCACTAAATACAACTTATAATGAACTCCGTGTTAATATTAATAACCGTCTAGTATTTCTGTTAGGTTAAATAATTTTATCTACATAGTAACTACCGAAGAGGTAGACAATTTGTTTAATAACAGAAAAAAAAACAAATATCAGAGTGAAACCTATAAATTCTTCGCTTTGCTCAGAATCTAAAAGTTGGAAAGCTCGAATATAACGTGAAGTAATAAATTTAAGTTTGTATCTATACCCAAGTATAAACCAAGGCGAGAAATCGTTCTGAGAGAAGTTCAGTTACTCATGTTTTTAAACACTAATTTGTACCGTTTCTAAACAAAATTATAAAATTACGCTTAAATTTGTTTTGCCATTTAGTACATATGGTGGTAACTTAATGTCAAATTTTCGAGCACTTTATCTGGATCAAACCAAAAAAACTAAAAACAACTTAAAAATTCAAAAGAGTTATATAGTTCTAATCTATGTAATCGGTGAATATTTTAGGCCACTACGATTATTTGTAATCGAATTATAACAATAATCAAAATAAAAAATTGTCGCCATTCTTTTTCCAAATTACAAATATTAAGAAAACTATATAGAAAATTCAAAATTTTCTTCTACAATGCACCGAAAAAACATCATTTTTTACATAACATTCATCGTTCAAAAATCGCAGTATAACGGGTGATTTTTTTTACTGTGTATTCAAATGAAAAATACAAGTCTGTATACTCATACAAAAATTATGTCAAATAATACATTTTCTAAATTTAGTAACCAATATCAACCTGATTTTTGGTTTAAATATCGATATGTAAATCTAGAACAGAATATATAGACGTTATAGTATATGCACGAAAAATATTGTGCGATAAATACCCTAATATTTTGTATGTATTTCAATTGTTACATAAAATTTTAAGAACGTTTTGAAGAACCATAATAACAAAGAATATTGGACAGACAGTCCAATTGGAATTATTCAATCCGGCGGTATAAGGACTACGATCAAATACAATAGCAAACGAAACGGTAGTGTATAATAATTTACATTATAAAAACTCTGAAGTTTTTAAAATTATAATGGGTTTTTTTTTTATGTTGTCTGAATAACATTGATTTCCATTTCATATTCTGAAAGTGTCACACTAGTGATCAGTCTATAAACATTAAACATATTATCTCATATTGTTATTGTAATTCAATTTACTTTTTTATTTATCTTTTGATGAAAAATACCCAAAAAATCTGCCAATAGTGTATACAAATATAAGTTATACAAACTGATAAAACTGGACATGTTTTCAGTTTTAAAGATAAAAGTCTATAGTTAATACTACAATGTATAAAATAAAACCATCATTTTTTTTAATTTGGTGTTAATTAACTATTTTATAGGTTATATAACCTTGGGACAGTTGACCACGGCCATACCGTTTATGAGAAAACTCGTCAAAGTAACAATTTCTGGCTCTACTCTAAAGGAAGTGTTTGAACACAGCGTCACTAAATATGGTTTTCCTTTAGAATCTAATCGATTTCTACAAGTATCTGGTAAATAGATATTATCTAATAAATAAGAAAATACTAATACTTTATAGTACAAGAGTTTCAGAATTGTATACTTAGTAAAGGTACCTGCATAAATACAAAATTTGTTCCGTTTTTCAGGTGTTCAAATCGAATACGATTTATCACAAAATCCAGGAAGCCGGGTCAGTTCGATTTATCTCCGGTGCGGTAAATGTGTCGTACCAAAATTCGAACCATTAATTTTGAACGCTAACTATACCATACTACTGAACGGTTTTTTGGCCAGAGGCGGTGATAATTACTGGATGTTCAAGAATACCGTAAAGAAAAACGTAATTTTAGGTTTGTAAAAAAAAATACTTTATAAATATAATATAATTTAATATGTATACTGTACTATGTACAGTGAAAATTAATATCTGAGACAAAATCCATCGATTTAACAAGATTTGATATTTCCCATAAATTATCCGTTATGTCGTATATTATATAATGAAAGTTGTAGGCAAAACTTTAAATTAAAATATGAATTATTCGTTAAAATAAGATATTTTACAGCCGCAAATTGATTTAAAATTGTTTATATTGTATACAATTAGCTGAACCGGCAATGCTTTGCTATTGCCAGATAAAAGTATAAATAATAATAATAACAACAACAATAATATTTTTCTTGTCCATGACAACCAAATTGTCATCCGAGTCATTAAAGTAACCCACGAATAAACAAAATAAACAATTAGATATTAAAAAATATATTTAAAATATTTAGATATTTAAAATGTCCATTTTATTCCTTTAGGGGTTGAATTTTCCAAAATCTGGTCTTGATTTATAATAACTATGTGTATGCGAAATTTCAGCTCGATCCATCCAGTGTTTTGGGTCTGGTGATGATGAATCTTTCAGTCAGTCACTCATGATATTTTATATATATATGCGATAACTGTCCCTGCCATACGTTGATACGGCTTTAATCTTTGTAAATAAAGATATGGAAATATTATTCCATATTATTATATTGTAGGTACCTATTTAAATTTAATGAAACTGTATTTTTTACTGTACTTGTTATTTTTGCAAATTTTTTTTTTTTTTACTCATATTCATTTTTGTTTTGACCGTGTCAAAATTGAATCAAAACAAATAGGTAGTCCATCTTCGGCTGACTAAAAAAGTTTTATTGCGACATTTTTCCACTATTTTCATATCAAAAATAGTTATTTTCTAAACACCGTTTTTGAGGAGAGAGGGGGTGGATTTTAAAGGAAGAAAAGTCTAATCTAACCCATCAGGAAGTGGGGAAGTTTGAAAATGGGAGACCGCATGTACCGTATTATAATTGTCACTCGCAGACGACACGGCGTTCCCTTTATACTTTATATGCGTATTTGTAGACAGTTTAAATTAATATAAAATTAATAACTCGATTGTTAATCTATATGAATAAAAAGATGGACATACTTCGTACAATGGGTGGGCCACTATTGTAGGTGAAAAGTCGGGAAGATAGGATATATAAGGGAATTCAATATATATTTGTACGCAATGATTAATCTTTGCTGACGAAAAGCGGTTATGAGCGAAATTCAGTTATACATGTTTTAAAAGGTCGTAATATTTACGATTTGAAAATAATACATTTCATAAATTTTCCTTCTTTTTCTCATTTATTTAAAAGTTGTTCACAGAAAAAAATAAATAAACAATATTATAGATTTTAGAAAACATTTCTGTTACTAACATTTTTTTTCCGATTTACAATGATAGACATTTTGCTGAAAGAAAATCTGACCGGAGTGGTACTCAAGTACATTTGGGTACTATTTGAGTACTTACGCAATGGGCAATCGTTAAATACAGACATACATTAAATTTCTCATCTACCTTCTCAAATTCTTACCTATGACAGTGACCCACCCACATGAGAAGTATGTCCGTCTTTCTATATATGATAACAATTTATTTTGTTCATCTTTATTATTAAGGTAACTTATCGTACACCTATAAAAATACCTTAAAACCGTATTTTAAGAGTGGAGCTTATTCGGGATGGAAACTAACCTATATTTTAAGTTTGACCAAATCTCACTTATGAACATAATATTATCATAATCGGTTGTGTTGCAGTGTTGTTGTTAGAGTGCATTGCACACAAATCCATTGTATGCTTCATTTTTATGTGTATAGGAAATATACAGATCGTTCTGAAGCTTTAAGGGTTGGTACCACTGAGTGGTAATGATTCACTGAGTGTGCTTACCCTATTTTTTTGGTTAAATTTTGATTTTTAAAATTTTAAGTATAATTAAAGCCGATATTTTCGATTACTTAGATTTTTTACAACATTTATGGGAGTATCTTGACATTTTGGTTTTCAATTGAGAACTAATATTAAAAATCATAATAGTTGACGTATTTGTTTAAATATATTTCGTTGTTAAAATGTTTGATTTCCATCAATATTGGTACAACATTAAACAAATTTTATTAAAGAAAATGTATAAAGCTTATTTAAATTTTTTACTATAAAATGACATTTATATTGTTGACAAAGCATCACTATCAACTGAACTCCCCTCTGAATCGTTTTTTCGTAAGCAATAGTTTATCGTTACCTACATGTATATATAAATTCCCGTCTATATCCTACCTTTCTAATTCCAACTTCCACCTACATCAGTGCCTTCATCCGTCATCATTACCTTACATTTCTTTTTGTGTTTATTCTAAATAAATAATATTATATTCCGTGTTCTATAGATGTTGATGATTACAACGTAACAGCAGTTTATATGAAAGCCATTAGTCCCATAATAACAGGAATAGAAGGCAGAATAAAATTTAAAAGCCATAGCACGAAGAATGAAAAATCAACAGCGTCCAATATTACATATAATACTCCGAGTTCTCGACTACAATTATTATTAATTGTTATCTTTTCTACGTTACTATTTTGTTATCATTAAGTATATTAGTACAAATTGTGTTATGAAATATTTGTTCTCATACTTAACTCGTATGAAATACTATTTCTTCACTAATCCATTAAAATATTTTTTGATACAGTTTAATTAATAATTAAATTAATAATATAATTATGTGTATTAATAATAGTATTGATAATAAATATTTAATTTTTGCTAAGTTTGTTGGACACATTATTGTTAAGTTTCATTCGTATACTAATAGTTTAGTTAAGTTTTCACTACCCGATTCTGCGAGTAAACTTTTAGTAATTGAATATTGCTATACTTATTATAATTCTTTTTTTAAAATAAGCATATCTATAAGTAAATTTTAATTTAAACATTTTAATTTTAGACTAAAATAATTACTCTGTACCAATAATAACACAGACATAAAAAAATGTATGTTCTGCATATCCTGCTACCTATAAGTTAACCGGGTCAAACATCGAGTAAGAGCCAGAAAATACTTACCCCGGCCATCGATTAAACACCTAATAATATAATAGTTACTATTCTAAATATGATAAGAATGACTTTAAAATGTTTTCTGACTATCAATATTTCAATTTACAGCATAGGGGGGGGGGGGGATGGATGGATAGCCGCCTCCTTATTTTTGTCTATGATTTTTCAATTACGGCTATAAGCTATAAACAATAATATAATATAGTATTTATAAGCGAGTTATTTATTATTTCTCGGGTATTTTTATCTGCGTTATCAAAAAGTAGTGATAATGATATAACTAGGGCAATGTTTTGTCTATAATACATATAGGGATATCGATGGGATGTTCAAACAGAAGTTATTATAAATTGGTTTGTAGGAGAAAAAAGATTAATATTGCTTTAAAAATTGTTGTAAATATTTTTGTGTATAATTTTTCGTAATGAATATATTGTGGGTCAACGATGAAAAGAGGTGAAATAAAAGTGACAAAAAAAAAATGTATCTTTAATTATTTTCAAAAAATTGAATACTTAAGGCAATAGGATACTGACTAATCAGTTACGGCTAAAGAGACTAAAAATGCATTAATTTGTTGAAAAAGTTCTTCATACAAGGTAACGAAAATAGTCCGTTTGATAAATATGAAGCTAACGCCAATTTTGTCAACCAGATCCACTCTATACTGCAGCTTAGATAACGAGTAATTACAACGTTTTTTACACCTCCCACTCTTTCATCTTCCACAGTAATTTTATTTAGTATCTAATATTATTCATTGTTTTTGTATTTTTATTTATGTATTAATTTAATCCGGCCTAAAAGGAATGATAACGACTAATTTAAATCACCTCCGAACAGGGCACACATTCACAATTCATAATCATCTCATGGCCAAAAACAATACCCCTATGAATTGCAATGAATCATTTAATAGTATACCATATTATCAAAAGAAAAAATTCGTATTACTTCGAACTTCCTATGTGGACAGACCGAAGTGTGGACGCATCCTCTGAGCTTTTTTAGTTGCGCTACTGAGTACGATTTTTTCCCACCTATTTGTGTTTTAGAAATATTCTTTGTAAAACATTAAACCACTAAATACCTACTTTAATATTAAAATACTACTTCTAAACAAATGGTGAAATTAAGAATTCAAATGACGGGGTTGAAAGTTGAAACCAATGATCAATATAAAGTAAGACACTCATTATCTAGGAAACAATTAACTTTTTTCGGAATTTTGTTTTTTAGACTATGTTTTTAAAAAATTCCATAAATAAATGAACTATATGATTAAATACATTTTGGTATTGAGATTTTTAATTTCTGTTAACATTATGACGAGATCTTCGACTTTGATGTTTTGGCGGGGGAAAATCCACTGCTCTCACCGCCTAATGAGTCTTAACTTTTTGTTAATTAACCTGTATACTGACAAAAAATAATACTAATACTGAAAGATCATAGGATAATTTGTTTACCTGAAAGTAAGAGAGGTGTAGATCATGAAGTAGGGGAGGTTGAGAGTGTCAACGTGGTTAATGGAGTGTCGAGCAATTACAAATCATAAATAAATGCAAATTTAATTTAATTATGTGAAATATAATATAATATTATTAATACCGGTGAGGAATTTCAGATTTAGAATTTTTAGATTTAGATAGCAATTTTGACAAGTCATCTATTGACATAACTATTATACTAACAATTTGCGTGTTTTCGTTTTGTCTGTAGACAGTGTTGAATCTAAATACACCCCAGGGGTAAATACCCATACACTTGAAATTGTATTCCCCCCCCAAAAAAAAATAAAACTTTCAGCAAAATGTATTTTTTAAATGCATAATACTCGTTACTCGTTACAATTTATATCGAAATGACCAACGAAAAAAAAGTGAGCCATACTCAGAAAACTTCCCTGAGTTTAACACTGTCTATACATAATATAATGTCTATGTGTTATATATTATGAATACCTATTTAAATAATTAATAATGAATCATTACATTTCAAACGATTATCTCAAAATACAAAATAAGAGTTCAATTATTTATAGAGTTCATTTATTAAACTATTTAAGCGTGAACTATTAAACTTGATAGTAATCAGAAATCGTATAATAGAATATTTAATACAAATGCTAATTTTTTTTAAATATTGTATCTAAAAACGTAAAAAATTAGACTATAATTGATTATAATTAAAATTATTAGTTATCGGTTTTTTAATAAAATACATTACCAATTACACGTTTTAGATTTGATTGAGCAAACACGGGTCACAGTTTAAAGTACCTATATTAAAATATAATACAACTCTGGTAACCATAACTGCTTCATAACAATGAATTATATATATATGTATAAAAAAAAACCTAAAATATTATACAGGAAACATGTTAGTTGAGAGAAAAACAAAAATATTTTTATCCTGCTAATTTATGTCAGTTTCGGAAAAACAGTTAAGAAATCAACGTAAATAAATTTAATTACTATGAGCTTATTTTTATATAAATTCTTCTAATGAAATTCAACTAATAATAGAATGTTTTTAAATAATTATATATTATCATTAATATACTAATAATCATAGTTCGATTAAAATTAATAATAAATACTGTGTTCATGGTTTATTATGTGGCCGTAAAAATCAATTAATTGAGATTTAGAATGAAAACTATTATTGGTTTCAGAAAAAAAGTATTTTTTCAATAAACACAAAAATAAAGTATAAGTGTTCAAATATTTGTTCCGAGAAGTATTCAAAATAGTATTTGAATGGAAAAAAATAAATTAAAATAATTACTTTTATTTCAATACATTTTATCCCAATATTTGTTCGACATACGAATAAAATATAATATCTAATGAATAAATTATTCAACTTTAATTTGACATTACAATAACTAATAGTATCGGCCTATTTATAATATTATTATATACTTATGTTGCAAAATATTACAATATTATTATTTATTACATTTGCGTAGTTTTTATAACGTTTAAATTGAATTCGAACGCTGGAATTAGTGCGAAGACAGTGCGGCTTTCAATTTTAATAGGGAATGTAAAAGTGCCCGAAATATTTTTTGTGGAACTCAACAATCTAATTTTCTTTAGAGGTTCACAGTATAGATAGTTTCACAGTTTCGCACCATATCCATAAAAAAAGCAATCGGCGAATAACCAATAATTATTTTTGGAAAATATAACAATTTAACGTGCAATTCATTTTGGAAACGGATTTTTTGTTTTATATAAAAAATTCAGATACATAAAAGGTCACATTTGCACATGTGCAATAAACTTACTGTTTCTATAGGACTTAAAGAGGCTCTCGCGTTCGACAGTACATAATAAAACGTATAATAAATTATTCAGTCAATTAGTACTGCGAGTATAATTAAATGTAGATTACACTTAATAAAATTATTATACTTATGTACAGTTGTAACTCCACCTGATTAGGTACTGTCCATTTTTAATTAGGTATGATTATTACGATTATCTGTCAATAAATGCGAGTATATCACCAACAAGATAACTTTTACATCGTATAGTTTAATATTTTTCTAATATTACAATATTTTTATTATCGCCGTCATTGTGTTTTGTAAATGTCACGAAATATCATCGAACAGACTTTACAGATTTTCAGACAGGTTTTTTTTTCAAACCAACCGTACTAGAGGTGTGTTCTAACGAGTCTCAACGTTGAGGCGAAATCTGGTGTACTTACCTATACAATACACACTCATAAATATAATACTGCAGTGAAACTCGACTAAGTTTACACAACGCGAGCAAATGCCAATTTTTCAAAACTGAACGTGCGTTTATCGTTTTGTTCCACCATGAGACTGATTATTTTTGGATTGGTAGCGATTGCTGCGACGGTTACGGTTACGGCAGCACCCGGCCTGGACCTGGTGTTGCTGCACATTAACGACATTCACAGCCAGTTCGAAGAGATGAACGAAAATTGTAACGAGTGTCTGGGACAGGACGCGGTACATGACAAATGCTTCGGAGGATTGCCGAGAGTAGCCGAATTTGTGCGCACTGAGAAGCTAAAGGCCGCCAAAAATGGTGTACATTCGCTGTTCGTGATGGCCGGCGACACTTTCCAGGGTACCGCGTATTTTTCGTTTTTCAAATGGAAGCCATGCGTAGACTTCGTAAAAGAACTGAAACCGGACATTATGGTAAATATAATAGTATACGATCGTATCCAAGTTCGGCCCAAGCGGTGTGTAAATTTAAAAACCGCGATCCGTCATGGTTTTCATGGATTAGGTTTTAGATTTACACTTAGAACACTATAGCTTCCTTGAAGCAGTACCACATTTGGATCATCAAACAGGTTATGTTTTATTCAACTCCAAAAATTTCCTAAAACCAATTCGGTTAAGTTTTGGCTTTGGCCGAATTCAGACATGGTCTGTAAATACGAACCCCGGACGCAAGTTTCAGAGGATCGCGAGAAGAACCTTTGACCATAACAATATATAATATGAATGTTATAATTTTTAAGAAGATTTTCATTGAATACTCAATACTTATACTAATGTTTTCTAAACATACGGTATGATTATCAAGATTATTTAAAAACTAAAAGTTTTTTTTTATAAATTTATATTAGAGCTTCTATGTATCAAAAGCTATACTCAGAGCTTTTAGATTTTGAGTGGAGTGAAGAAGCTTAAGGTTTTACAAAGATGTTTATTATTATTATTTTTATTTTTAACTTTTCTATCAGCAATTTTGCTCCAGCATATAATTATAGAAATTTTTCTAATAGAAAATTTCACTTAAGAGGTACTTTAGAGAGGTCAATTTTGGATTTTCTCAAGAGTTTTCTTATCAAATGTGAAAAACCGGGAAAAAACATGGGAAAAACTTAGTAAAACAGGGAAAATCGGTACACCATTAAACAAATATTATTAAAGAAAATATATAAAGCGTATTTAATTAATTTACTATAATATGGCATATATATTATTGACAAATCATCAAGGTAAAATTATAAGTCTCTTTTAGTTTAAGTCTTCGAAGTATTAGAGACGCTTTAGTTTCTGTCATTGGGGTATTTTTAATGCACTCATTTTAAAATTCGAATTAATTTTATTAAAAATACGTTCTTCAATACCTATTAGATAATGTATAAAAGTACGTAATCAGACTGTGTTTACTTTATTCTTTTCTGAACAGACGTAAAATAATATTTGAAGAGGGGGATATTTATTTTTAAATCCTATTATTATAACATTTTTATGAATAAATTTATGTGAAAGAAAAACATTTTGGAAATCTTGTCCTCATGATGTGTTTTATAAAAGTTTGTTTAGGTTTAGTTTTTGGAAATGTTTTTTATTTTTTTCGTTTTACAACCCTATATTATTATCCTAAAATTAATATAATTTATTATTGTCACATTTCAGACTCTAGGGAATCATGAATTCGATAATGGCGTGAGTGACGTTGTATCGTTCCTAAAAGAATTACAAGATATACCTACAGTAGTATCAAATTTGAATATGTCGGCAGAACCCGAGTTAAATAAACTTGTGTTGCCGTCGTATGTATTTATGTTCAACAACACAAAAGTAGGCGTAGTTGGATACTTGTCGACGACTTGCCCGGTAATAATTGTTCAGTTAATTATATTTATATTTATTTGCTAACGGTTTGAGCCTGATACAACAGTTTAAAACATAGTACATATATGTACATAGTACAACATATGTATAATTTAAATAATTAATACTAACAACACACATAAGTTTATATAAGATAATAATTCCAGTAATAATATAAGTAAAGAAAAAAAAAATAGGGTATGGGAGTGAAAATTGAGATCCGAATTAAAAATAATACCTTAGTCTTTTTTACTACCCTTAAAAGTTACACTTGAACCAACCGTTGATGGAGGAAGTGTAATTAATAGAGGAACTAAAAGGTGCTTTAAAAATGGCATAGAATGACATTTTTTCGCATTAAACTGTAGTCCAATACTATTAAACTAGAGACTAGGTTGTTAAGATCATTAAGATCATTGGAGCGCAACACAGTCGGATAAGTTTTCGATTTTTCTAATAAGTTTTAAGTCGTAGGCAAATATGAGTAGTTCACAGTTTTAAACAACCCCCTTAATGCCATTAATTGATTAATTATATTTATATTATGTAATTGTTTTTTTTACAAGTAAATAATAAATTATCGGTAGTAATTAATTGTCATTGTTAAATTTTATAGAGGAGAAAAAAAACAAAAACAATTTATAGATAATTCCGTATGGAGACAAATATTTTCACCTGCAGATGTTGTCTTAAACATAAGGTGCTTTCTATGTAAGAACTTATAGCGGACTTGTCTTTGCGGCAGTCTTGGTGGTGTTATACGTACTTAGCAAATTTTTAAGCGAACCTTTTTTCAAACGATAATACATAATTTTATAATAATACAACGCTATAAATAAATAAAATACAAAATACTAGTATTAATCTACACAAATTTTCTAAAGGATGTAGCCAAAACCGAGGAGATTGTGTTTTTCGACGAAATCGAGTCGTTAAAGAAGGAAACTAAACGATTACGCGACAACGGCGTAAACATCATTATAGGTCTTGGTCATAGTGGTGTCGACATAGATGAAATAGTCGCCAGGGAGGTAGAAGATATCGATATCATCGTTAGTGGTCATTCACATACGTTTTTGTATTCCGGTAATTATATTTTTTATAATAATTAAACTGTGCCTGATATAATATATCGTTAACAATTTACTTTTTTTAGGCACTCCGCCCAGCATCGAAGTACCATATGGACCATATCCGTTATACGTGACTAACGACAAAACTAAAAAATCCATTCCGATCATACAGGCTTACGCGAATACCAAATACATCGGCAAAGTCAACATGCGGTTTGATGTTAATGGAGAACTGATCGATATAAACGGTTCACCAATATTGTTAGATCGTAAAATAAAACAAGGTAAGTAAATATAACGGAATCTATGACGTTAACTATATTTCTCAGCTAACATCAATGAATTATATACTAAATATATCTTCTTCCTATTGGACTTTATCCCGCGCTGGTGAGATCAGCACTGGACTTATTCTCCTCCCTATACGTCAACATTTCTTCATCTATTTCACTATATGCTCTCAATATCTCCCCTCTCCCCTAATCACAAGCCATTTTTTCTTCGACTCACTTCTACGTCGTTTTTCAGTTCCAACGCTCCTCATCAAAAATGTATTCCTTCTCATTCTTCTTTATATACCCACTAGTGACACTCGCCCTACTCTCCTTATTAACACAAACATCCATTACATATACCATTATAGCTAACACTCTAATTTCTGTTATTTCGATGGATAATACATATTATATTTATACTATTGTACAATAACGCGACTTAGATTCGTCAATGTTGAAAGTGCTCAATAAGTGGAAACCGTTGGTGAACGCAATAACAAACATTACTATCGGACATACGGCCGTTCAATTAAAAAACGTTTGTCATTTTCAGGAATGCAATATAGGAAATATTATAACCGACTCGTTTATATATGATGTAAGTGTAGTCATTTTGATTTTTAAATACTTACGTTTTACTAATTTATTAGAGAAATATGTTATTTTTAAGAATGTTATGCGAACAAAAAATTGCAACAAAATATGGACAGACGCTCCGATTGCATTAGTATTATGCGGCGGTATTAGAATGTCGATCAACGATGTAGGTAATAATATAACTTATACAACGATTGATTTATTATTATTTTTCGTAATTAATTTTTGGACATCTATTTTTTTGAATAAATATAAGATTATTTTTTTCTCTAATTGGATGATTTGATAACATTTATTATACCCAGTTTGAAAAAAAAAAAATCCGTAATTTATTATTGTGATGTATTATCGTAATGTGCTAAATAATATTGTTTTTTATTTTTTCTAAATAATATACTAGGTAACATTACCTTGAAACAAATAATGAGCGTCTCGCCGTTTGTGAATAAAATTGCCAAAGTCACGGTATCCGGTACTACTCTGTTGGAAGCGTTTGAACGCAGCGTTTTCTTCTATACGGAGCTTAATGGTGGAAAACATTTTTTACAAGTATCCGGTAAGACAATTTCACTTATAAATAGTATAAAATTAAAAATATTTTTATCATTCTAAACATAATTCCCAACAACTATACCCCGACATAATCACAAAAATACACAACAAAAAATAAATAATTATTAAATCAGTTTCGTTAAACTATAAAAATTGTCCTAAAGTATCTTAATTGTGTAGAGTTAAAAGTATAATATATTGAAACCATTTAATTTTTCCAGGAGTCAAGGTCGAATACGATTTATCTCGAAATCCGGGTAATCGAGTCAGTTCATTGTTTTTACGGTGTGGTAATTGTGCCGTTCCAATATTCGAACCGTTAGTGCTGACTAACAACTATACAGTATTAATGAACCGTTTTTTGGCAAACGGCGGTGACGGTTATACTGTATTTCAAAATAGAGTAAAGGAAATTGAATTAATAGGTTCGTAAGAAAAAAAAAAATGAATACTTTATATCAATTAGGTATGTACTGTGAAGCTTATTAAAGATGAAATCCATTTGGACCAACATATGCATTTTGCATAAAAACTATAGGTTCCTTTTTGAAGAGATGAATAAAAATTTCTTTTTCCTGGGATCTAAAATATGAATGAATAATTGTCTCCATAGTATGCTGTGCATACAATAAAAAAAAAAAAAAAAAAACGAGCATACTTCGCACGGTGGGTGGGCTTTTGTTGTAGGTGAGATGTTGAGAAGGTAGGATATAGAAGGGAATTTAATTAATGTTTGTACGCAACGATTAATCATTGCTAATGAAAAACGATTCTGAGCGGAGTTCGGTTTTGAAATCGTGAATATTTACGATTTTCCTAAAAATTTGATTTTAAAATTGTAATAAAAATATCTACATTATTATTACATTTTTTTTTTTTTTTTTGGCCACAAAATACGACTAATAATAAACCTTCTGTTAAATTTTCAAGCATTTCTATCAGTTCTAACAATTTTATCCAAAAATTAGGCCTAAAAAATCGCAAAATTAAAATGTCTATAAATAGCTTACAAATGGCTAAAATGTTTTAAAAATTTGATCACGCCTAGAAAAGACAAATATTAGTTTCATTTTACAATTTGTCCAAATTTCAAGTCCTTGCGAATATTTTTAACTGAATCACAACAAAAAAACAAAATTGAAAATAATAAATTTCATAATTCGTGAACCATTTAATTAATCAAAACATAATCATTTTAAAGCATCACCCTGATAATATTTTCTTTTAAAAAAGATAGTACACTTGAAAATCGAAGCAAGATTTCTTATAGAAAAGTTGTTTACAGAGAACAAAAATAATTAACATCATTGTAAAACCAATACATTAATACATTCCTTGCTTTGCTCAGAATCTAAAAACAAAATGGGACAAATTTTTTATTATTATTTTCCATAGATATCGAGGATTACAATGCAATTATGGCTTATACAAAAGTCATAAGCCCTATAACGACAGGAATAGAAGGCAGGATTGTCTTCAAAATCAATAACAACGGAAAATCAAAAGCGTCTAATATTAAAAATAATTCATGGAATTCTCGATTTGTATTTATTGGTTTTTATACAACTATTGTCCTCATTTTAAAAAATGATTTATTCGGCTTAACACAAGTGTTAGGTATCTATTAAATTGTTTTGTGTACATGTGTTGAAATAATGTACTTTTAAACTTACTGATATACGCCAAAGTAACAATGGATTTAACTTTTTTTTTTTTAAATAATTTATACTAAAATAATAAAACTTAATATTAATTTCTATCTTTTGTTTGTTATGGATAAGAAAGTGAATTGTTAGAAATAATAATAAGTTAAATACGAATTTATGTTATGTAGTTTAATAGAAAATGTTTAACACTTATGAATAAAGTATATTTATAAAATAAATACTTAAATACAAGGAAAATGATGTATAATTCTTAATACCTATTCAGAAATAATAAAAACAACAAATATCTTATACAAAAAAAAATATGAAAATAGTTTTATTTTTATACTTTGCCCATAAGTTATCTTATAATTATTATAGTAATGATTAATTTGTGTTTAAGTCTTCTTGCTGTCTGGTTTCTATAAAACTTTTGAGTTTGGTAATGGTTGACGACCAAGAATTGTTGTGTTCAACCTGAAACATAAAAACAACCATCATTTTAAGCAATATTTTTATCAAACAAATTTAATAATTCATCTATACATACCCTTCCTCTTATCCATTTTGATAGTCCAGATAGGTTTTTTGTCTGCATGAATCTGCTATCTACTAACAGAATTGCACCCCAATCGTTCCTGTGCCTTATGCACCGGCCAAGCGCTTGGTTCAATGCCCTGTAAGCTTGTATCTGATACCATTCCCAGCCGGGCAACAACCCTTTGTCTTTATGCAGTCTCTGGTTGTAATTTTTTTTATGGGTAACGGACACATCCTTGTAATTTGGGAATGGTATACCGACCTGAAAACAAACATCAATACAAAAATATTATACCTAATCATATAAAATAAATGCCCGAGCATTGTACATTTTCTCTGACCAGATTTCACTTACAGCTACAACTGCGCGAGCGTTGTTGTCTGAGAAATCCAACCCTTCACTGATTTTACCGCGATAAACAGCCAAAAACAATGCTCCAGTCCGGCCTTTGCTTTTGGGCTCTAAAGCTTTTCGAATGGCACCATAATATTTTTCCATTGATTCCTCTAGCTGGTCAGCGCGTCGTGGTTCACACATGACCACTTTGAGTTGGTCCAGTTCTTTTAGGAGCCCAGTGATTTGCCAACGAGCGTACAGTTTGTCCATCATCATGTAGGATGGCATAAAACACAACACCCCGTATGGTACAGTTTCGCATACGTTCAGCAGTACCCGGCCCATTTCGTCTTGATAATTGTACGTATTAACATTCGTGTACTGGCTATTGAGATCGATCCCTACCGGCCCATTACCAACTGACGTCACCCAACATTGATTCGGTTTGATGACGTGGCCGGCCTCCAGCGAGATAGGAAATTGGGTGCCGAGTTCAGATTGGAACGACTGCATCGGCGAAAGGGTACCTGAAGTAAGGATTATACTCCGGGCGTTCTCCTGAAGTTCGCGAAACATGGCAGCCGGATTCAGACATAAGAAGCTGACAATGTTTTTCCATACTGGGCGAGTGTCCTTAGGCTCAGTAGAAGCATTGATCCATCCGTCAAGACTTATCGTCTGCAATACAATTCAAAGGTTTATCAGCCAAAAAAAATATTAATTTTATCGAATTCCAAATTTAAAAACAAATAATATATCAAACATATTAAACTCGTGCCAACATTTTATAAACGAACGGAAGGAGTTAGAAAATTGTAATTATTTATTTATTATGTTTAACATCAATTGGTAATTGAAAAATAAACATACAATATTTTATTATTATAATAAATTATAGTTAAAATATACAAATTATATCTAAACAGTATGAAGTACAAAACATTAAAGCAAACAAGGACTAAACTATGGATAGGGTACAATATTATTAGCACTATGAAGACGATGATTCGAACTGTAGGATGTAATATGATAAGGAACATAAAATTGAACTGGGTTTCGTGTTTTACGAGTATAGATTTCAAATAGTCAATAGTTCAAGAACATCTAACGTACTAATAAGGAGGGAAGATAGGACGTTGTTAAAAGTAACGCACGATATAAAGAGAGTGAATTTTAAGAAGATTGCTTATTTTTTAGAATCATGGGTAGGTACATTATCACTTTGTGATAATACACTGCAAAGGAAAGGAATACAATTTGTCCTCTAATGTGATCTTTCTCAAGGTTATGTATGCCATACTACAACGTCAGACTTAGACTTAGTAAACAGAGATTGTTAATAATATTGAAGAAATTAGTATTTCTATAATTTTTAAAAACTTACTGCTCGTGATCCGTGCTCGTATTGTTTTAGTTGCATCACTTTCTCCAGTGAAACGTGATAATCGTTTTTGTAGCTGTCGTTGAAAAACAAACAGAAAACCGCACAAATTGACGTCAGTAGTGTTTTAGTCGCGTTTGTAATAGCCATATCATGTGATATATTAGAGTTTGGGGTTTCATCGGTGTTATCTTTTCTGGACAACTGAGATAAGTCACTTTCGTCAGGGTCGTCCATTTGTAGTACTCTTAAATTATTTTCTTCAGATTTTTCATCGGGTTCCTTTTCTTCGTTTTGATCGTCGCACACCATTTCACAATATACCTTAAAGAAATAAAAACGTATAGAAAAATACAAAATTAATAGTAACTGAAAGCGATGTGTCGAAAATTCCAATAAGACATTATATACATTACGTTATACGTACTTTGAATTTTTCAAAAGCTTTCAAACCGATACCGTGTTCGGTAAGACTGGCTATGGTAAGTGTACCGGACCATGAAATGGCACCACGATCGTAATCATCGTACGATTTAATGTCATTAGACTTTTGATCTATCCATTTAGACAATTCAGACAGATAACTAGCCTGAAATCACAATTAATAATAATATTACACACCACCTGTAACGACGGTTTATAACACAATTGCATGACACAACTTACTAGCGCTCCATAGACGACAGAGTTATGGCCATATTTGGACAATTTTTCACAGTCCATTTTGGCCAGATTCAAATTCGTCTGATCCAATTGCAAACTCGCGGCGTCGCGACATTGGTCCTCGATATTGTGAGCTTCGTCGACGATAATGACGTGCCCTTTTAAATTCATGTTCATCTTGGAAAGAAAAAAAACCTAATTAAGCTTATAGGTATAAAGTAAAATATAAACTTGGAATCGAGATTCCGTATCATTTCAATAGGGTATAGAAACACTATGAACTTCAATTACCGTGCCTCGGATGACCGGATCGATGATGTAATTGTAAGGACAAAATACGATATCGGCATTTTTGCTCAAATTTCGCGAACCGTAGTACGGACACGAACCTTTTGACTTGCCCAAACGTACGATTTCTTCAATGTCCCAAACAGATCCCACACCGCTTTTGTTCAAAAGACCGTATGTACTAATTTTCACACCACCGTTATCGTAATAGCTGCATTTCTCGATGTCCCTCCTAAACTTTAGTGAATTTCTTTGTCTCTATATACAATCACATAAATAATTTAATTTTATGTTTATTAATATTTTCTTTGAACATTCTTTACAGAGCACCAATAGTGTAATATAATAATTCAATAATAGTCCAGTTAAGGCGATTGAAAGTGATTCATTTTTTCATACATTTAAACCAGTAAACTGGATAAAACAAACATACTTCAAGTAATCCAATTTTTGCTTTCAATAATGATTTACCTACAAATTCTTTTTTTTTCATGATTCTTTTAAGTAAAAGTTTATTTTAAGAACTAAAGGTAAATTTATTATGTATTTTAACTAAATTAACTAAAAAAAAAAAATGTAATAAAATAACGAACGATGTTTCCTACAAAACATAAACAAGAAATCAAAGAATTCAAATATCTTTTCAAAATTAAAATTGGGCGAGCGATAGTGGGTCAATTTTACTCCAGGCTATTTGGTCTAAATCGTCGTATTCGTCAGTAAAACCGGCTTCACTCAAATGGGTATCGGACAGTAGATTAGTGGAAAAGTCTTATCCTTAAGGTGATCATTATAAGGCAATACAATTTTTCAAATTTAAAAAAATTAAGAATACAGTTTCTAATCCCTAAACTAATAATTAATATTACGATATCCGATAAAATATATTATGTTCGTGTTTCATAAAAATTATATAGATACACATGAATATAATGTAAAATCTATTATCTTATCCAAAATGTCGAAAGTATTAATAACTTTTTTTGGAAAATTTAAGACAAAATAAGCACCTTTAAACGTTACATAACCCATTTTTTTTTTTTGTCGCCTTTAAGTTTTTATCATCAAATATCGATTGTTCGACGCTACTTTAGTTACTACCAAACGCTTCCTAGTTTTGTGTTTTAAATCGTATATTTGAAAGAGGTATACATAATATTTAATATACATATAATATCAAAAATGGATCATCGGAAGTAAATTTTGTAAATGTAAAAATTATTTTTAAAATAGTTTTGTTAATGTTTGTTTTTGAAACATAAAATATGATAACATGTTCAAACCAAAGAACGCGTAGTAATTTCACCCTTAAACATAAGAATGACAAAAAATAACGGTACCTACTGCAACGTATTAGAACTGCTTGTTTCTCAAATTTCACAAAGAAAAAATGATTCTGAAAAAGTTAATACTTTCCGAATTATTGCAGATTGCCTATATTGCCTTACGTTATAAATTATAATCTATTGATCACGCGTAGTTTTGTGTTGATTGTTAAATTAAAAAAAAACTCCGCTAATTATTGTACATAGGTATGCAACAAAATTTTTATTTCGCGTTCCCAAAGTAATGCGATACGTCACAATCTATTGCGCACGTTCAAGCGTAAACAAAAAAAAAAATAATATATATATTACCTAACCGTGCAGTGCATTCATTTTGACAATGCCCGGCCAAAAGGTATTCAATGTGCATACATCAGTATCAAATGTTTTGTTAAGCCCGCAGTAACAATAATAATTACGGGTTCGGGTTTCGTTTCGATTCCGACTGTGTGTATAATGCGTTTGTGTATTGTATTATATGTGAGTATACAAAACAACATGATGTATCGACGGGGAAATAAAAACACATTTCAATAGAGATTGATCCGTAGCGAAATGTTATTATTAACAGAATGTATATACTTACCGCTTTCGGATCCATTAGATCTTTGCACAGTTCGGTTTTCGATTTGTACGTTATGTCGGGATAGAGGATTCTGGAATCTTGTATGCACGTGTGTTCGCGACTCGCCAAAACACAACTCCTATCATTTATTATATAAGGTATTGTATATTATACAAATTATTAGTTCACTGACGTGTATTCAATTGCTAGATTTTAAGGGGAAGGGTAATAACGTGGCGAACGACACATCCCCTCTTTGAACTACATTTTTTTAAAAATTGTTACTTAAATTATATGTGTGTCACCGAAGCCGAACAAATATGAAAGTAATGCAATACCTACATACAGGGTGTCCTACAGTGTTATCCTTATACTAATAACTCTGTCAATATTCATTTATTTTTCAATCGGGTTGTGTGTTAGGGGGACGCATGTGCAGGGAGAAATTAAATTTTTATTTTCATCCCTGAATCACTGAAATAATAACTTTTCTAATGTTTAAAATGTTCAAAATAGCCATTTTGTAAAATATATTATTCAATAGAAGGTAAGAAATTACACCGTGCTGCTTGTGAAACATTAATGTGTTATTCTACTGAAAATTGTTTTCAAACCAATTTTATGGAAATTAGAACAGCTATTACTGAAAAATTATTGATTGGATATAAACGTATTTAACATCAAAATGTTTAGAATAGTATTTTTTACATAATGGCTATTTTGAATATTTTGAAGTGATAAAATAAAGTTGTTATTTTTTTAATAATTAAGGAACGAAAATTAAAATTTTGATTTTTCTCTATATGTATCCTCCTTACACAAAACCCAATTGATAAAAAATATGAATATTGACAGAATTATTAGCATAAGGATAACACTGTTAGAAGCCTTGAATTAATTAAATTTTAAACCTCCTTAGCTCATTTAAACGAACTTCAGATCCACCACATCGTGTATTTTATTTTGTATAGTTGTATTCCTTTAAAAAACTCACTTGACGTCGTCGTAATTGGTCCTTTGCAATTCTTTAATGACTTGATCGATTTGTTTATGAGTTCTTGTACAAAAATAAATTTTGGGAACAACGATCCTACAAAAAAAAAACAATCAAAATCAAATCCTTTGTATTAAATGCCAAATCTATTCATTTGTAATGCTTTTTCTCATATATTTAGAACATAAATTGTGTTTTTTAGGTTTAAATTTGAATTTTAATGCAAACAATGAAATTAAAAGAGAAGAATATTTTCATGGGCTACACGAGCTTTTTTATAAAAAATTGTCAGCTAAAAAAGTTACGGCCATGTTTTTACATTTTTTTAAATAGCTTTAATTCTTTAAATTTTGTTATTTGTGATAAAACTTCAATTTTAGTCTAAACGTCACAATTTATCTTCTGAGTAACGTAATTTTGCTATATCGTAAGTTAGTAAGGTGGAGACTACACAAACGGTCATGACATCATCTTAATCAAAAAGTTGGAGATGTGCCCACACATAAATAATTAATTATTCTTTTCAAATTGCAATAATTACATCTGCAATACAATTCAGTGCCATAGTGGGCCTAGTATCTTGAATTGTTAATGCACATCAACAGTGTCTTGGTCGTTGCAGTTAGTTGATCTTTAATCATTGAATATAATTTATATTTTAGTCTATCTAAGTCAGTGCGCAGTTTTTGTACGTAGGTAATAAAGATTGCTTCAATTTCAACATGTGAAATAAAACGTCGGTTAAATTAAAATTAGTACGTAGTTTTAGCTAGTTTTTTAAAAGTTTTAGTCATAAAGGTTTGCAAAATTTAAATTTAATACTAGCCATTTTAAACATTTCAATGTGTATGATAAAATGGTGTTACACGATCGTATCTCACTTCGGTTTTTTTGGCAACGGAATAATTTCACTTTTCATGATGTTCGAATCGTTGCTCTCGTTCTCTTCGTCGTCCGTTATCAAACTACTGTTATTAAAACTGGAATCGTCGGTCATTATTGAGTCATCGTTGAACATCATCTTGTCATTAGACACGTCCTACATTATAACGGGGGAAAAAAAAAAATCATATAACGGAAATCCATTTTAGCAGTTCTAAATATTGTATGCTAACTAAATATCCCAGTATTTCCCAGGTTCAATCCGTTCAAAAACAGAAATCAATAAAATAAATGTAATTTAACGTGTTTACGCGTTCTCTCGTTTATAATACCTGTCATAGTTAATCTTTATTTCCCGTTAATTTATCTTTTAAAATGGTTACTTTCTTGTCTGTGACGATTCGATTAAATAATTATAACTCTTTTTTTACCCATTAATGTAAAAAAAAAAAAAAGCGATTTTCATTCTAAAAATACCAAAAACCCTGTGTTAGCCACCGACTTTGTTCTTGTTTAAAATTTCAAATGCACAAAGTTTCATCAAGATCGGAATAAAACTGTAGATTCATATAGCTTACAGACAGATAGAATTTTAATTATAAAATATATAATTTTATCACTAATAAGGGTCAGGATTTAAAAATTGCAAACAAACAGTTAAAAATGAGATGAAAAACGCCTTTTAACCGCAATTTATAGTGATTAAAATATATTTGTATAGAAAATGGAAACTCGCTATTATGCGTTCCTGGAATACATTGATATAGAGTCTGCTAAAAAAAGAAAACAACAATGTACATAGTGCCAGGCTCACATTATCACATTTATTATTATTGCTGACCTTGTTCATTTTTCTCTTCTTCCCGGGCTGTTTAAACACGGACATTTCATCGTCAGTGTCATCGTCATCGCTGCGAATGGTGATGACGGTACCCGCTGCAGGCTTCGTTGACCGTCCTTTATTTTTAACCGGTGAAACGGGTATTTCTGTAAAAGAAAAAAAAAAATTAAAAAAAAAAAAAAAACTGTTCTAGGATAATAGGGACGAGTGCAGCCACTGTTTTATATAATTTAATGCATATCTGTAAGCAACGATTAGCCATTGCTAACGAAAAAACGATTCTGAACGGAGTTCGGTTGCTAGTAATTCTTTCTTTGTCAATATTTAATATATACGTCATTTTATGGTAAAATAAATTACATATGCATTATATATTTTCTTCAATTCTTTGTTTAATATTGTACCTATTTTCCCGTTTTTCCCATTTACTGGGAAAAACAAAAGATGACCTCCTTAAAGTACCACCCCAATCAGATTTTCTTTCAAAAAAAGTGCTACACTTGTAAATCGAGGTGAGCTTTCAGTCAAAAAAGTTGTACACGTATAAAAAAAAATAAACATCATTGCAAAACCAATGAATTCCTCGTTCAGCTCGGAATCTAAAATAAAAATAACACGAAAACAGTATAAAAACGTGAAATAATGCAACGATAGATAGGACACGTGTATACATATATTCAAAAATGCTAAGACGTCCGGTTTTATAATTGAATGTGCCGGGCGAAAGGGTGCGTGCTGGGTGATGTGCGTGGGAGGAGACGTCTGACGACGATAGCCGACTTTTCGTTTGTTTGTAAACGGATTCGCGAGAGCTTATCTTCTGCAACGAGAACGGATATTCTGTATATATATACACGCCATCATCATAATGTACTGCAGAAGCCCGCGGGGATATTATTAATCGCGTTTTCGTTCCCCATTTATTTTTAATAATGACAAAAACGCGAGCGCGCGCGCGCGAAGTGCTCCGCGTATAATACATAAAATCCTTTTGTGAAAAGCCCCCCAGGGAGGATATATTTTGCCCCGCACAACGACGATAGGAGTTGTTATAAGAATTTTCTCTCGTATATTTATTTTTTTTCCGCGTTCGCTTCACAAACAAAGACGAGCGGAGACGACACGACGGCAAAATGTATTATGTGTGTGTCGCACACTCTTCTTCGCTACGACCAATAATAAATATTACCTATAGAGTTTTCATTTTTTATCCCTTTTACAGTGTATTATAATAACGGCTTGAGGTGCATAGTAGGTACCTCAGGCCGTAATACTTCGTTTTTAGTAATATTTCCACATTGTCATCGACAGCCGTTTAGTAAACAATACAATATGTACTAGTATACAATATGTAAAATCAAATATTCAAAGATGTATGAAAAAATAGCCGATGAGCGTACCGCTGTTGTAGGCGAGAATTTGGAAAGGTTGGATAGTTTTTTACCTATATCCATACGGTACGATAACCCTAACCGTTAGCTAACGAAACACGTCGGAATTTGAAATTAAATAACTACGCTCGATTTATTTTTTTTATTGTCAAGTGCAACTTATGACGGACCTCTTGTTAAATTTTCAAACATTTTGCCTGGGCCGAAATAATTTTTGCGCCATATAACACCAAATATAAAATTCAAAACAAAAAAAAAACCAAAAAATTTCATAAGACTTCATATAGTTCAATAATCGCCAGAATGTTTTGTAAATTTTACCACATTAATACCACCGTGGCTAATATGTATACGTATTCTGTGGAAATTTCGCGTCTACGATTATTATAATTTAATCGGCGTAACGTGTATTTACGCATATTATGCTACGTTTAAGTGTTTGACGAATTTCCGAGAATAAACTCGAATTATTTTAAACGACTCGAGTGTTTTAGAAGTTAATTTCCTCCGCGCGCGTACGTGCGCGCACACGCACGCACACACACACACACATTAAGTTTTTAATGACTCGCAGAGATTATAAATGTTCAGCCGGTTATACGTATAGGTAGATATGTGGCCTTTGAATTACGAGTTTTGTTTGTAGGCAGCTCTTATAATATTATAAAGAGAGACAAGGGTTGTATTGTGTATAAAATATGAATATTCATATATTATATAGGTAAGTATACTCGTTTTCCCGCATAACGAAATACAATAATTTATTTCGATGTTTTTATACCGCGGATTTACATAATAAATTAGTACGCATTAATAGGTATATCATCAACTCAGAAAAAGATCAACAAAACAAAAATCCGTTGCAAATAATTATCGTTTAACGTAAAAGTGTACTGTAATAGTTTATACGCATACCGAAAAGTAACGACAATTGTGTAAAAATACGAATAAATTGTTCGCACGGAAAAGAATTATCTATTTTCGTTCTTATATTTTAATTATTATTATAGAGTATTGTTTCCATGGTCAAAGCCGTGGAACGACGGCTTATATATTGTATAAAATAAACGTCGAGTTTACTATATTGAGCATATATTAAAACATATTCAAATTTCGGTGTACATAGCGCAAACATTCGGCCTCGTTTATCGACTAAAAATTCACGTTAACTGGGTGTGATATGGATAGGACGAAAAAATAAATATCATATTCGTTAATCTGTACAAACACACGCATTTAATTTGTTGCTAGCAAATCAGTTTTTTCTTGTTAGGCTAAACAGCTGGTTTTATTTTGTATGTATCGTCACCGAAAAAATTTCTTTTTGCCGATATTTTTTTTTTTAATGTTTGTAGCTAGTATTATTGTACAAGCTACCTTGTCTTCTATCTGAGATTCTATTATCATAATATATGTTTTCCAAGCCAATAATATAATATTATTTTGAAGAGCTGAACATTTACAACTTAAAATCAAATTATATCCTGCATGTTCGTAAAACAATTTGTTGATAAAATAATAATACCGAGACATAATCTGATCATAATAATTAGGTATAAGACACGTTTTAGGAGAAATATTAATTTAGTTCGACCTAGGTTGAGAACTACTGTTTTTGAACAGGATGTACTATATTACGGTTTTGTTAGGTTCTGTATTGAATCCGGAATAAACATAAGTTATTTTAATAACTTTAGAAAATTTAAATGTGAACTAGTTCAATTAATCTAATTATGTTATTTTTATATTATCTTTGGTTTTTAATTTATATACTGTTCTGTTTACTATATATTTTTTTACTGTAAATTATTAATGCTATAATTTATAGTCATTATTTTAATTGTTATAATAATTTTAATTTATACTAATTAATGGCACTCTTATCTTTGGCACAACCCGATGGGTTAAGAAATTAACCAACTATTTAAATTCTATCTGATATATAATGTTACTTATTGTTGAAAATAGAAATATTATTATTACAAGAAAAAATACGAGATTTTTATTTATTAGAAACATAATTCCGACAATTCCTCCATTTTTCGTACAATCACTTTCAATTTCTAATTTTTTTTTTTTTTTCGAAAAACCGGGCGAGAAAATGATTCCGCTTACCCCCCCCCCCCACTATCTTCAGCCCGGGCGAGATAATTCAAAACGAATATCTAAATACTTGGTACAATAGAGACATTGATTTCAGTGTACCGCGATACACATTATGTTCGAGACTTCCGTAGAACTGTATCGCGATACAATTATTGTATCGGAGGTACTGCAGCTTTATGCCGGTTAAAATATCGCGTCGTCTCGTCTGGTCGGCGATGACGTGTTGCAGAGCGAAATCGAGAAAAGCTTCGCGGATTCGGTCGTCCGCGTGTACAGAGTCACGCGCGCGACACCGTTCGTCGACCGCTTCCAGTCGACGGAAAGGGGTGCGAAGAGAGGGTGAACGCCGCGGGGTGACGGGATGGACGGGGGGAGGGGGTCGATCGCTGCGAGGGGGCGAGGCGGCGATCATTGATCGCCGGCCATTTTATGTGCCGTCGTCTGCACGGCGGCGCTGCCGGACTTCCGCGCGCGTCCGGCCCGGCGCGTTTTTATTGGACGCCGCCGCCGCGGCCGACGACGACACGTCCGCCGTCGCCGTTGCGAGTCAGTCTCTCTCTCTCTCTCTCTCTCTCTCACGCTCTCTCTCTTTCTATATGTATTTGTGCGTACACCCATCTACCGCCACCGCCGTCACGTTGCCAAGGGATACGCCGCCGCGGCGCGTTTCACACTTGAAATATAAATCGCTCTTTGCCACTCGCTGTCCCGGTCGAGGTGCTTTTTCACTTTCTCTCTCTGTCTCTGTGTCTGTCTCTCTTTCTCTCTCTCTCTCTCTCTCTCTCGGGACCTCTCTGTTCTCGCGCTCTCGTCACTCGCAGCTATCTGTGCCGCTGCGAGCATATCTCGTGTACAGCGTGTACAGGGTGTCCCGCGAAGCGATACCCGTTTTACAAACGATAACGAGTCGTGATCCTTGCAGACATTTTTATTAGCTTAAGCGATAGGTTGACCTAACAATACGCAAACTCGTTAATTATTTACTATAGTGACTATACGAATAGTATTCGATGATAAATATAGGTATACGATAGCAAATAATTTATAAAAACAAAGTAATTCGTAACCGTTTTCGGGTAGATTATTGCGTACTGTTGAAAAACGAAAATGGTAGATCACGTACGACATCACAACCGGATATTGTATCGTATAATATAATATCATTTGTATACATACATCGGGTACATTATCGTGAAACACTCCGTATTATATCGGGCGTTTCTCCAGCGTATTACGAGTACGAGGCGATCGGTATACGATATACGGTATACGGTATAAGATATACGATTTCGAGAAAATCTGACTTTGGTTTTTTTCAGTCACCGCAGATAAGCACGCGAAATTTTCATTGTTCGCGATATATTTTCAACAAATTATCCCCGTTCTATAGACGTTATAGAGCTTGTTTTAAATAAGGATATTTTTTTCTAAAATTGTCGATACCCGCTGTAATATTGTCAGCATAATTTATCGGATACTTATATTCGATTTACTTTGATTTTAATCGAGCGTTTCGATTAATATTGATATTTATGTACTTGTTAGAGCCATATATGGTATAAAAAAAAAAAAAAAAAATCGCACACTATGTTTGGGTGTTAATGTGTCATCTAACAGTCGAAAATTTAAACAGGAGTGATACCTATAGCGAAGGGCAGTCAAATTTGTATACCCAAATAAACTATCTCAACTCTCCCGGCTTACATTTCAAACTGTTTTTAAGTCGTAAACGGCAAATTCCCGACATTAGTCGTATATATTACGGATACGAAATATTCCCTATTCGAACGGGCGTTTATTATAAAAATGTGCAGGGTTGCGAATCGATACGTGTTTACAGGGTACTATTGTACACTACGGAATGAGGGTGACGTTTTGAACGTTTCGTAACGATTTCATCATGTCCGATATAATAGCCCGGAAATAAAATTTACGCGAATTCTACGCTCGCGATAGACGAATCGCCCTGTATACACTGCGCTCGGTCGTCATACAATGTATATAATACATTTTAAACGAAATGTTCCGCGAGGGACATGAGAGAAAAAGCCGTCTCCAGCAGTCCATGTCCGTGTGACCTTTTGCGTACGAATAATAAATACACACACGCACGCAAGCAATATATAAATTATTTACTATTGGTATGTAACAACGTGGAATACAAAGTCGGGAGTTTTTCGACCGCAAAGTCGATTTTTGAAACGACTCATCTCGTTTCGATGTCGTATCGGAGTGTCCACCGAAAATCCACAGTACGACTCGTTTATTGTCTATGTATATAAATATTATTATATTGTTTGCGTGATTTCGCGAAACGCGCACGACAATAAATTTTCGTGAACTTGAATTTGGATTGCCAGTTTGTATATTATAAACTAACTTCCGAAATTCGCCGCAATGCAAATGTCCAATTGCGAACCGAACATTCAAAAAGGCTATTCGATTCGGATACTCGCACACGATTGCGAAATATAAAACTAAGCCGAAAATATATCGCGCATTTTAGAGGCGAATATTCGTTTAGCCGGTTTTTCACGCGGAATTAGTGAGGAGTGTTTCCGTTGTCGCTTATATTTTCGACGACGATTGGCATCTCGGCCGGTTATTACTATATAGCTAAATAACATTATTTGGCCATACGCGCCGCAGGTCGGTTGCGTTACGATAAGGCGTTTAAAAAAAAAAGTCTTATTTCTAAAATTTAGCGTATTTTAAAAACTTCAATTTTGCTATACAAGTCGGCTGAAGCCGTTCGTATCGATCCGAAATGTCGGCCTCGGAGAGACTATTGCATTACAGTATTTCGCAACAATATTATACTGTACTCTGTTTCAAAAGAGAACAGACCGTTTTCGCGACCAGTTTTCGTTCGGCGGTGCGCGTATCCACCAGGTAACACGGCCATAGACATGTTAGACGTGCCATTTCTTAACATGTTTATGTTCGTGACCGGTGCCTCCTACCCGATGGGTATGCCACGAAAACTGGTCGCGAAAGCGGTCTGTTCTCTTTTGAAACAGGGTATAGAATATTATATTGATTATGTATAATTATTCAAAATAAACGCTGTTAAGTTTTCGATGGGACTTTAGTTTCGATACTGAAGCGAATTGGCCCATTATCAAACTCAAAAGTATAAGATCGTGATCGTAAGTTTTGTGTTTTTTTCAAGCGAGATATCACACGATTACGTGAAATATTAAAATTTAAAAAAAAGACTTCCTAGGGTAATAGGGACGGGTGTAGCCACTGTTATAGATAATTTAATGTATACCTGTAAGCAACAATAAGCCATTGCTTACGGAAAAACGATTCTAAGTGGAGTTCAGTTGATAGTGATGCTTTGTCAACAATATATATGGCATTTTATAGTAAAATAATTAAATAGGCTCTATATATTTTCTTTAATAATATTTGTTTAATGTTGTACCGGTTACCCCGGTTTTCCTATGTTTTTTCCCAGCATTTCACATTTGCTGAGGAAACTCCGGAGTAATTCGTAAAAGGACCTCTCTAAAGTACCTCGCTAGTAAAATTTCTTTTTAGAAACATCGCTATCATTAAAAGTTGGAGCGAAATGGCTGGTAGAAAAGTTGTGCACAGAAAAAAAAGAAGGCCGCCGTAATATATTTTAACGGTTTTTTTTTTAGTTTTTCTTTCAAAAAAGTTGCACACAAATAATAAAAAAAAACCTTGTAAAAACTATAAGTTTCTTCGCTCCACTCGAAATCTAAAATTAACGCGTCTCCCCGGAAAATTAAAAATTTCGAGAAAAAAACCGACGGACGATCATATGGCGGACAGATAATCGCGTTCTTTCCTATAAATTCGATGGCAGGCCAATGAATATATTCCGCGCGCTCTATACACGATATTAAATGAGAACCCGTCGGCGCGAAATCGGTTCCGCGTCAGTATCGATAATACCGTCCAGCTTTTCGCGACTGCTATGTGTATTGTATCGTATCGTGTGGTGTGCGCGTATAATACGTATCGGATTTAACGCGCCGGAAACGCACCGAGTTTATAATATATTACGCATTGTTATTATACGTATATATATATATACGTATAATACGTCGAAAAGTCAACCCCGAGCGTTTCGGTTCCCGGGGCCCCGTACACACAGGACGCGGCCTCTACGCGGTAATCCGATCAAAATGAATAATATATGAAACGTTCACGCGCCAATGCGGACAATATCGCAATCACGAAACGCGCGCGTTACGCGAACACGGACGATTGCCGACGAACGTTATAGGTGTACGCGCGTAATAACGACATGACGCACCCCCATCGCGGCGCGCGCACGGTTTTAGAGAGACTCCCGTCCGACCCGGGCTCGGATGAAACGATCGGGGCGGCGGAATTTTTTTTTTTTTTATTGTTCATTTTTTGCATTACATTCGTCGCCGCGCCGTGCGCGAGAGAGGATATTTGACCGCGCGTCCTCCTCCTCCGCCGCCGCCGCGTGTAAGCCGGTACGGCGGCGCGCGCGCTGTATATAATGCGCGGGGGCACCCGGCGCGCGCGGTCCATTGTTAAAGGTCGGCCGGTCCGACACGCATTCGCGTACGGCGTACAATAGGAAAGGATACGATAAATAAGCCGCGCACACGCGTATATTATACGCCGAACGTCGTTTTCACCGGCGTCGAGAGGAGCGACGTCGAAAACGCCGGGGCCCCGGCCCGTCCCGCGTACACAAGGTGTTTTGTAGAAAGAAAAAAAAAATCGCTCGAGTCCCTTTTGTTTCGCGCGTCAAAGAAATTGTAATTACATATTATTATAATATTATACATGTACGTACCTCTACGAAAGGGGTTTTCTGGACCTACGCACATGTACGCGACGAGAAGCCGATTAACTCGCGTATTTTCTTTCTTTTTTTTTCATTTCTATTTTTTGTTTTGTTTCGCGCGGGTCGCGAGCGCCGCGGAACTAAAAGTACCGTGTACGACTATTGTAATACGAGTTGTACAATAATAATAGTGAAAACAATAGAACGGATTGCCTACTGCAGCACTCGACAACGGAATTGGTTAACCGCCTCGCGACCGCGACGACGAGCGATAAAAATTTGAAAAAAAAAAAAATAAAAAAAATATACACACATGTACATAGCGGACAGCGAGGGATTCCGCTTGACGTGGGCGCGTCGGGACCGGTCACACTTGCCGACATTGAGCGGTCACCCGGCCCTTAACCGAAATGACGAAAATACGACACGATACTACGTTACGGTCAATGTCGTTATAATTATACTCGCACCTATTTCGCGCCGTTCGTTTTGATTCGTTGTTGGAGTGCGTCGCAGGCCCGCTGCCTAATTTAACGGCGAGCATATTGTGTCGTCTGTGTTTGTACGTAGGTTTTTTCTCGATAATAGAATTTTTAATCGTCTGGATTCGACGATTTTCGAATCGTAATATTTCACACGTTTGTGACTCGTTTGAAAATTGAAACACCGAGAAAAAAAACCAACGTTCGAATACAGACAATGACGATGTTCTTACCATTGAGTTCGACAAACGGCTCACACACAATTTAGTGTTAAAACTAGCAGCACGAAATCGGGTTTTATACACAAAAAGTATAATTACAACGACGTTAACCGATTTCACAACATTCACTGTAACGCATATACCTTAGAACCCGGACCAGACCATTATGCCCATCATATTAGGCGGCTGCCCGCATTAACCGGTAGCCAAATTCATCGGGATCCCACCGTCTGTATTATATATATTTTTTTTTAAACCACCAGACATCGGCCAAATGCCCGTGTAACATTTTCGGCGCCGTGCCTTGCGACATTTTCCTGGAGATCTTCAATTTCAAAATCGACCACAGACACTGAATTGTTTGACCATTATAACCACCGATAATAGGATCGATAAAGTTTTTAGAGTGATTCACAATGAATGAAATCTGCAATATATTTTAAACAAGTATACGGTTTCCATTCATCGCTTACGACCGTTGTGTATAGTCTGACGCGTCCGCGAGGTTCGTTTAACATAATATTATTTTGTAGGATTGTATATAGTATACGTGTCTATATTATATTAAACGTTTTATTATTTTTTTTTTTTAATCGAGCTAAAAATATCGTGAATAATCGAACGAAATAGCCAATTAGAATCGTCGGAGGTATCGAATACAGCGAATATAAAAGATGGACTATGTGTTTAACACATGTATGTCAACTTCTACTGTCAAATCACAGAATTTATTTTGTTAACTATAACACAAAAATGTTTACATAAATAATAATAATAATAATATTTTTAATTTTTAATCTTTTCGTAATTCTTTTTTTTTTTTTTTATAGAATTCAAAATTGAATGGAATATTTGAATAGGTAGTTGGGTTCAGTGGCTATATATTACATATAATATTACTGTTAAATATGTAGTCTTTTTCATAAACGACTGCATATTCTACTTCAATTAAATACTTCCTATACTTAGATATCTAACATCCACCTATTTAAAAAAAAACCTCCTACGAGTCCTCTAATTCGTCATTGGTTGGGTTAATTTTAAGAATAAAAGTGACAATAATTCTCGACACGTGCTATTACCGGGACATCTATTTAAATAATACAAAACGTACGCAAATGTATCAAAGCAAAACTGAAAAATTGTTCAAATAAATTATGCACACGTAACGTATTTTACTTAAAAAAAAAAAAATCATTCTAGTCCAACTAGGTAAATGTTATAGATACTGTACAATATTATACATCGTATACTATATCCAAAACGTCAAAATAAATACCGAAGTTTATCTCTAAAGAGTATACGTATTATGTGGGAGACAACAAAAACCCTATTGACGGAAATAAAACAATAAAAATAGGTATATATAAAAAGTGGATTTTTTCTTTTAAAATCTTTATTATTGAAAAACTCCGATGCGCCGCAGACATTCGCCTCCCAATTTTACACTACGCGTGCACTTCAATATACATTCGTATATTTTCAGACGTTCCATTTTGTAAACGTCGCACGCGCGTTTTCTCTCGTGCATTAAAGGTCCCATTAGGCTGAATAATATGCGACTTGTATATGCATCGCGGAGAAAAATCTCCCGCCATCGCGTAATGGAACACGAGGGGATCCGAACACGCTGCGCAGCCGTCTAATTTGCCGAGTTTCCGCCATCGCGAGACGTCATCCCCGGGCGCTTTTCAATACAACAATCGGACAAGCACGATCCCTGCGAATTCGTATTTTATTGTGTAGTGTATACTGTACAATAACAATAATATGTCGCATCCACTCGGCGAAATTGAACTGCGAAATGAAAACTACAGTATTCTTTTTTTTTTAAAAAAAAATCGTGAAAATTTCACCAGCGTACAATGTCTTTTCGTGAAACTGTTACCGAAATTCGACATCACCGTGTTATTTTTTTTCTTTGCCGACCGTTCGGCTACCCCCACTTTGTGAAATAGAACAGATAAACCATGTCATTTAATTTTTATTATCTATTTTGTTATTTAACAATTCACTTCTCTTTCGCCTCTATCTCACACAGGGGTCACAGTTTTTTTTTTTTTTTTTTTTATCCATAAAATCGGTTGCATTCACTTAATCCGGACACGCCTAATTCTACTATTTCGTATAATTTGACTTTTCTTTTGTCGCACAATCTTTATACAATATTGGATCTTTTATAATCTGGTATTTCAGACCATAAATAAAATCAATCGTGTAATGTAAAATGTAAAATATTTTAAGTGGAGCTATATATGAACGGTAATCAAACAATCAACAATATTATATACGATTGTGTAGTACACTACGATGAAAAAGTTCATCGAATTATAGTATTCATTTTGACGTTTCACGTAAAGGTTACCAATATTACACTTTATGAATTTAATTAAAAATTTCATAAAACTTGAAAAAATGGTTTTTATTTCAAAAAATGAATAAATAATTTTTCATGGCTATATGAATACGAGTAAACACTAAATCACCGAGTAAACGCTAAGTTGCCGCAATCAGTATACGATAATAAAAGGAATTTCATGTGCGATCCAAAGCTGTATTTATTGTAAGTAGAGATCTGAACGTATACATACAGAAAGCCGTATTTCCGAAATTCAACTCCCTATACAAAGGCGGTTGATCACACAAAGTTTTCGACAATTTTGGAACACAAATCTAATTATGTTTAGTTGATTTATGGATTACCTCGGTGACACAGATGCCGTATAATTATATGTATGAACATAATATATCCACGATGATGGTTTATATTGGTGATATTATAATCATGGAGCCTGCAGGGATGACACGTTAAATTTAATTTATTTTGTTGATTTCGTTTTTCGAAAGATTTTTTAAAAATTCTGCATTTAAATGATTAGAAAAAAAGAAAAAGAGGGCCAATTAAATTGCCAAGGACAATATACGATAGTATGTATAGTTATGAGTAATGTATACTTGCGTGAAAAATAGTCAAATCCTGCAAATACACCCTGTATTATATGGCGAGTACAGAATCATATATTGCGGGGGACCGCTGACACCATTGTCAGAGGCAAAAGTTGTCCTAAGTCCTACAGTCGCCATGGATACCCGAGCGCGATAATATATAGCAACGCCTTTCACCGTGTCCGTTGCCATGGGATACGCCCTTTTAGAAAAAAAAAATTGTATTATTATTATACGTAGGTATATTTATTTTTTCTTTTCTTCTTTTTTTTTTTTTAACGGTCATTGCTTTTACGTTGAGCTCGTTATTTTTTCCGAATGCTCCAATAAACTGCTGCTGCTGCAGCGACGTTTCCGGCTAAATCTGTACACGACGAACCGACCAAGAGACCGAGACTGATATTTACACGAACATCCCGTCTAGATTTTTTTTTTATTTTTATTTTTATTATTTAAATTTTTCGTTTCATCTCCGCAGTAAATATTTTATTACGCGTTTTCTCGGCGAAAAAAAATATAATACAATCTACGCAATAAATATAATCGAATACGAAAAAACACCCTCCCGACGCGTTTATCCGTCTAAGAGGAAAAAAAAAATCTTATTATACAAATAAAAATCGTATCATATTATCATATTATACTCTACAACGTGCAGCACCGAGCCGATTCGTTTTTTAAGTATAGGGACACATAAAAACACGTAAAGAAGTCGAGTAAGGCACTCGAGTATACATAATGTATACGTTTTACTATTAATTTTATGCGTGCCAAGAGTAGTATAAATAAAACTTCAAAAACGCGTAAACAACGGAATATAATGTATTCTTTTGTTACCTACACAGGTACATTATGGATAAAAACGTATTAAATTTGAATGACAAAAAGTAATCAATTGTTATAGTAATTTTCAAGTTTCCAATGTGTAATTACAGTTAAATAATAAGTATTTTATTATTTGTTGTTGAAATAAATTCATCGATTATTTTTTTATTTATTCAAGTCTGAACCCGAAAAAAAAACCGTTTATTCCTTATATACTAAACTAATAGGTAATGAATATACAATATTATTTTTAATCAACTTTATCGTCTATCCCAGAAAATGAAGACTATATTGTATTGTATTATGTTTAAAACATTATGTATAGCATTATACATATTTTAGCAATTTTAGAGGCTCCCTCTGAATAAAATGAGCTCAAAACTCAGGAATCAGAGTAGATTAAAGCGAGATTATCAAAGAGATCAAATTTCAATTGAATTTCAACCATGTAGTTGCGAAAAAAGAGTAGTTTTTTTTAGTTTTCATCACACCTACAGCTCTCCCAAATGAAGTCGGTAGAATTTTTTTTTTCGTTCGTGACAATTATCGCATTCAAAATTTAAATATTTGGGCAAAAAATAATAACACATAATTATTATTAAACCATTTAATTTAACAACTAATTTTACATATTTACCTGGAGTCGTTTTCTTTTCCGACTGTTTTAACTTGTTCAACTTTTTCTCCATTTTTTGTTTTCTTTGTTGCTCTTTTTGTTGCCATTCTAATATTTTTTGTTGAAATTCTTCTTCGCAAAGCTTGCCTAAATGTTCTGCAAACATTTCAAATAGTGGGACGTTAGTATTTGAATAAAGAATGAATTTATAATAAAAATTATTTAACACGCTTATAATAATTATCACCGTACACAAATACCAAGTCATTTAATTTGAGAACAAATCTCAATATCTGAAACCATATAATTAAAACTCTTTCAGTGGATTAAGAATTTCCACGATTTTAATTGTATTTTTACAAAACCTATAATCGCATAACGTGAAAAAAAATATGGAACAAGCAATAAAACAGTAATTGAGAAAGGGAAGAAGGCCAAATATATGAGGAACGGACGGAATATAGCGAGTTGTGGAGACGGAATGGAATAAAAAATCCAGGACCGTGGTTATTTGAGAATTGTAACAGTTAAATCCGTACGAAGTTATATGATAAAAAAAACTATTATATAATTTATTACTTATAACATATAAGTATTGGGTGCGGATTTATGTATATTTAAAATTTAAAAATATGTACATGATGTATATGTATTTATTTTTTAACAAATATGCAATTCAAAATACAAGGTTTATAGACAAAAAAAAATGTTATAATTCTTGTTATAAATTTAAAAATAAGACGTACATATAAATATAAAATAATATACATAAAATTATTATAATTAAATTATATATTCAAGTCACATATTTATTCATTTGAGTATAGGATACTCGTAGTCAACAAAACAATGGGTAATCTTTTTAGATTTACAAAGGTAAATCGACGTCGATTGAGACGTATTTTTAGCAGCTAAAGGACCATTCCGCGTCGACAGAAGTAATAGGAGCAAAAAGGTGCCTAATTCTTTAAGACTGAATTCGAGAAAGTTTGTGCATTTCTACATTGTGAATGTTTACAATAGCTCGAATCATATCTTTAAACCGGGATTTTTACTAAATACTTTTTTAAAATATTTTCTTAACTTATTTTCGACCTTCTCGGGGGCTTCTTTCAGTTATTATCATAGACAATACCCCAGCAATCAACCCAGGGCCAGTTTTGAGATTCAAGTTTAGTAATGGAATCGGCAAGGAATGTAATATTGAAAGATATGTACACTAAATTTTTTTTAAATGAATAATTTTTAGTATTTTCTACTGAATTGGCGTCTAATTCAAGTATTGAAATCACATCTTCAATGATACAAAAATTGTCACAGCAAGGAGAAGTAAACAATACATAATGTAAAACGGCTATACACCAGTATTTTTTTTTTAATAGCTGAATATTTAACAAAAGTATATAATATTAACCGTATAGCTTAAACCAATCGGATTTTCTTGCAACATATTTCCATAATAGAATAATTAGATTATTATCGTTCACGATAAATATGTAAATATATACGAATTCACATCTAAGATTATCACTTTTCATCATATAATAGGTATGAATTTATAACGTTATAGTATAAACAAACTGGATATCCGAGTGTGTATGCCAATTATACAAAATGTATGAGTCAAAATTTATTTTGAACGATTATTTTGTAATTTGTTTATTACTTCGAATTTTTGTAAGTTTCCAAAGGTTAATTATAATTGATAATATTTAAATTATTGTGTAACTTGTGTTCATTTATGAACAATCTTTTTAAACGATTGAACATTATATTATTTATGGACATCTTTATCAACACAATAGTTGTATACATTTTGGAATGAAAATTAAATTATTTTAATTGAATAATGGATTTCCATAGTAACACGAATGAAATTCAAAAGATAAACAGAAATAAAAATGCCATAAGAACTATAAAAAATTAATATAATTAGTCTATCTGACTGCCGGTATGTTATTGGCTAGAATGTGCTACCCCTTGGTAACATAAAACAAATGTATGCGCTGTACAGGGTGAGTAAGTGAAAAATGAAAATTCGTAAAACGTCATCTCTGAATTTTTGTATTTTTTTGTACAATAACAACACTATACAGTACTATTATGTCCTCATAAGTTTAGAATTATTATTAGTGGATATTATACAGTTTAATCCCTGTATTGTGCAGGTATTTATGGTAACACGAATGAAAGAATATATGATACACTAGAACACTTTTAGTCCGCGGACTACCAACTTGCCACCTATTTTTTTTTTTAGTTCAATATATACTTATACAAACAAAAGAATGTGGAAATAAAGGTAAAAAAAATGAGAAATTAGCACGGGCAACGCCAGCTAGTATATTATTATATAAGCAACTGTATAACGTTTAACGAATATTTTATAAAAAAAAAAAAAATAAATGAATATAATAATATTATATAAACCAAATAAATAATGATAATTTGAATACATTCGAGCGATGTATTAATAAATAATGCATCATAGATAATTACGTACCAATAATATTATATATTGATTTGAACTAAAAATTGCTGTGAAATTAATCAACAGAAATAAACAGCATTAATATGTTGTTTTTTGAAATATGTTTTTTTTTTTTTTAAAATAAGATTCGAGAAAAAGTATTATATAGATGAACAAATATGTATAATAATACTGTATACTGGCACAAAATATCGCTCTGCTATATTATTAATACAATACAACTGGTTTTGATTTTGACGTGGTTTATATGTACATAATTTCTCAAGCAGGCTTTAGCTTATTATTAACCGAGGTACCTACGTTTTATAAATCTGTCCTCGGGGTTTGTATATTATATTTGATTACAACAAATAAAAAATATAAAGGGACAAGACGGAATAAGAGCCAATTAAAACAGCCATTCTAGACTAGCGGGACATTTTTTATTTTTATTTTTTTATATCGTATTGATATTCCAAGTTCTAAGTGGGTTTTATATATATATATTTTTTTTTTCAATACGATGCGTATTTTTCAATATAATAATATACAATACGAAAGGGAGCGTCCATGAAATACACACACACAAACATACCCTGCTGCTGTATAATATACACTCCGACAACTAATAGTCGGCCAATAGAATGCGAGACGTATTAATTAACCCTATGGGGAGCCTCGAGGGCGAGGGCGAATTTGACAGGGGTGAGCCCCCTCGGTGCTGCAGCAGCCGCCGCCGGTACAAAGGGACCACTTCACACAAACACACACCCAGAGGGACTGTATTCGACATTATGTCAGGGCAGGATGTATTAAAAATAAAATCACCTAATTAAATAAAAAAGAGAGAGCGCGTACAAAAAATTCAATTTGAAATTTTCATTATAGGTGGTACAGTCGCATATAATATATATATATTTGTATTTGTACTGCGGAGGGAGGGTGGTGGTAAGTACATCGCCTTACTGCATATAGTCCGCGTATCGGTCATTTATTACATTATTATATATTATTAAACATAAATATACATACATATATATAATTGTTTATTGTATTACGTATACGACATAAAAATGTATAAAAGAGTCAAAGACGAGATTGAACTGCAAAAAAACCAAATAAATCGTAAAACAAAAATGGCTTGATACTTTTGCGATGGGTATATTATATGTTCTCCCTCCGCAGAGCATAGAATAATGTAGAAGATTACGGAAAACGACGAACAAACAAGATTGATCCTTTTGTGCAATACAGTTTCGAATCGCAAACGCAGACATACAAATAAACCTAATAATAAAGCTCGTTGGACTTTTTTTTTAAAACTATTATCCTGCTTTGTTATTAGAGATATTTTATGCTCCGGGCATTTCCGCGGTTCCTATATACATATTTTTTTGTCAAATCTCGTATACGTAATACCGTATACTGGGCTCGTTGTCGTGCAGTAAAACATATTCATCGTGCAGATAAAAATTGGAGATACTTTGATTCCACAATGATTGTGTTAAACTTCAAAATATTTTTATCGTTGCGTTTAATTTAAATGAAATATGTATACATGTCCATATTCCTACAGTCATTAAAAATAAGTAGTTTCAAATTGATTTGGATATCTTTTTTTAAGATTCCATGTGTAACGAAAAAGGTATTGTAGTTATTAAGTTATTATACGATTTAATTTTCGGTCAGTAAAAATAATGTTATCTATTTTTCACACCGATAAACCTTGAAAAATGCGGATTTTTGATGATGACCAATGGTATAATATTTTGATATTTTTTCTAGATTCTCAACGGTTTTTCTAAACAAAAGCAAGTAACAAAGTTTCCAAAGTTTCCTGACAACAATGACGAAACATCGGCATATTTTTTCATTGATTTCTTAATAATTAAGCATAAACGAGAAGAAAAAACACGACTAATCTTTATCCAATTTTACCAGTTTACAAAATTGTTCAATATTCATCACGTATCAGTGCGTACGTTTTTTTTTTTTTTTATAAACAATATTATGGTGTTTTTAGAAATTTTAAAACAGGTTTGAGTCATCAATAATCAAGCTTAAATTAAGAGAATACAATTGAACTTTTATAGTGTTTTTAACAAAATGTATAGGACCGCAATCGTAAAACAACACGAATCACAATATTATGTATGGATAAAATAAAATTGGTAAAAAAGTCATGCAAACTAAATAGGTAATGTGGATAAATATATAGATGAAGACGATATAATACGTTTCAAGGTTATCGGCATATTTGGTTATTTTAGATTCCGAGCGTAGCGAGGGAGCTATTCGTTTTACTAAGATGTTTATTTCTTTTTATACGTTTTTTCTTTTTTTTCTTTGTTTTAGTCTGTGGACACGTGTTTTCCTAATAAACTTACTCCGATTTTTACGTGTAACTTTTGAAAGCTTCAAGTAGTCTAGATGGTAATTTAAATAGGTCATTTTTTGATTTTCGACGCCATATTTTTTAAAAAAAAGCATTTAAGTGGGAAAAAACGTAGGGAAACATACAATTTCATTATTTTACAAAAATATGGACGACATTGTATGGGTAACAGAGTTTCTCGACCTTTAGGTTACAAATAGTTTTGATTGATGCGACCTACAATTTCAAAGGCTAACAAAACAAAAAGATTTTTTAAAAATGTTGAATCAAGAAAGGACGAAAAACCTTGGGAAAACGGCTGATATTTAATCCTCATCGCTCTTTTCATGATCCCGATTTAAAAATAAAACAGAATGACTTGCCTTGTATAATAAAACAGTTAAGGTAGTATGAAAACTCGTCATTTCCAGTTAACCTTTTCCTTTTTTTTTATAGAGTTGGAGGAGCGAAAGCGATCAAAGAGATTCACGCGGCAATTCTTTATAAAAATCCATCAGATGAGTATAATTATACTGCACTTCAAAAGATAATTTTCAACACGGTACTTTTCTATACAGGCGATCTTCTAAATTTGATATTATGGTCAAATTTTTTACAAATTAATCATTTAAAAAAAAAACTTGTGTAGGAACTTTTGAAAATCGTATGTTATAATATTCTATAATGTTACATTGTTCTTATTAATCACCATGATTTTTTAGGAGAGAAACTATTACCCATTTCTGATTTTCGTCGCCTATATATTAAAAATTGTATAAACAGATTTGAATTAAAAATAATTTGAATTCATTTTGAAGTAGTACATTTTTAATTTCTATCAACCAGTTGATGGGATATATTCCACTTTTAAGTTTAGATAGGGAAAAAGTAGTGGGGTATTGTTTCTTTAACAGCAAGGCATACAGCATTTGAATAGTGAATAGAACCCAATTTATAGGTATTGACTTTGAAAAAAATCAGCGGTATAACGTCAATTTTTTTTGTTTTTGTTCTTTGTCTTTCTTACATTCAAGAAAAATACGAGAAAATTAAAAAACGATCGACATTGAAACAAGTCTACCGGTAGAAATCAATATTTCAAAAAAAAAAAAAAAAAGAGAACTAATGTTCAAGAATCAATGTTGTATAATTAAAAAGTTGGGAAGGTCGGATACATAAAATTATTTAATTTAATCAGCCAAAATAATTTTATCCCCATAAAACTCAAAAATGTCAATTGTTTATAAAACTAAGGAAATCATATAAGTCAAATTTCTCTTTCAAACAAGAAGCAACAATGAAAATAAATTCAGAGAAAGTGTTCTGATCAAAAAACAAAACCGCAGATAATGAAACTTTAATTGCTACGCATCGATTCGTTTTTTCTATACATTTTTTCTCGGTTTTTCCCCAAGTATAATGGGAACTCAACTAACCTAACTTTCACTCGCGCACTGTGCTATAAGTATGAAAATAGACACGTTCCGGTCCCTTAAGTATAACATCATGAAACATTGTGGTCAATTGAGTTTAGATTGACTTTGTCACGATCGGAAATATTCGCGTTTTTACATTTAAACGGTCGAGTTCCAATATCGTTTGATTTTATTGTTGTTTTTTTGTTTTGTGTTTGTAACAACTTTTTTACCGGAAATCTCGCTGCAATCAATAAACCATTATGGGAACTTACTAAAGCGTTTGGGTGATCTAGTTGGTGCGTCTAGAGGTTTCATTAACAAGGGAATAATAATTAATTTCATTATTAATTAACAACTAAATAATTGATAATACCCTTCTCGGAATCGTTTTTCGTGTTAATCGCAATTTATCGTTGGGGGGGGATATACACATACGCGTAACATATTTCGCTTCGCCAACGACCCTCATTCCGAAAAAGACGGCGCGCGCCAATCGGCAACATCGGCTATTTTTGCATTTTCCTTTCGTTCTTTGTTTCCGAATATTACATGATATCGTGTCTTTTCGGTTCGGCGATCGATCGCCGGCGAAGCCGCGCACACCGTCCGACCGTTGCCGGTCCGTACTACAATATAATACGGGGGGCGATATCCGGCGGGAGGACGGTCGCGGCGGAAGGGTCGGGGATCGCGGCCGAAATATTAATAGCCGGGCTAAAAGCTGCGGCGCGCGCGATATCCATCCCGGGGCGAGTGTCCGCGGCAGAGAGTGCGATGCGCGCGGTGTCGGTCGCGTACGGGCGGAATCATCGTCCTCGCGCCCGACGCGTATGCGCGTATGCGATATCGAATTAACGGCGGTGCGCGCACGTCGTGCTTCTCCCGGGACATGATATAATATTATTACGGAAACCGCGGCGGCGTCGCGGCCGCGGCACACGGGGAAACTCGTCCCGGGGGAATCCGTCGCCGCGGCCGTAACACCGCGGTGTTACGCGCGGTAATCGAGTGAGCGGCGCGCGTATTACAATAATTAAAATAATAATAATAATAACAATAATGTATTACAGGAGAAGGCGTGCGATATCGGCGGCGGCGGATGTACGGTATTATATACGTGTGTATTTACGGCGGAGGGGCGTTTTCATCGGCGGGGCGCGCGAAGGGTTCCCGCGGGACGCCGGGCAGAACCGGGACCGCCGGGTCCGAGAGAGGACAATACTATACGTACGGTAATATATGTATATTAATACTGCAGTTGCGGCGGCGGTGTGCGAAACGGCGCGTTGGTCGGCGGGACGGCGGCGCGCGCGCGGAAGAAACGGGACGCGATGTGCGGCGATGCGTGTGGCCGACGTCGACGGCGATGACGAAGACGACGGCGGCGGCGGCGGCGGCGAACCCTCCGTCGGTTTTCTCCTCCGGGGCCGGTGGAGGAGGTGGCGCGCCCGGCGATGGCTGCGCGCGCGGAAACCCGAGGGACAGAGTCCTTTGATCACAGCCCTTCGCGTACATGTATATATCGCCATCGCATCCCTCTCGTATATATTATATACGTTTTCCCCTCGTCGCCGCCACTCGAAAAGCCATCCCGCTGTGGGCACTCGGCGCGAATATACTGCACTATATAATACATTACGTATACCTACGTATATTTTATAATATGCCGGCGCATACGTGTGGGTGTACTTTATACCCCGAGAAGTAATATAATATACGTATACACGTAAATCGGGCGGAAGGGGGGGGGTAGCTTACGCAATACGCGCGCATACGTTTGCGAGCGTACGGCGCGCCGTGTGTATACATTATATTATTATTATTATACGTGCGCGGACGCGAACGCGCGGAAAATATAACGCGGAAATAATTGCGAATTTTCCGCCGCACGGTACGTACGCGCGTGCAAGTCATACGGGCGTACGTATAGCGCGTGTTACGGTACATGTGACCCGCGACGACATGATATTATATCGCCGCTATTGCCCACTCCTCCGCCGCGGCGGCGCGATATAAGTACATGATAATATGTACGCCACTCGAAACGCCGCGCTGCCCCCTGTACCCCCACCCCGCCCTCGTTTTCTCTCACTCTCTCACTCTCTCTCTCTCTCTCTCTCTCTCTCTCTCTCACTCGCTCGCCGTTTCTCTCGCATTCGTCGCAAAGGTTCGCCGGCGTCCGACCGCGACAACACAAACGTCTCGCACGCACTACGCGAGTACGAGAGACGGGCACGCGTCGTTTTTTTTTTTTTTTTCATGTTTTCTTTTAATATTTCATCTTTTTTTTTCGCTCCTTAAATAGTATATAGAATATTTAATTATTATAATAAACGAACCGCTCTAATAGCCGCGGCGCGCGTATTAAAAATTGCGTATAAAGAGCCGCGAGACGCGAATTATTATTATATCGTGAAATACGAGAACCTTGTGGGGACGCGGTATTCCGCTGTCTTTACGAAAATATTACGTATTTTTTTTTTTCTTTCTCTTCTCTTCTTTCCGCAGCCGCCGCCGCCGTCGCCGTCGGCTTTTCTCTAGACAAACGACCGCAAAATACGCCGCCACCGCGTTCCCTCCTACACTCCGCCAACCGCGTAATCCTCTGGGGATATCTCGCGGTTTACACTAACAGTATACCCGCTTTTAATTAGACAGTATCGGGGAGGAGGAGAGTGGGCGCTCTTCGGCGTTACAGTTCGGAAATACCGCCCTGTGTTAAAATCCAACCCGCGAAAATGTAACACCCCCCCCCACCCAGGTAAAAATTTTACGATTCTTGATCTCCGGTAAAATTTCGCTAAAGAAACTTTAACCCCCCCCCCAGATCAATTATCTTCTTTCACTAGTATAAGCTCGACTATTCGGTAAAAATTTAATACTATACATAAATTGTGTATACAATTATTGAATTTATTATACTTTTGATTCCGAATTCTGAACAAATTATGATAAATGATAGTTGTAAATTATATTTTACGTAATTTTATCCGTACAGGTTTTCCATCAAAATTAATACACAGTGCATCGAATTCGTTAATGGAATGCTTGAGGAGCTCGGGGTACGTACCAGCAAAAGAAAGTTAACGCATATACATTATTTAGATCAACGCATCGAAAACATAAATGAAAATGTAAATAAAAGGTAAAAATTAAAAAAAAAAAACAATTTTATTAAATTTATCGCACGGGCGGAAAGTGTTTTACCATTTACCGCCTTTAATAAGTTTTCCTCTTTTTAACGAAACCGAAAACAGTCAGCCCCCGCTTGAAAACTTTTAAAATTAAATTAATTTATAATCAAACGATAAAAATATAGTGTAATATTTCATTTGTTTAATTTGTTTGAAAAACGATTTTAAGCTAAGTTCGGTGAAACATAATTTGAAATGCCGCGACTTTTAACGATTTTCGTAAAAATGTACACTACTATAAACACTTATTATTAAAACCCAAAATTATACACATTTACATATTTGTACATAGTGTATGCCCGGTATACAATTTGAATGCCGGTGTAACAGGCAAATTTTCCTTACCCCTAGAATATTATTACTGGGTGATAAGAATATACTAGGCTTATTATACCGTGAAAGGGGTATGACATTCATAGGATAATTTCCCCTCGCGGTAAAATATTCCTAAGACTATTAAGCTTAAAAACAACACATTACAAAATGTTTTATTAGATTCAATTTTTTTAAACGTTACAGACATAGTACAGACTTAATTACACTTTATTATACACTGACAAATTAATTTCAAATACAATATTAATTATAATCCAGTAGTACTAGAAGTACTTCATTATAATTAACTAAAACTAATTCTTTTATTTTTTTCACACAGTAATGTCCATCTACATTTTAAATAATAATTATTAAACTATATCAGTGATTATTTAGAATTTAAATTGTATTGCTTATTAAAATATATCAGTTATATTATTTTTGTACTATTCTAATTAATCATAATATATTGTATACAAATTATATTCGAAAATAATTTTATGCAGTTCGGTAAAAAGCCGACAAAATCGGTAAACATAATACATATATTTAGATAATATTTAGACTGACAAAAATATACTTACCAAACAGCAAATGTTTAGATATTTGCGGACACTAAAACTTTGAATATTACTCATAGGTGTGTTCCCTTACCGTAGCCAAAAATAAATTTCAGGGAAGTCCACTAATTATGTTTATATTAACTACTTTGTTTTTAGAACGACCGAGTATTTTACACGTTTGCCGCTCACGAATTTACTCATGGTTAAATTTTTTGATAATAATGCTGTTTATTTTTCTATAAAACACGTCACAAGAATGAGTTTTTAATAAATTAAAAATTAAACTTATGGTAAATCAATTTTAATAGAGAAAAAATTGTTTATACTGTTCTCGTTAAATGTTTTTTTTTTTTTAATATAATTAAATAGTGAAAACAAATAAATTGCACCAGTACCGTTTGGTGTAATCATTTTGTGAATTCGTTTTACGTTTATCGTGATGTTTTACAATTTTGATTCGTAAAAATCTTAAGTCAAATAAAGAAAAAAAAAAGTTTAAGACTGTTAATGTTTAAATATATTACTTTGATTGTCTTTTTGAAGATTATACTATATTGAATTTTTATATTCTCATCTATTAAACGTTTATTTCGTGTTCAATTATTTTAATATTATTTGAGTATTTTATTATTGGTTATGATAAAAAAAAAAATGCAGTAATTTATTTGTAATATTCTTGAATAAAAATAGATTTTTTGTTTAAAAATATTTTTATTAAGTACAATAGCAGATTACATATAATTGCATATTTATCATATTTATGCATATTTGCATTGTATTAGATAATTTTTAAATGCATATAGTTCCGGTCTCTAATTAATATATAATGAACGTCGTTTTAAATTTTCAATCATAATAGGGGGGCTAAACATAAATTGTATCCATGTAAAAATCAAAAAATATTTTTAAAAAAAATCGAAGATTTCATATGGCTATAAAAATCGCCATAACAGTTTCAAACTGTACTACGTTTAGACAGCGCTGACATAAGACGTATTCAATGATAATGTCAGGTCTTTACGATTATTTTCATCCTAATCGCAACAAAAAACTAAAACCGAAAATAACAATAACTGCTTTCGCGTACATTTTTCCCAAATTATAATTATTATTTAGGAAACTACTAGAAAACTCAAAAAAAAATGCACCAACAATACAACATTTTCTACCAAAAATAAATTTTAATTATTTAAAATCAAACCCTCCCCGTCCTCGAGTTCATGATCGGAGTAAGATTTCTGGTAGAAAAGTGGTTTACAGACAGAAAGAAAACATATACTGTTTAAAATCAATACATTTCGCGCTTCACTCAGAAATCGACCATCCTACGAGGCTGGAGAGTTTTTTCTGTAAAGTATGATTACGACTAAAAATAAACAGGCCACACTTAGGCCTCTTAGAACTATTGTCATTTTAGATTTTGGTAACTGAAAGTATTAGTTACATTGTGTGGATTAAAAAAAAATTTGTTTATCTGTTAACGACTTTTCTACCCGAAACCTTAACTCCGATTTTCAAGTGTAGCATATTTTCCAGTTGGTGTATTAATTGTGAATTTTCCTTGCAGTTTTATTCATAATTAGGAACAACAGTAAGAAAAACGACAATGACGATTTCATTGTTTTAGATTTTGGCTTTATGTCGCAACGCGGTTCAAAATTACCGCTCAGACTTGAAATCATGACAGAATACTCATATTAACCTTTTCCAGAAATGGGAACATATTCAAAACTTAATAGGCGTTTGATATTTTCGAGGTTTTTTTAGTTTTATATTTGATTTTATGAACCGTGTTTCGTTAGCAATTATTTATCGTCGCGTGTACGAATACAAATTAAATAATTCTGCGTATCCTAATGTCACAACTTCCCACCTACGACACTGACACGCCCATCTTCAGTATCAGTTTAAAAAATGAATTTGCTTAATTGGTATTTCGCGAATACGCGATCGCTATCTCGGAGAAAAAAACTGTACATAATTTTAATTCTATTTGTATACATGATACGGTACATCCGTGTATTATGAAAACACTGCGAAACGATCAAAGAACGCGCACCGTCATCGCACACTGTACAATCTCGTTATATACTCGTTTGTATACGTATTTTTTTATAGTTACGATGTGACGATTTGCAATTAAACCGAAACAAAAAATACGAAAATAAAGTCAAATAACGTTATAATGGAGTACCGTCGCGTTCGTTCGATTGTAATTGGTGCGGCCACGATGATAAATTTAGTACTACGGAAATGATGATTGACCATATTATGTGTTTTATTCGTAAAAAGCAAGTATACATATATTATGAGACACACATGGGTACATCGTCGGGGTAATTTCCTATTGAAACGCATCTACGTAAAGCAAACTTGAGGTCGGTAAACATTCGCGGTACCTGTGCAATTATATATTATCAAACGAAACACAAACGGAATTACCGCGGGAAAAAAAAACTTCTCGTAAAACTCGAGCGGTTTTAATTGAAGAAACAACTATACGTCATAATACTACACACTTATATTAATGATTTAGTTTAAAAGTCTGAAACGACCCCGGAGCGAAAAACAAATATAATCGTATGGTTCTGATATAAAAGACGATAAATTAGGACGCTGCTCGCGGGAAACCGTCGGTATAAGCTGCAGACTGCATTCGTTGTCGATGAGAAGTAGAAAATATATGATTTAGTTCAAAGCTTTTTATGATATAAGTACTGTATTCAATGATGAATCATCGCAAACGAAAAACAAATCTGAACAGAGTTCGGTTTAGCGGGTGTTTTTTTTTTTTGATAAATTTAAATTTAAAATTGCATTCTGTAGCTACAAAGTATATTTGTAAAATTTATCATAAATTTGGACTTGAAACATTTATAAATTACGATCGACTTTTTCTATATAATTATTAATTATTACGATAAATGTTTATAATCAATTGTTGAGCATTTATACGGAGCTAAACAAATTATATTCACAAACAATCAAAACGATTTCATGTAACTATAATATATAATGTAACTTAAAAACGGTAAAAAAAAAAATTATACCGTGTCGTTAAAGTGCTAATAATTTTTATATATACGGGTAATTTCATATTCTGCGAATATTTTTTTAAAGAATTACAATAAAAAAACAAATTACTTTATTACTCGTTATTGCGTAAATATTTCCGTTTTCACTATATTATTCTCGGATTATCCTAATTGACATTCCCATGCAATTTGTCACCAGAATCTGTCCCTGCACGAAATTTTTGGTAAAAAAAAGTCGTTTACAGAGAGGAAAAATCAAATACGTTTTCTTAAAACGCGTCATTACAAAACTATAGAACGTACTCCTCGCTACACCCAGAATCTTAAACTTCACTTCAAATATTCGTTATATACTGGTGAAAACAAGCTATCTTGCAATGAGGGGCCGCGTCAACACATCGATTTTTCTCACGCATAAAAGCGTTACTTTTCAATTATCAAAGCTTTATTGTATTTCCACCGAATAACTCTCGCGATTAATCATGATAACACGAACAGCGTGTAACCAGTTAATGACATACTCATGCAACTTTCAAATACCATCGAGGACGTTTTTGATTTATGTTTTTGTTTTTATTCATCGGTGCATTTAGGTAGCCATTTGAGAAGTTTTTATAATAGAGGAAAATTGATAACAAACGACAATAAATCACACGTAAGAAGTCGAAAATCTTAGTGTGACCGCTGAATGCTCGTTCGAACGCTCGAAAATGTAGATCTCTTCTTTACTTAAATTTGAAAGCAAAACTGTTCTGAGAATCTAAATAAACCCGGAAAATCCACACATTTTTCAAACGCAGTGTAAAAGTTTTGGAGTATTTTTACAGGCAGTAAAATGGTTTTCTGAGAGAAAAATACATCTCGATAAAACTGTATATTAATTATATGATTTAATTAATTAATCAATTATACGATATTATAAGACATATATAAACATACATAAGACATGTACACCTAAATTCTTTGACTTTTCGATAACTGCATCGTCTACAGTTATGTTTCCAAAATCGGAAATTGATTGGTCGATCTACATCCGAAGTACGAAAGAAAAAGGCATTACGAGCAACGGAAAGCAAGATTAGAAAAAGAATATAATAGATAAAAAAATTGCATTTGGCATATGTATATTATATATATATGAGCTGTTCTGTCCGATATTGTCAATACCAACTTTTTAATATTTTTGTTTTGCATGCATAAAAAACAAAGTGCCATTTTGATGTTCGGAGTAATTTCCGAACTACTCATCCAATCGTTATGTGTGTGTGTTTTTTTTTTTATAATGATACACAATATATCGTGGAAAAGGTGTTAAGCTATTGAAAACATCAACCTGACCAGTAGATATAGTAAACGATCTAACCTGTAGTAGTTTGATATGGATAAAAAAAAAATTATCAGATATTTTTCATTGCTTAGCAACCATATAGCTAATTTATATAGGTATGGAAATAAAAGTAAATAAAATGCATTTTTAAACATTTGAGGGCAACAACAGTTAACTGCAGTAATAGTCACAGAGATTGAAACAGGAAATATAGGGGGAAATCGTTTTTATTACACATTTATTTGGCACGGGCAACGCCGGTCGGGACAGTTATTTAATTATAACGATTAATAAAACAAAAAGGAAAATCAACAAATAAATAACCTCCTCAATGCACCAACTAGACCCAATTAATCCAATAACTAAATGTTCTCTATTCATTTTTTTAATATAGTAAGATTTCTGGTAGAAAAGTAGACAATTTTTCCAGTATAAGAAAACGAATTTTCACTACTTATTTACTTTACCGTACCGCGAACAATATATTGCCGTCATTCCTTTGTACTATAGGAAATAAAAATCCCAAAAGAAAAACTGCCTTTTAACGGCATCGTGATGTAATAAGTCTTAGATCCCAGAGAAAAAATGCTTATTATAAGTCATTTTTGTGTAGTTTTCAATACAAATTTATTAAATTTTGAAAATTGATAAACGGCATAATGACATAACTGATTTCTTTTCTTCGCCAAACTAAAAATAGATACATCATTACGGTAACTTGAACATTTTAATTTTCAGTGTTAGAATAAACCATAAACTTGTAAGCACAAAGTTGCAAAAAAAATTGTTTTGTTTTCTAATGTCATTTTGTTTGTTGTAAACATTATTTTTTGGTAAACATCATATTATATAATAATAGAATTACAAACGAAATATTACCATAATTATTTAAGAACCAACTACAACAATCGGGGAAAAAAAAACCGTTACCCCTGTAGCCAAAAGTTATTAGGAACCGTTTAATTTCGATTAAATTTTATGAACGAATACAGGAACTACATACACATATGCACACATATAACTTAGCTCTTCAAAGCGTTATAAGTTATTTTAAACACGTATACGTGTAATTATGAAACGTTTTAAACATTTCACACAACTCTGCCTATTGTACCGTGTCTCGGTTAGACCGAAAAATAATTACGCGAGTCCTAATTATGGAAACAAATAAATAATTTCCGACGTAAGCCCCACATTTTCCCCTCCCCTCATTTTCCGGACCGTATAACCGTATCCGCGCGCGAACGGGCTAACAACAAAATCCGACGACAAAAACCGCCGTTTATTGGCCGGCTTATGAACGCGAACGGAAAAACGGAGAGAAAAAGAAAAATATCGCAGCACGCGGGATGTATTAAAAACCGGACGCGTCTACGTACACAATAATATTATAATACGTATGCGCGCGTACCTTCCGCATAATACCTATGTATATACGTATTATTATTATTATTATTATTAAGCGGAAGGTCGGCCGACGCGCGCGCGAGTGCCCGAATATGCGGGGCCGAGGGGGGGGGGAGGGGCAGAGAACGACCCCTCCGTTTTCCGCCGCTGCGGGCGACCCTCGTGCCTTGCCCTACCCCTATATTACGAACGCCACCGGAGTGGTTGAAAATATTCGTCACCCCGCACGTGCAGCGGTGGCGTTGACAGCGGCGGCGTTACGGCGGATCGATCACAAAACCGGCGGGCCGCGGCGGCTGCTTTATATATTATACGCTCTCCGCCGCCGCCACCGCCGCTTTTGTCGTCCGCCATGATTGCGGGACCCCGCCGCCCGCCACCGACCGTTTATACGTATATATGTATGCGTGTATATATATATATATATAGACGGCCCTCTGCCGCCCGTCAACCGACGACGCCGCGGCGAGCGAGTCCATTTTGTCACCCTGTGCCGCTCGCAGTGCCAAACCCCCATCTCCGCCGCCACCGCCGCCGTATAGGCCGACGAGTCCCAGCAGGACGAATTCGTTTTCGAGCCGCCCCGGGAGATCCGGCGGCGGAGTGCGCGCAATGGAAATCGACCGCCCGACCGTCGGCGGAGTAGCGCGCGTACGCACACCGCGTCGCCGTCGTCATTATCCCGTTCCACGAGCGCCACCCGCCGGGATTTCGATTTGGTCGCTTTAAAACCGGCCGCCCCCCCCCCCACTCGAAAACCCTTCCCGGACCCGCGACCCCGTCGTATGCGTTTGACGGCGGCGTATTATTACGATCAACCGGATAAAATGTCACCCGCGGTACGCCCGGCCGTCCCCGGCACGCGCTCCGGGGTGCCGCCGGTCACCGCATCACGTCGGGCCGAGTTGTTCTCGTGAAACTAAAATGTATACGGGCGAAAAGCGTCCAGCCGACGAACGATGCTTTAAGACTGCTGCGATCGTTTATCGTGACTAGGGGTGCCGGCGAGGCTAATTTCCCCCCTAAACCTATCCGCCGAACGGGTTTTTTTTTCGATAATGATCGGCCAAATATAGAAATATAGAAGAAACAACAAGAGTTAAAGGAATACACAAAAATATTCGATTTATTCCAGTGACCAACGATACACCATTTGGAGCAAAGTTCGGGTATACATAATTTTAAAGGCCGTAATATTTACGATTTTCGTTAGGGTTTGATTTTAAAATTAGTATAAAAATAAATACTACACTACTACATTTTTTTTTTTTTTTTTAACCGCGAAGTACGATTATTTATGAACCTGCTGTTAAATTGACAAGCATTTATGTTTTATCTAACAATTTTATCCACAGAGTACTACCTACTACCAAAAAAAAATTACGTAAAAAATTCGCAAAATTAAAATGTCTATAAAAAGCTCAACAATGTTTTTTTAATGTTTTAAAAATTATACCAAGTCTAGAAAAAGCAAATATAAGCTTTCTGGCGAAATTTCAATTAATATTTTAAATTGAATTACATTAAAAAACAAAATTTAAAATAATAAAATAATTATCTTCGTACATTTTCCCGTGCTTTCTACGTATTTTTTGGTTTTGTTCAATTATCTAAAAACTATACAAAGAAAATTAAAAAAAAAAAAAAAACAATTTTTCCCATAATTACTTTCTACACAAAAAAATTTAACAAAAAAGGCCTCGTTGTTTTACAAAAATTAAAATAATTTAACCGAGACGCCACGTTGCCATTAATCAATTTTAATTTTTAGTTTTTCCCAATTATTATGATAACCACTTTAAAAATAAAAAAGCGATCTTCTTTGAAAATGAGTATATATTGAAATGAAAAATTCGATCTTTTGTCACTTTTCGATTGGAGCAATATTTTCGGTAGAAAACATAAGTCGCAAAAATTAAAAACATGAATGGGCTGCCGTTTTATCTATGATTTTTTTCCCTGTTTTTCTCGATCATTATGAAAATCCTTTGAAAAATCGAAAAAATAATCTCCTCAGTGCACCGAGTAGAGAAAATTACCTTTCATAAAATATTTTGACACTCTAGAAATCGGAACAAAAAGTTGTTCACAGACAAAAAAAAAACAATAGTTATCACAGTAAATCCAATAGATCCTTCGTTATGTTCCGAATTTAAAATCACTACGAAAACAAAAAAGCCCATAAGAAGCGGATTACATCTCCTCGAGAGAGAGCCTAAATCCGGTCGACGATGGAACATAAAAAAAAGCAATCGCATCAAAAGTGCCGTAATGTGTGATGAAAAATTACAGAGGCAAAATATAAAAAAAATCACAAAAAACGAAATAAAAAAGTTTCACGCATTTGGATTCCGCGAATCGAATTATTGTGTACACGGATGTATTGTCAAAGAGCAACGGGGGAGAGGGTGTTGCAACAAATCTTAAATATTAATTAGAACGACTAAAAATATCGTTATACGGACCTACAGTATCTGCATATCTTATTTTACACTAGAAAATGTTGTGACGTATTCGTACTGTATACGCGCGAAGAAATTATATTAAACAAGCCAAAAGCGCTTTAAAAAAAAATACGGCTGTACTGGACAAAATAACAACAATAGGAACAATGTTGTATCTAGAAAAACAAGAAAAAATGCACTCTGTCTTGAAATCTGAGCCCTCGAAAAGGCCGATAGTAAGCGTGTTTCTTGTTTATTAGTCATTATTTCCCATTTACCCGGCAAGTTTTTCGTTTCAATGGTAAACGAAACGTGGGTAACGTTTTTTTCGGATCGCTCGAAACATAAAAAATAAATATAGCAGTCGAACTCGAGGGTAACTTTTACTTTCGATTAAGATGGACGACGGCGTGCAATAATATAAATATTGTAAAACGGATTTAAAAATGGAGTAGCGTAAAATTGTTTAATTTCTTAAGATTTTGTTCACATCACCAAAATAAATAAATTTTCACTTTTTTCACTAAAAACAATAGAAACAAAACATTATTGGACCAGATTTATTTGTTTTTAGAAAACGAGATCTTATTATAATACCCAGATAAAAAACCGGACATATTTCGTATCATGCGCAGGCCACTGTGTTAGATAGAAAATTCGAAAGGTTTTACGGAATATAGGGTAAATTAGTTTATTTTATTGAATGCAACGCTAAATCATTGCGATTAAAACCCAGATTCTCAGCAGAGCTCGGTAAAATATTAAAGTACAATAAAAATTGTATGGCGGTGTACCCCCCCTCTTACAACTCGTTTCTTTGAAAAAAGCTAACCCGGTAATCGATAAAAAAATCTCGAAATATCGTCATTTTTATGTTAGGAATTTTTTTTAAGTTTTAAGTAAAACCGTTGTGAATCTAAAAAAATCAAAACAATTAAGTACCGCAAGCCGAACAAATTTAGTATAACATCTTTTTTTATACAATATGAATAATCCGGAGTATTTCCGTAACATTACAGTGTTTTTCGAGTGAAAAAAATACAGCTTAGTTAATTATTCGCTTGTACACCACTCAGAATTTAAAAACAGTAAATTCGTATTAAGAAGGTAATTATGTTAGATTTTGAACAAAGTGAGGAATGTATTGGTTTTACAATGATGTTAACATATTTTTAAGATAAAGTACAAGGTTTTTAAGGATTTTTAAATTCCTTTTTTTTGGAGGGGTTAATAGACCAATCGAGTAATTACTTTTATAAATAATCGGCAAATACGCTAGAGCACAAATTATAATGAAACGAAATAGGCATTGGCAATACTGATCCCTTCAACTTCATTCATGAGCAATCTTATGTCACATGTTTTCGAGTTAGCTCGGGAAATAATTTATATATTAATGCACCCAATCAAAAAACGAACAACACATGCAGTAGACCATTAAGTATTATAGAATTGTGTTGCATGTACCAAAAATTATAAGAATTCATAAAACATTTACCAGTGCATGTGTTGAATGTTTTTTCTAGCCTCAAGCGAATATTCTTGAATATTTCATTAAAATCTCTCGATAAACTTGAATTTCAAATGTAAAATTACCATTAGTATCATTTTATAAGAGCACATTTTAAAATCACGTCTTCTATTCATTAAAGTCGCAAAAAAAAATTATTAGGTAACTCGAACGAAGCTCGGTGTATCAGCATACAAATATAAGTAGCTAGTCAATTTATGATTCGAACGGTTTTAAAATATACGATGAAATTCGTTACCAATTTTTAGTCGATGGATATTTACGATTAAAATATTTTAATTCTAAAGGGTCGTAAAAAAAAAAAAAAAACCCCATTTAAAAACCTTTTTAAAACCACGAAAAGATTAATATTATCGTTATAAATCTGCGGGTTATAATATGACGGTTTGTAATCCGATTTGTAAACTTATTCCTGTATAAAAATATTTATCAAATATTAATGAAAACGAATGGTAAATATAATATACAAGATGATTCGAGCAAAATCATTTAAATAAAAATATTCCAACTCTGTTTCAATGTTGAATGTGTACGTTTTAAATATTTTTACAAAAACATTACTTGTTATTGTATTTAAAATATTTCTCAAACGTACTTATTTTAGATACATTTTTTAAATTGAAACGCATCGCATTTGACAATCTATATGAAAGTTAAATGGTGTTAAAATTTTAATTATTACTGGTATTATTCGAATATTAACCAATAGAATAAAATATGTAAAAAAAATGAATAGTTTAAATGCGTCTTAAAATATATCTGTATTCGTACTCAAATATTTTACAGTGAAGTCTACTCGAATAAGTACTTTTAAATGCCTTTCAAAACAATGTCCGGATTTGTACTCGAAATATTTTTGAAAAATATCTTTTTCAAGTCTAATGATCCCGCGAAATCTATCATACACAGAGATTTTGAGCAAAATTGCTTTGGATTTTTTTTTCTTTCGATAATATTATTGAATCGTTTAAAATGAATAAATATAATCTATATAATTAATGATTTGATTCATACCATATTCTAAAACTTTTACCGTTATACTGCAGTGTAGTAGTTCGCAGTGGGGAAAGGTTATCATACAATTTATCAACCTTCCCAGTACACAAATTTTCAACTGTTATCAGCCGTAAACGCGATACCAACGCGATACCTACGCGATTTTCCGCGTATAAAATAAACTATACCGATTTCCGAATCGGAGTTAAATAACGCCGATTTTAGCCGTCGGAAAATCAGAAGATAGTACCCGCTTAACGCGGTTCATACGTATATAGAAATATGACGATAACATTTTGAAAACGGCGTTAAAATAAAACTCGAACAGTTCCGTTTGGCAAAAAAAAAAAAAATCAAATTTACCCAGAATCCTCGAGAGAAAATCACTGGATATCGTGATGATGAATCACCCTGTATATGTTAACATCAAACCCGTGCAAATGATTGAATTAACTTACCGAATTGATTGATACTGTCGTGTAACATTTCGATAACGGTACGCAATACGAATAAAACTCGAATGGACGGTATAAATATTATTGCAACTGATTGAACGGACAAAAATAACGCGCGTGGTAAATGAATACTAATTGAAGACCGTGCGGCGCGTTTGATCGGCCTAGTAAATTATTATAATTGTGTACGTCGGTTATCCGCGGCCGAACCTCGTGTCTAAGTCGTGTTTGACAAATATTACAAAACCGCGGCCATAGAAGTGTTACCCGTTTGAGAAAACTACGAGGAAAATCGGAAAAAAAAAAACACGACCTCGACGCACCGGAACTAGACTGAAAACGTTACTGTACAAACAATAGAAAAAAAAAAAAACGAGGTTTGACCGGGTAACCGACTACATACGAACAATATAACAATTAACTGACACTGCACTTGTACACTATACTAACCGATACGTGGATACGTCGAACGCATAATATCTCGAGGGACGGTACATAAACTGCATCGCACTATAAATAGGTACTGCCGACCGTATAACTTAAACGCCAAATGAGAAAATATCGAATACGAGACGCGATACGAACGTCGTTTACACCGCGAAACGCGAAGTAATATTTAAGTAGGTATACCATATGGTCTTTTTTTTTTTGTGTGTTTTTTTTTACCTAGGATATCCTGATCTAAACCGGAATTGGCCAATTGGAAATAAGACATTATACGCACACAAAGCGACGACCGACCCTCTTGCCATGCGTCTTGAGGGGTGTAAACGGGAATATTTGTATGATCTGTATACGTCAAAAAGATGATGCATAGCTGCCATACGTATATGAAAAAATGCCCCTCAATCATATTTGTCTGTCTATTGTATACACGTTAACCCCGTTTTCTCGTACTCTCTTTTTCTTTTTCATATTTTTTTTTCTCGAATCCCCAAAAAATTATACCGTCTGTTTTTATATAGGTATATATTATACAGGGACGAGTTGTATACCACGTAAAACTCCGGCGGCTTAGAAATTAGAGACACAAGATTGAATAATATTTCAGTATAGGTATACCTAGTTGTTTTTACATTTCATATACGGTCCAATGATTATCATTTTTTTTTTCTTGCCTCGTCGAATAAAACGAAATGCATTATGTTTTTTTTTCCCCCGGATTTATATACCTACATAGATGAACTTGTATAATATAATGTACAACTCGAAAAGACCCTTCCATTATCAACATTCTGAAAAGCAAAATAAAACAAACTCAATACAAAGCAGCGCATCAAAATGCCTTATGTTACTCCGAGGTACGAAATTAATTTTTAAGACCGTTTAAAAATTGTTTAAACGCGAGACCAAAACCAACAACACGATTTAAATTAAACCAATTCAACTGTGTTTCGTACGAAAGACAAACGATAATAAAACAAAGGATATTTTTTTTCTAAGAGAAATTTTAAATGTGGTTTTTCTGACACGCTGCAAGCTCAAAAAGAAAAGTATATATATATATACAGAGGTGGCCCAAAGTCGCGCAACGCCTACCGTCTTGTATGTAACACGCGTTACGGCGCAGTTTCTCCCTCCACGTCGTTTCCGTTACGTCATATTGCAACTTTGGTCTCGTTATCTTGTTTACGTACAACAACAGCAAGGTTTATAAAAAAACAACATATTTAACATAAAACACAATAGTTTTATAAAAACTGTGTTGCAAATTTGTTGCGCGACTTTTGGCTACCTCTGTATATAATTGATACTACTCACGGATAAGCCACTGTTATAGGTGGATAGTTGTTTAGATAAGATGCACAGGGTAAAGCGCAGTTTGTATAATGTATGCAACGATATAAATTAATCATAACGAAAAAACCATTCTGCGCGGGGTACATAATATATTTTTTAGCAATAATCATGGGTGTTACCTTGCTGCCAAGGTTAACCGAAAAATCCCAAAAATTACCTCTTACCTATTATAGCGTGTGAACTGCGAAAAATGTCGATAAATACAACCGGGCAGAAATTTGAGATACTGCGTGAAAGAAATTGGACCATTATCGTAGTCAAATTAAGACCAAAAAAAGATTTTGGAAAAAGTGTTGGGAATTTCGAGAAAAAACGTTAAATTAAGTGCTGTCAGTCGAAAAATCTGAATCTTTGAGGAAGTTATCATACGAACAAATCGGAATATTTTCACTACCTAACCGTAATAGTGATTTCCGAGGAAAAAAAAAAGATAAACATCGTGAAAAAACCAATAGCTACTACACGTTATACTCGGAATCTACGAAATACGCAAATCTATCAAAGTGTTGTCCGCATAAGCATTACGATGTTGCAATTCGTATTGAATACTAGCTGGTATTTATTCCGACGATTAATCCGCTGTCCTTACAATTTTCATAAGAAGCGTACTCCGTTATTGATACGAAATAAGTCTTCTTTTTTTTTTTTTTTTTTTTTTTGTAAACGCTGAACAAAAAAACAACAATTGCAAAGAGTTTGAACGCACAACAAAAAAAAAATATATATATATATGTATACAAGTTTCTAGTAGTAAAATTCAAAGATAAAAATAAAATAATAATAATAAAAAAAAAGGAATAAAAAATAAAATGCCGACTGAATTCGTGTACGTCTGCGTGTGTGTGTATGTATGTGTCTTTGGCGCATACGGCCGCGGCGTAACAGGCAGCCGAGGGCTATTCAATGATAAAAAAAATAAAAATAAATAAAAACTATAAAAAAAAAAATATGTATACTACCCGACAAATCTCATCCCATTCAACCTGTCAAGTGTTCTAGCAGATGAAGTAATCTCGTTTGCAGTACATTGTGCGCGTACACACCGACAGCGGTAAAGCGAACCACACAGAGCGCGCAGAGAGAGATCATCCTCGGTCCTATTTTATACATTTGTCGTTTCGCCCGAGATCTTTATCAAATACAATAATAATAAATATAAGATCGGAAACCGGAATAACAATAATACGTTTTTTTTTTTCCTTCTGTCTAAGTGCCACTTAGAGACGGGTTGTGTGCTGCGGGTCCCTCTTTTGGTGTGCGTGTGTGTGCGTACACACAAATAGCGACCAGTATTGATATGTTTTTCTAGTAAATTAAAAACGTTTTCTGTCCACGCACACAATACTATATCATTATCTTTTATTATTATTATTATTATTTGTATTCTTCGGCGTTTTTTCTTCTCCTCCGCGGCCGCCCGCTTTGGATTTGGATTTAAACAGATGCCGATTGATAAAATACATTGCGAAACAGATATAAATCGTGTTCGTTTTTTTTTTTTTTTTTTTTTCCCCCAATTGAATTTTAGGTACCAACCATAATATCGTATACAATATTATATTGTATATTTTGTTATGAATGACGGAATAAAAGATGTTATGTTTTGGGTAAAAGCGAATTTCGATTTCGGTATACCAATGCGTAGTCTATATATTATTATGTAACACACACACACACACATCAAATAGAAGACTGTGCGAAACACAACGACTAATGATGAATAAAAATGTATCATAAGTTTAAAAAAAATAAATACATAATACGATATAAAAAAAAACTACTGGTAAAGAAATTTAAAATTGTGCGAAAATCGCATTTCAAAAATTTGACAAAAATAAAAAAAACTCTTTTAGTTTAACGAAGTAAAAATGTAAGTCTATAGTTCTACCGTAAACTTAGAGTGGAACACGAAAAACCCACAGCAAGTTAACTAATGAATTAATTGAAAAATATCGAAAATATAGAATTAAGAATAATGGTCTATAACTATTAGAGAAGGCTGGTTTTATTTTATAAATTCGCGAGTTGTCTACAAAATATGTTAGTTGTCTTCTCGGCTTGTCTGCTCGTCAGCTAGTAAAATTTTGACCATTAGAAGACATTTTTAAAAACAAAAAAATGCGTATTCGAATAGTTAATTTTTAAAACGTCATCAGGTTTGGAATGAAAAAAATAAAAAAATTCTAATAAATCACACGGGGCGAAAATTAAATTATGCTACCGATTAGTGTTGTGGTTGCCTACACTGCAGATTACGGAGTATTTTTTCAAATTAAATTAAAATTTCCCAATAGGTATGGTTATATATAAATTTAATTTGTATAAATACACCATTCGATGTTCCCCGACAGTTTTTCGAAAATACGTATACTTAATCATTAACTACGTAGTTTTTCATTTTTTTTTTTTTAGATTTTCAGCGAATAGTGAGTAATATATTAGTTTAACTATGATATGCGTTTTCGTATTCTGTAAACAATTTTTCAACCATAAATATTGGTCCAATCATCAACTTCGGGAGCGGTTACTGATTACTTATCCGTTCGGTGCGTCGTGGAAGTCAATTTTTGATATCCCTTGTAGTCTTCTTAATAACTGGGAAAAACGGAAATATTTACGCGATAAAGGTTTCTGCTATTTTCGGTTTTGTAACTATTAACCGTGCTTTTTCCGATCGATTCGATATAGTAACGAAATTATTTGTTCTGATAATTATAAAATTGATATTTATTTTATTACCTAACTATACACGCATTGTATGGCATTAATTTATTTATAATTCAACGGACAGTATACAAATTAAAAAACCGAGTGTGTTGCGAAAAAAAAATGAATAATAATGTGAAATATGTTGTAATCGTATAGCGTGTAAGAAAACGTTCGGTTGAGCCTCATAAAAAATACTGTTCAATCCAAATTTCACGAAAAACTATAAAAGTATTTGTTTATTTTCGGAAATAAATTGACGATTCATTAAATGCGTATCGTAATATTCATTCGAATAATGTACAATTACGTAACTTATTGTCAGCCATTAAATACAGTAACGTATCGATTCGGAAACAGTTGTTATAAATTTAACCCCTAATACGAAGTATTGACCAAAAACATTTTAAATAACATCATAACTTCTTTAAAATCAAATACACTGTTTAAACGCACAATGCTACAATTAAATATGTTTTTTAAAAAAAATGTGTTATTTATTTACGCGCGAGTATAATGTAAAAACGTATTAAATTACTTTACCTCGAAGATACACATAATACACCATACCTATTACGAGTATATTATTAATTTATATGTTTATATAATGTCAATAAACAGTTTAAGTTTAAAAAAAAACAAGCAACAATTTAGAAAAAAAAAAAAAACACCCGTAACAGCAGAACTCTGTCACAATAGTCCAATATACCCCCACCTTTTTTGTATAAAAGAACTCTGCAAAATAATAAATTACAATACTCTTAAAATAAAAAAAACCAAAAAAATGGTGAAATTCGACCACGGAAATGGTTACAGAGGTGGTTGAAAGTTGAGAACTAAAATATTCATCCCATGGCATATACCATGCTTGCACAAAATTGCATCAACCAGACTTCATTCAAGGTGGAAGGTCTATAGGGATGTACAAAATTTCATTTCAAACCACCAATAAAAGAATTCTAATTCTTGAGTTTCAGCTTATTTGGGTCAGAAAGAGTCGTTAAGTGTTCAAAGTTAGTGTAAAAATATAAATAATTATACACACAGCGTGTCTCAAGATTCGTGTAAAGTCTTGCATTATAAAACAAATACAATGGCATCAGTATCTTTTTTCGGGAAAAACGAAACGAAAAATATTTTTATTTTATTTTCAAATTTATTGTCATGCTACTTAACTACGCGATATTTTAATGTGTCTGTGGTTCTGATTTTCTGAAAATTTCTACGTAGGGGCCAATATATAATCTTATATTCCTTACGTGCCTAACAATAACGGCCGAACAACATACATTTTATTCGCTATACAAATATTAACCGTTTTTGAAGAGTAGGTTTTTTAGACTGCAACAGGGTCACGATGAAAGGGAGATAATATTATTATTTTCCCTTTCTTTCTCGTATCGAATTATATAAAGTACAGTATCGCAGGACAACCCCTATATAATGTATAGCCCGGAATAACCGAAATGAATAAAAGGGGTTTTAATAAAACTATTAAATATCAATTTGCATGTAAATCAATGAATATATCGAATTATACACCTATACATTTCTTTATGGAGTATCAAACATAATAATATAATAAGTTGAACCTAAACAAAATTCCTTTACAATTATGAAACTAATAAAACAACAAAATATAAAAAAAACTTAAAACCCACAAAAAATCTATGGTAATGAAATTTAAAATACCTCTAGTCTAACAGCTCTAACTTACTAATTAAAATTGACTTGCACTATAAAAAAAAATGCTATTTTATATGTAAAGGTCCTCTATACAAGGGAGGGGAACTTGTAATACCTCTCAACCGTCTTTGGTTTTTTTTAAATATTTTTGAAGTGCTTTTTCCAAGGACGTTTCAAGCGCTTTTTTATAGATTTTAATTGCTATAAATCCCGAGCTTTGAATATGAATATTGTAAAAATTAAAAAAAAATTGAATTAACATAAAATACAAAAATAAATAATTTACGAAAAATCAATACCTTCAAATAATATATATATACATACCTTTAAACGGGTGGTAATTATTTTTTTATTGTTAATATTAAACAAAAACCATATACCGTATAACCCAGCCTATATTAAAAAAGTAAAATAAGCAATACAATATGAATAGTCTATACAAACTATGCATTATTTGTGAATAATTGATATTTATTTCAAAAACGTTAAGTTTTACCTAACCAATTATAGGTATCCAAAATTAAATAATCATATGATTTTTATAAAATTGTAAATCGGCTTACACATCTGCGATCTGGAAAAGTAGTCGTCATAATACAAGTCAATTTCTTAGTAGTAAAGTTAGGTACTTAATAATAATTTTGTAGTATTATTTACATTTTTTTTCCGAGAATTTAAATTCAATATTTTTTTCAAATAAGTTTTAAAAATTTTAATAAAAATAACTCAATTAAATTAATTATTATCAATTATTATAGTTGTGCATCCATCATAAAGGTCATTAAAATGTTTGAAGAGGATAGGTAGTGCTAAATTAAAATGCTACAAATCTTATTATAGCAAAAACGTTTATACACCAAAATTAATAAAACTAATCGTTTTATTTCATTATTAAAATTGAAACAAACATTATTGAGTATAGAAAATTGCGAACTAATTGAAATTTAAATGATATTAAACATTTAAAGATCTACTTAAAATAATTTATTGTAGGTACCTACGTCAATTATACTCATTTAATAAAAGTTGATTGCAACGACTCTTAGTAAGCATTTACAATATAGGAAACTGGGTATACAATGAAACAAAAATGCACTGTAGTTGTACGCATTATTCTAAAGAATAAATTATAAATACGTAAGACATTGACAATTTTTCAGTCAAGCCCGAATGTGTTATTTTTGTCATATTAAAGACATAACAAAATTACGTTACTTAAAACATAAATTGTAGCGTTTAAATTGAAATTAGAATTTAATAAAAAATAACGAAATAAAAAAAACGTCCTAGGATAATGGGGAAGAGTACAGCCATCGTAAAAGATGATTTAATGTATACCTGTAAACAACGATAAACCATTGATTATGAAAAGCGATTCTAAGCGGAGTTCAGTTGATAGTGGTACTTCGTCAATTAGAGAAAACTCTTAGAAAAATCGAAAAATGACTTGTCTAAAGTACCTTCCTAGTAAAATTTTCTTTTAGAAACAGTTGCAGTAAAATTGCTGGTAGAGAAATTGTCCACAGAAAAAAAAAATCGTTATATTATACAAATATATTTCGTACAATTTCCAGTTTTTCCTCAGTTTTTTATTTTTTTAATTTGATGAGAAAATTCTTAAAAAATCGAAAAATGACCTCCTTAAAGTACCTCCCCACACTGATTTCTTTTTAGAAAAGGTGTTACACTTAAAAACATAAACAAAAACCAACAAATGCAAAAACCAACATGGCTATAACTTTTCGGTATAATTTTTTTTAAAAAAAAAACTAAGTGAGAATATGGTCCTCTTTAAATTTTGTTTTTTGAACTCCTAAAAATCAAAATGTACTTTTTCAACATAAGAGAAGAAGCGACAGACAACTGGGATCAGGCTTTTTACACATAAGATGGTACGTTTCTCTTATACCTCTTGAGAACTTGGTTTTTATTTTAAAAATATTTACCATTCATTTGTAGATTTGTACATTTTCAATCCATTTATATCGAATATTCACTATTCGCCGTTTTTTCAATAATTAATATAAGATGACAGACTAATAATAATAAAATAGTATACTATTCAGAATAAAATGCTGAGGAGATATCCCCCAGGGTTCATACTCGAAGAAAAAATAATGAAACATCTTTTGTGTTTATGTACATAGACGATTTAAAAAGTAGGTTATTATAAATAATTATGAGAAAAAACGTAAATGTCTCTACTAAAACCGTAGAATAATTTTCTTCACTTTTAGTAAAAAGAAAAAAAATATAATATAATTCTTTGTACATTTAATAATGGTGAATGTATAGGAACTTTTATGTATTTGTATTCGTAAATATGTCAACTTCTATAATAAGTAAACATTTTATATAATTTGGGAGGATTAAACATAAACAAAATATCAAAAGTATGTAAGGAAAAAAGCAGTTTCGGAGTGTACTATACACATTATACAGAGCGATCGTATTTATTTTTATCTTGTGTTTTATCAGTAAATCGTGAATAAGAAGATTTCGAGAAAATTCAATTTTGATTCAATAGGCGATTGATTATAGAACTAAAATATAAGCAATTAAAAATAATTAATACTTATTAAGTACCTACTTACTAGAGGAGGAAGGCATATTCATTTTTATTAGATGATAAACTGTCCCCTATTTCTCCGGTCTAACTTTAAACTGTTATAATTCAGAAACGGTAAACTCGATATTGGAATGTTAAATGTATATTAAATTGTTTTAGACAAATAATATTTTCTATGATAATTACCGTTTAAAAAGGCATTTTCTGTTTGAAAATCCAAAGTGTATACTCATTTAAGGTGAATGGTAAACATTTAAAATGGATTCCATAATACTTGAAAAAAAAGAACAGAAATCAAATTTACCTAATATCCTTCAAGAAAATCGGTGCTCAAGATTAATAGATCACTCTGTAAACATAATTTAAACGATTAACTATACGAACATTAGTATTGACTATTGCTAAGTAATTATTGTTTAGTAATTAGTATCACTTTACTCCTGGTAATTCAACAATCAGTTTAAAACCAAACGTGTATATTGAGTTGCCTACCAAAATTGATAGTAGTTTTATTATTGATAACAATTTCCTTCAAATCGCGTTCTATGAGAAACACAAACTGAACATACTTCGCACCATGGTTAAACCACTGGTGTAGGTGGGAACGTAGAAAATATAAGGTAATTGTTTTGATTAACTATATAGATATCCAGCAACAAATCATTAAAAACGAAAAGAAATTGATGGAGTTTGGTTAAACACTTATACAAAATAATTTACTATTTATTTATTTTTATTTTTAATCATTTCCACAGATTTATATTTTTATTTTACAGTAAGAACAACTTATCAGGAAACTTATTTGTTTTTCGAGCATTAAACAAATATGATCCAAACATAAAAAAAAACCTAAACAATTTAAAAAAATTAATTACTTTGAATAACTCCAAAAAAACGATTATTCAAAATATACGTATAAACAAAAAAAAATAAATAAATCTAAGTATTCAGTGGAAATTTAAGTCTTTACAGTGTCTACAATATTTTTACACTAAATTGCAACAAAATGTCAAAATTAATTTTAACAAAAGCCATTGTTTAATAAATATTTCCGGTTTTCGTTATTATTAAGAAGAGAACTAGGAAAATCAAAAAATTATTTTCTCAATGCACTTATTAAACCAAATTCACTACCAGGAACTTCCCCTGAAGTGTCTGATTGGAGTAATATTTCTCACCAAAAACATTTTTAGACCGGAAATAAATACATCATAGTAATAATAATACATTCCTCAGTTGGCCCAGAAACACATAATAATATTATGTTATACGATCATAATATTGTTTTTTTGTAAGAATGTTCAAGTAGTTATTATTGTTATATTGTCATATATATGAGGGAAAAACAATATATTTTTTTTTAAAAAGGACGGACATACTACGCACGTGGGTGCAGCAGCTATTGTAGGTAGGAAGTTGGGAAGATAGGATTTAGACGGGAATTCAATGTATATCTGTAAGCAATGATAAACCATAGTTAACGAAAAACGATTCTAAGCGAAGTTCAGTTGATAGTGTTGCTTTGTCTACAATTATATATAAATATCATATTATGGTTAAATAATTACAACAATATGAGTTTCTATGACAACAATGATTGTTTAAAAAAGATTTAAAATAATAAAAACTCAACAATAAAAATAAATGAATAATAAAAAACGGTAGCCAATAATAGCCTTATTTTTAATCTTTCAATCTTTTTTAACTTTAAGAACCAGGTTTTCCTCATTATCTCGAATATTAATGAGAATTTCAAAAAATGAGCTCTCTAAAGTACCACCCAAGGAACATTTCCTTTCAGAAAACGTGCTATACTTGATAATAGGCCATTCCTATTCATTATTTTAATATTTACCTATGGGAAATTTATGATAAATCATAAAATTCTTAATATCGTTTAGATGGAGTGTATGGAAAGAATCTCTGTGTGGTACACTCCAACGATGCAACAATTTACCTAACATAAATTTGATTATAGATTTGATAACATCATTAAATGACTAATCTTTCTACCTCAGGGCACATGGTCTTACAAACCAAACATGATCAAACGTTTTTCAAAGGTAACAAATAGGTCCTTTATTAGGGCTAGCCATTATTGATAACCTCAATAAATATCAAAAATTTGACTAATGACAAAGAAGTACATCTAACAAACATATGAAAAATAAAACACTACCTATGTAATATTATATATATCAGGAAACATATAGAGGTAAAAATTGAAATTGTCCAAAACTTCATGGAATGAAATTGAAGACTGAAATGCTACATGATAGTTATGTAAATAATAAATTTACTAAGCTCTATATTAAGTCGTTAGATGTAACAAAATATGCTGATGACATATAAATCCAAATGAAAGAGATAACAAATTTTACAATCACATTAATAAACAAACTACCATGTGTCCCATTTTTTTTCTGTAGTACTAATGGCTTTAATAGTTCAACATTAAAAATAATAAATCTCGACTTCAACAGCCATTACACAGAATGAAAATATGAAAATACAAATGATGATGGAAACTATCAAACAACTCCAAGTTGCCATCATATTTTAACTACGCAAGATGAAAAGGCAGATAAAATTCAGACCTAAATCTTGTCAGTAAAAATATAAGACAGCAATATGTCAAATCAGTATTAAAACCAACATCGTCCAATTTTATGTTCAATAAATGCTACTATTCAGCCCACTATAGTGCCAATGAAAAATAAGTTTAACTTTAAATAAGCCAGATGAAATGATTTTAGAAAAGAACAAGACTCTGAGATTGCAAGCCCCTTCCCAATTATGGGAAATTATGACACTTTACATAAAAACATAACTTTTTTGCTAAACATAACTAAAAGAACGTCAAGAAAATATATCCCAAAGGGCTGCACAAAAGAATATATCTTGGGCCTTTCTCCACAGTTAACAGAATACTTGTATACATTCACTGAAATGTTCTATGCTACTATAGCATAGAAGATTTTATGGGAAACTAGAAATGGGAATGTAGATCGCAAAATAACTAACTGCCACAAAAGTTTTTTGGTCCCCCAATCCTTTTTAATATGTATATAAATGACCAACAAATCATGCCAGATATCAGACATTTAATTTATGATGACAATACAGTAATAGTGATTCCGGATAAAAATTTAAAAGAAGTAAAAGATAAACTAATGTCTTCGCTTAAAATCATGGCAACATACTACAAAAATTTGATACTAAAATCTAATCCAACCGCTGTTTAAAGCCAATGCCAGTGGCGAAATTTTATCTTCTACCAGAAATAGTGCCACTATACTTACATATGTCAAATAACTAATAAAATTGAACAGATGAATCAGATTTTAGATAAAAGGCAAAATTATGGGAGGAATATAGCAAGCAAAAAATCAGTATAAATTACCTCCGGGAGATAACAATAAAATGGATGTGAAAGAATATACAAATTGTAATTGTGAAGAGGTACACATTGACACACTTTCTAATTTGAACATCTGCTCAACCAAATCCGAGATAAGAGACTTAAAATCTACAAATAACAAGGCATATAGAAATAACAGAGTAATGGAGTCATGCAATATAAAAATACCATATATACTTTGCTACCATATTATTATTATTTAGTTTACCTTCTTCTCCTTCCCCTTTAACCCAAATATTTTAGGTTGGCCACTCTCATTCTAAATTTCTAATTGGCCAGATATCCCACCTTGCATACATCGCTGTCAGTATATTATCATTGTCAATTGTATTCAACCATCTATTTTTCAATCTTCCTCTTCACTTATTACCTACTGTATTTATTATCAATATAATGCCCAATGTTTCAAATTCCTCTCTCCCCATGACATACTTAAACCATCTAGTTCTATTTTCTCATTTTGTCTACTACTGAAGCTACGCCTGAACTATCTTTTATATTCTCATCCATTATTATTTTTTCTCTTTTCACTCTACTTGTTCATCTAAGCATTGTCATCTCTGATACACTTATTCTATATTCTATTTTTCTGTCTACCACCCAACACTTCGAATCATACAATATAGTTGGTCTCATCACACTTCTGTATATGTTAACTCAAGTCTCATTGGAGTTCCCTTGTCATGTGAAACACAAAACATTACTCTACACTTTATTCCATCCTTGGATAGGACAGTAAGCTAAAGTCTTATTCAGAACTCCTCATATTGTTTGACCGAATATTACATCAGTTGTGTTCCTCGGTTGCGACCATATTTGTCACCTCTGACTACAGGTAAAGGTACTATGGTAGTATTCTGATTCTATTTTACAGAAACATTATTATTTAGTTAATAGTTTTTAATTTTATTATTTATTTATCGACTTTAATTATCTGACTTTTTGACTAATTCAATATTATGTTTTATTTATATATGTTATATTATTTGTGTATTTATCTTTTAAAATTGATCTGTCGCCCTAAATTCAAAAAAATTGCTAACATAAAAATTAAACTGATAAAATTTGAACTTTGAAAATCAAATAACAAAGCAACAGCACACAAGAAAAGCAACCATATTTTAAAATTTAGATTTTTATGTGTCTAAGAGAAGAACACTTAGTATTAATTAAAAATTATAAATAAGAATGCAGTGTTTTTTATTGCAGAATAATAACCATTATTGTTTAACAAATGTGAATAAATGTGTACCTATTTAAATAAATTTAGAAATTTAAATACCAAAGACAATATTGAAACATATATTTTCTAAATGAAGAAAGTAAAAATATAAACACTTTTCATACCTTCTAAAATAACTGTATTAGTAAGTTTATATAATGATACCAGTGTATGTCGGCAATTTAAGCAAAATAAAACATTCTAAAATAAAGCTACAGTTGTATATCTGATCTCATATAAATGATTACTTTTTTATATCTACAAATTCAAATTAAAACTGCAAATACTTACAAATTGAAGTTAAATTAAAAATTTTAAATTGTTCACATCAATCAATTTATATTTATTAGAAAAAATATACTAATATATACAACAAATAGTTTGCATATAGCAAGCAAATTTTAAGTAGTTTTATGTTTGATGTGTGTTATTATTGCTTAAATGGTTAGGTCTAGTAATAACAAAGCTCAAAATATATGATTATTTTAAATTATTGTTTATATTATAATATACCAGTGGGATTCATTAGTAAGGTGGCATTCACTAGTGTCTTTGTCCTTTACATTAAAAAATGTATATTAGTATCCATTCTTATTAGAGCCATTTTCAATCAAGTTGAATGACAGTACAATAGTATAATAATATTGGTTAATAACTTTTAAACAACATTTTTTTAGTATACATTTTGTACAATATATCAACCAGTATATAGTTGAATACACTTAATAACGTCCGGGCTTAAGTTTTATGAATAGTAACGAAATAATTTCAAACCCACAACTATACTATGCAACAAGTAACTAATGTATTTAAGTATCAATGAAGAATACAATATACTAGGTATAATTATTATTATTTAATGAAATTAATAATATTTGTTCATCATGTCTATCATAAAATCACAACATAATGCATTGTGTTCTACACAAGTGTTTTAAATACGTTACTGTACCTACTGTGAAGTATGCACAATTATAATATTATTCAGAAAACAAAATTGCAGTAGTTGCACTAACCTTTTTCTACTCTCTGCCATGACAACGCAGAACACAGTAACGCCAATGTCTTTCCAGATCCCGTGGGACTTTCTAAAAGGCAATTTTGTCTTCTTTGGCAGCCACGAATAACCTAAAATAAAAACAATAATTATTACAAAAAAAAATTGATTTAGGTACCGATTCTTAATAAAAGTTAAAAACATCTAAGTACCTTATCCATCATGGCGATTTGAGAAGGATAAGGTTTAACTGGCATGTCAATTTTAACGCCGCCGATCGTTAATGTTGATAATGGTCGCACTACAGATTCACGTACTGTCAATGTGGATTGCGACCGCACGAAAATGTCCGAATCACGTTCAAAAGTAAACATTATTAATGATGATAATATTCAATTTACCTTAAGATTTATCAAACCAAAAATACAATTTTTAGAAATTAAATTAAATGGGTAGGTAGTGTCTTATAAAAAAAAAAAAAACAACTAATTTTATTAACGACACGAATTACACTGGAGTTCGGCACAATTTTTAGAAAATATGAATAAATACCTACTCAAAAATATTAAACAATTAATTCAAAACATTAGTTTAAATAATCGTGCTAATTGCCAAAAAAATAAAAGATAAAAAATACCGATACCCGGTACTGGATTTCGCACCTTCATTGTTATCACATTGATAAAGCGAATTTAAGCGGGAAAAAATTTCTTGCTCGCGAACACAGATGGCGCTGCACGTACGGTTTTTGTAATAATAATTAAATGAAACCAACGTACACGAAGTTACGAAACCGAATGTTTGACAATTGTTTACACGGTAATGCCATTGATTTTATAAAAAAAATATAGTACTTTTATTCTATAAAATCAATGCAGTATACGTTAATAAATCGTGTCTCGACAACAATATAATAATACCTAATATCGATATTCGACGTGTATGACGTGTATGACGTGTATTTTTACGGGTACTTCAAAAAAAAATATGTAGGTGGGTACCTACATATACGTATTATTCTATTTTTCTATCTCTATAGAAAAATATTATAATATACCGAATAAAAATCTGACGAATTCCGGCAAAATTAAATTTTCGAACACGTATTTTTATCGGGTCGAAATGTCGTTGGGTGCTTATTGTACGTCACCTAAAGGTTTTTGTAATTTTCGAAATTCGTCATAGGCTTATAGTTGGCCGCAGGCACGGGTACCCGTGTATAGTTAAAAACGCCCCCGAGCTGTCCGTTGCAAACTGCTGCAGGGATGACATGCGTTATAAAAAAAAAAAAATGTTTTTCATCGATGCTAGGCTCGGTTTTCCACGAATAACTTTTTCCGCGGTAGGTACCGTATACTCGAATTGTTCCAAAACAGTAACGGGCGGATAGACAGGTAGGCACCCATATCGCCGCACACGCATTTTCCACTCGTCGGCATATCGGAACGCGATCGATTCGATTTTTTCTTTCTTTTTCAAATTATGAACGATATTTTTTACCGGAGTTTTTTTTTTTCTTTTTTTATTAAAATTAACGATACGCGTGGTATTATTATATATACATATATATATATATTTACGTGTGTGCACAGGTACCTGTTATTAGAGTAACTACGCGAATCTATAAATATAATTGGCACTCGAATATTACGATATTTTAATACCGTCCGTTATTACTATTATAAACGCGCGTTGGTACAATAATACCGTGTACCGTACTACTACTACTACTACTACCACAGTTCTGTACGCGTTGTATTGTACCGCGGTGTACAGGCTTACGAATTCGGCGAAATGCGAAAAACTTCCGCGAGAAAAAGTCGAAAAACTGCCGGATACCGGGACACGAATACAAGTGAGAATACAAATTCCGGGTCGCGCGGTCATTGATATCCGCACCGCGCAGACGCGGTCGAACGGAACGGTCCGGGTCCGGAATGCACGCGAATCTGCGGGAGAACCGAGACGGTCGACCCCCGCGACATGGTCACGTCGACCGTCCGAAATCATCGACGACCGTAACCCGCGTTCCGTCGGTTTTCAGAAAATTACTGCATTCCTGGTTACCTATATGCGAGGCCACAACGTGTGCGCGCGCGTTTTCGGATTTTTACGGTTACGTTCCGGGTTTTCGCCGACACACGGGCAACCGATCCGTACTGTACGCACGGAAATTTAAATTTAAAAATCCCCCCCCCCCACTCGGTTCGAAATATCGGACGGCCGCGCGCGCCTGTCGTACCGCCGCGCAGCCGAGTCTCGATGACCCGGAATTGTTTGTTTGCCCCTCGGGAATACTCGCGATTGTAATACGCTCCGGATTATTCGGGGTAAAAAAACTATCGGTAACCGTGTAACTGCGTAAACGCTATCAATCAACAATGGCTGTTTGTCAGACCGGACGTTTTCGTGGCCTGCGCGGATTGTGTTGAATGCAGTGGATTACGGAATTAATTTTTTTAAACGAAAAACGATATTAAGGAGGTCACCACGCTGCGCGTTATTCCGGGCGTGACGTTCAGTAATCGCCTTTAAGGAACGTAACGATAATTTCAATGTTTTGAAATCACTGTAACTCGTAAAAAAAAAAAAAAAAAAAACAGTTATTTTTTAATAACGCAGCGGGACCTTGCGCAGTCCGCGTGGAATTCACTCAATTTCAGTTTAAGAGCAAAAGCATTTATTACAAAATTAAAAGAGGACAATATTCCGGAGAGCAGGACGATGCGTGTTTTTGCTATTATACCAATCATTATTTCGGTTACGACGTTCAATGAAAGAATAACACCCAATCCGTCGGTTTTCGCCCCCCGAAACGTTGTCCTCTTTTTAAAATTTTATAACGGACGCTTTGACTCTAAAACCGAAATCAAGCGAGTTCCACGCAGTCCGCGCGAGATAGATTTCGCCTAATCGCCCGGCAGCTGTCGGACCGAGACAGCGCGTCGTGCGGGTATAGGCGTCCTCTCAATGACGTCTCGGTGGTATTATTATTATTGTTATCATCGACTACTATAAGTCACGAACGCGCGTTTGAACGGTTGTAAGTATTGCAGTAATAATAATAATGTCTCCGATGCAATATCGTATACGGCGACTCCCTGGAAATCGGAATAATCGATACGTGATAACAAACAACGATAATGTGCGTACGTTGTACCGCGGCGGGACGCCACTGCGGTGATTAGCGATTACGGCGATCGGGTGATAATACGAGACGGATTGTAATAATATTATCATGTGCCGTATCGGCCGCGTACATAAACTTTGACACGGTCGCGTTTTATCTCGGTTCGCGGTAAAACGCGACCGGAGAATACGGGGTTTTTTTATAATAGGTATTATGCCGAACCGTTGTACAGGTCGCGAGTTCGGCCGACTGCGCGCGACCCGGGCGGGCGCGGTGGCGCGGGGGGTAGGGGGAGGGGGGAGGGGGGGACACGAAATCGCGTCGTCACGTCGCGAGTACGCCGTGGTCTCGGCGTTACGATAATTACGAACACCGCGTCCGTAATAGAATTAATAGCACGCGTGTGTCTGGCTACTGTACACGCGGTTACACTCGGGGGGAAAAAAAATCGCCGAAAACAATTCGCTCCGAACGAACGCGAAATCCCGGCGCGTACGAAATGAAAACCGGGCCGCGGCGAGTACAGATCAGGTATGATGGCGGGTGGAGGTGGGGGGAGGGGGTGTGGAAGGGGCCAACAATATTGTGTCGCGAGTTTGTGACACTGGTCGGTACGTTCAATTCTCGAGACGCGTACGGTGTTTCGATTTCGATATCGTTTTGGTTTTTTTTTTTCTAACACACCGTCGGCAACGGTCACGTCTTTTATCGCGCAAGACAGATAACTACGCAAGACACAAATTATCGATGATGACCGGTCGATTACGAAACGGAACGAATGACGTTCGCGCGAAACAAACGAATGGCTAATAAACTGCAACAGACGCAATATGCGAACTGACAAACAACGTGCCCAAAGTGTTCACAGAACGTTTATCGTTTGTGCGGTTTATCGAATCGAATTAAAACCGAAACTCGAAAACGGCTGTTGTTCGTACGTCATCTGAAGAACGTTTCCGGGTTTGCCGGTCATCTCGAAACGCCTTGGCCGCCCGATCCCGCCGACAAATTCGGCCGTTCGACGCTCGTTAATTGTCAATTTACGTTACGGCGTCGCCTCGATACGGGTTTCGACACACGGTCAGTGCGAGCGCCCGCGTACGTACCGGCACGTCGGGATCCGGGAATTTCATAACCGTTCCCCCGCGGTTCGGATTTCGATGTCTGGCGACGCGCGTCCCGGACTCCGGGTTGGCGTTCCGTCCCGGGCGGGCGGGTTTCCGCGCGATCCGGGTGTTTGCGCCGCGTGCGAACATCGCGTGCGGACCGGGGAAGCCGAACGACGAGGCGCGCGACGGGAATGCGACGCGTTTCTCGAGCGCGAGCGCGCGCGCGTCCGTCCGACAGGTGGGCGCGGCGGCGGCGGCGGCGGCGGCGGCCGCGGCAAAGGAAACGGAGACGTCGACAGACGCGAGAAAACCGTCGCGGGGACCGGCGTGCGAAAAACCGTCCGATAAATTATTACCGCGACCGAACCGAAACGGCCGCCGCCGCCGCCGATTTGCATACGGTTATAATATAAACAAGTAGTCCGGGCGCAATATAATAATAATTACTCGAAGCGGGCCCGGGGACAGGACAATCGCGCGCCAATCCGCCGCCCGTCCGCGTCGGAATTCCACGGGAGTGCAAAAATAATAATAATGATAATAACGAAATAAAACGGCGGTCGGACGGCGGTGGCGGGATGTAATTGACGCGTTGTTTTGTTTTGGTTTTTTTTTTTTCTTTTTTTTTTTCCTGTCTCTCGTCGGCCGACACGCGCGCACACAATGCGACGTCCCCGCGGCCGCCGCGCAGAACCCGGAGAAAACAGTTACGTCCGACTTGGCGTGCGACAATTTAATATTATTATTGTACGCGCGGGCGCGTGTGCGTGTGTGTTTCCAGTTTGTGCGTGCGTATAAATGTATAGTATCACGATAATACAGTGACGCGCGGACTGGTAAAAAAAAGAAAAAAAAAAGACTCGAGATGCTACATACTTTTACGGCGAATTACAACGAGACAAATTTTAAAAAGCCGACATACCCCGCGCGTATAACGGACGGACCACTGTTCGTAAATTGGGAACGCATAAAATATGCGTAAAGTAATATTCAGTTTATATCTCCGTACATAATAACAAATCGGTAGAAACGTAAAACGACTGTGACGCGAGTTCGGTTCGACGCGTTTCGTCACAAGACGAATCACGGTTATATTTGTGTTAGAAATCGACATCGATAATACAATCGAATTGACGTCAACAAACTATTGTGATAACTAATTTATTATGGATCTAATACCTTTTCTTAGATATACCGGTATCGAAGAATTATAAATTTCTGATTAAAAGCCCGTATTCAAAGTCCGTATAAAAGCCCGTAATAGGGAATTCTTTCATTAGATACTTTTTAATTTTGTACGTCCTTAATATGAATGCGCATTGTTGATTAGTTTTTATTGTTGTTTAGATCCTATAATTTAGAAGACAA